GTTTTCTACTCTTTGTTCGGATTAATGTCTCTTTGACATATTCCCCTTTTCCATTATCTATTATATCTGACTTGAATAATGATTTATTAATCAGTAGTAATTTTGTCTCCTTTCGTTTGACATACATCATGTTAGGTTTCTACAGGTACCAACAGTGTTATGAATTGATCAGATGGTTTAAGACCAGATAATATTTTAAACGAGTAAATTAACATCCGATAGCTGAGGGATTCCAGTGGATGATAAAACTAAAATAGTCTTTGACCTTAGGGCTGAAAGTAACTTTAACTATGGATCATATGGAAACTGTTTTGCTGTCTATATCACTACAAAACAATATGGTTTGTCGAAAGAAAACGTAGTAACGTGTTTATGTTTTATAAGGAAGACAACATGTTCACCTTAACGAAATGCAAACAGCATTTGTTTCTAGTATTTAGAATGTCTGATATTTTTTTCGAAAGAAAGTCTGCAAAACATCAAGAAACATTATTCCATGATCTGCGATTAATCCTTAGTTTATTATGTGTGTCCTCTGGCTGTCGTCCTTTGTATCAATTAGTTAATTGATCTTTCTATTTTGATTTTTTTTTCGGCAGTGTTATTTTCGACAGTTTTTAATTATATTTATTAAAAACCTTGTATACCCCAACCACATATTAAAAGTTCGGTATCATATCTTTTATTTATTCACAGTTCTTGTTTCGTGGCGATTTTGAGCTTGTCTAACGTTGAAGACAGTATTATTTACCTTAGATCTAGATGTGACCATACTTTGGAAAGCCAATCATTTTTTGATATTTGGGATGGTAAAAAATAAAAAGTATAAACACCACTTCAAGTCAGCTTTACCAGGTAGTTGGAACAAGAGAGTTGGTAAAATATTCATGAAAAACAGGTGAAGGCATATACAGACTAAGATCTATTTTTGTTGAAAACAAACCTATTTCTAAATGACGAGGATGTGGGACGCCTTCTATCCACTTCATATAGACTCTAATGTATAGTTGTATCATTGGCAAATATATCATCATATCTCCTTGTTTTTATAATGGGACACCATTTGGTAAGCTCCAATTAAATTAAGTATTATTAATCTATAGTCTATATCATAATGGTCTCACCTTCATTTTTTATATCGACATAAGCATTAGGATTGTCTCTGAGACCAAGGTCCTCATAATATTTTTTCGAACTGTATCATAAATAAAGTTACCATAAATATGTGTAATTGGTTAGTCGAGTTGTATTATATTGATGTGTAAATGCATTTTCTATATCAATTTAATTGGAATTCGCAGCAACCTTGCGTCACGAAAACAATATAAAGGGGGAGCATATGATTACAATGTTGTATGTTAAGTCTTTTTTTATTGGTGACGTTTATGGCAACCACAAAGTTCGTACATGTATTAACGGTCGCCATATGTGGTGCAGGATCTGCTTACCATCTCGGAGCCCCTGCAATCACCAGAGTTTTAGTAGGGTTCGTGTTGCCCAGTCTTAATAGTTTTCTATGAGGTGTTTTGTATACTGTTGTTTTGTCCTTTCTTGTTTTTTTTATTTTTTCAATGGCGTTGTCAGTTTGTTTTCGACTTATGGAACTGAATATAGCTTTGTTATCTTTCACCATTTTTTTACACGTTTTATGTTGTTAAAATTATGAATGCCTACACAGGCGAAATAGGTTTGTCAGTGTTAATGAAATGTTTGATCTTAAAATAATTTATGTCTATTGTATTCGATATTTTAGTAATAAAGTTTATTTTACAGAATTCATAGATGTGTTAACTCCTTACAAACAATATTCCACTGCATAGTATTTGTTTTTGAAATCATGAAATGCAGAATAAAAGATGTTTTCATAATAGTTTGACAAGAGCACAAAATAAGGAATAAATTAAACATGCCTACCTTTGAGCTTTGTTTTCTTCACGGGCTGTAAAGGACGAAATATAAATGAAACAAACATAAACCTCAGTGCAAAATTAATAACTGGATATGTAGATATCAAGCAATTCCTTTCATTGGAATATCATTATTTATTATAATTCACCAGAATTACGGGTCGACAATGATTTTTGTAAAGTAACATTGCATTCTTGGAGAAAAGGATATTTAAATAGAAATAAGATATATTGTATTGTGCTGTCTCTTCCTGACAGTGCATTTATCTTGCATAAAAAGTCAAAATTAAGTAAAACTCATTAAAGATATCAGGCTTAAAACCTAATACGCCAGACGGGTGTTTAGTCTTCATAAGACTCAACATTTGCAGTCAAATCAATACGTTTATGAATAAAATTACGATTTGAAGAGCACTGAAATCAAAAATATAAAAGGTTGTGCCAACATTTACGCGTAAGATCACACAAAATTTAGTGTTTTGAATGATATTAACATTTTCTTAACAGAAAATTTACAGAAAATGACCGTATCAATATCATTTCATCTCACTGACTAGTGAATGTTATGACGAAACTGTCGGGAACGATACGTCCAACCGTAGTTGTATCGACCCAGTTGTTGTTAAAACTAAAACAAGATACCAAATTTATGATATAATACACCAGTCGCTCGTTTAGGACTATTCAGTGATGCCCGAATTTAACTGTTGAAATGCGTAATCAATCATTTATGCGGATATGTTCCAATTGTCGTAACTACAATCCCGTCCCCCTTTTCCCTTTGGTTTTTTCTTATTGATAATTATGTCTGGGAAAACATGATTCATCTTAAATTAGTTAAAATTGGTTTTTAACTTGCTTTTAGTTACTAAGGATACACTTAGAAGGGTTAGTTTGTTGTTTTTTGTGTTTCGGGTCAATCTGTTAAGTCAAACCCTTTTAGCAAATTTTACAGTGTTTTCTAATGTTGTTACACTATTGTCCAATGATAGGGGAGGGTTGAATGCTCATTAATATGTTTAATCCTGCCATATTCGTATGTCACATAGCCAAAGTCAGGAGTTTGTATTTCAATTGTCGTTGATTGCTTGTCTGCTATATCTGTTTGTTGTTTGTTGTTTTAGCAAAGTCATGTCGTTGGTTTTGAAATATCTCATTGAGTAATAAATAGGCCTTAAATAGTTACTAAAAACGGTGTGAATTTGGCTCATAGTTGAAGGCCATACAATGACATATAGTTGTTTCATTCTTTTTCTTTGGTCTCTTGTGAATAGTAGTCTTATTTAAAATTATACCACATCGCACTTGTTTTTATAATAATCGTCTCACCGTCATTGCCTTAATCGTCATAAACATTAGGTCTGTCTTTTCTACCAAGAGCTTCATAATTGCTTCCATAGCTGTAAATTTTATAAATTGAAAAAACGTTTAATTTCATGTTACATTTGGTACATAATGTATCTGTGTGATAATTTTTTTTAATATACTAAGAGGTGACCGCACATTTCCATGTATGAAGGACTTATTATGAATAAAATAGGGAACTACTATATCAAAGTCTTTTCTAGGCGGGAAGGTTGGTTGTTAGCTATTTATTTTCAAAATACAGGAAAGTATACTTAAAATACCACATAGTTCCTAGTGGTGTTATCAGAACAAACACCAATTGTGTAAATAAATTAAAATATAGTGAGTAACTTTACTTCTGAGTTTACTTTTTTTCAAACCAAACTCAAATAATTGTGTTGAGGTTGTCGGAGATAGATTTGTAAACAAAAGCTAATTCAATTGTTCCCAAAGGTGATCCTTCCTCTTTTAAAATCTATTAAATCAAACATGAGCACAGTCAAAAGAACATTCTGACAATTTCAACGCAGATTTATGTTCATTGTTTTTGGCTCAAAACCATTTATATGATGTCGTAGATAGAAATGCCACCCCATGTTGTTTCTGTAGTAAATCCGTTTAAAATAATCTTTAATCAATCAACATAGTAGAGGCTTTATACCCCGGAAATAGCTATATGTGTAGAAAAAAATGAAACAATATTATTATTTTCAGATAAAATTTAAAACTGCATACATAACCGATCTTTTTTCCTGATACACTCACATAGTTATTTATCGTTTGGGCCAAGTGCATCATATTGATATGTCGAGCTGTATTAATTTAACATCGATGTAACATTTTTCTCAATATTCCAATATCTTTCAAAAGCAAATATCATGCCTTATAGAATGGATTAAATAATAATGTCTGATAAATGTACTCATACCTTTGATCTCCATTTTCTTGTGACGCTGAAAAACATAAAATGTATGTAAAAGATGTGTGTTTTTAAAACATTTTTTCTTCAACTGAGCCCCATAATTTGTTTACACTATACTGCGTTTCATGTCGTATTATAATTTTATGATGGTGTCATTGGGACCAGTTAAAACAATGAGGTAGGAGCAGTTTCTACTGAATTTCTGATTCAGCTGCAGAATCAATCCGGAAAAGTCCTGGAATCCTTAATAAGTGTCATAAACTCTGCCAGCACACAAAATAAAAGATTACTAAAAAATTCTGTCAACAATAAATCGACTTGAAGACATTCAATAAAAAAATAACGCTACTTGTAAATGATCTGTATATTAAACTTTGAGATAGACTTCTGACCTTCAATATACATCAAAGCACATTTGAACAAAAAACTTTATAAGACACGTGATGATTTTAACGTGCCAAGAGCATGTGTCCACATGACATATTTTTTTTGTGAAAAACCAAAAGATGCCATATAAACTGCTCTGTAAAGAAATATTCTGTTTAAAGTTCACACTTTTTTCTGACGCCATAACGATTAAGTCGATCTTTATCAGATTGGTCACTCAGTCTGCAGTTTAGTTATTTCCTTCGATGATCATCCGATGACGTTATATTCACAACAAGGCATGTTGACTCTAAGGAGTTAAAGTAAGCGTTCAGGTTGCAGACATTCGCTATAAGTGATTGTTTTTTTCATTTTCAAATATACAAAAATGTGTTGGGTTTCGTTTTGTAAATTGTATTATTTGTTTATATCAATCGAATTGTATATAGTTGCCTCACCTTCATTGTTCAATTCGTCATAAACATTAGGTACGTCTTTTGCGCCAAGTTCATCATAATGTGGTGTTGAACTGTAACATTAGTTTATATATAAGATAATATTTTTATTTTATTTTTCATATGATGAAATAATATTTTGTCTTTCTATGTATGAGTTTATTTACCATAAATTATATATTTCTACTAAATGAAGGAACGACTTCTTTAAATGAAAGCGTTAAATCAAAAGTGTAATTTATAGAAACAAACTTAGAATAAAACGTTTTAGATTATATTTAAACATATACTATCCAAGAGTGGAATCCATGCAATAGGAAATTGATAAAGAACGCTTTCTAACACAATGCAGATTACATGTACCTCTGAGCTCTTGTTTCTTGTGACGCTGTAAAATATAAAATGAATATGTCATGTACAAAAATATGTCTGTAATTTCATTAATTACTTAAACTGACCAAGATATTTTAAACAAATTAAGCTTCATATTGTATTTTGTTACTGGTGCTGCATTCTGATATAATAATGAAGAAGGACCAATTTGTCTTGTATTTCTGATTCAAACACAGAATCATCAATATTCAATTTCTTGTCCCGAATTGATCTTTTATGTAATTTATATTTGAAATCTATATCAATATTCAATTTCTCGTTCCGAACTGATCTTTTATGTAATTTATATTTGAAATCTTTAATGATCATCGTTTTTATGCATGATTTGAGTAAATGTTTCAATCATATATTTAGTATTGATTAATTTCATAATAATAAATGTGGTCACCTTTATTGTTTAAATCATCATACACATTAGGGGCCTCTTTCGAAACAAGTACTTCATAATTGCTTGTCGAACTGTAAAATAAATCATTGAAAATTGAAAATATGTTAAATTGGAAGTAGTATATTATATGGTGCTGTGTAAGTGCTTTCTGGTGATAATTTTCATAGTGACTGAACGTTGAATACATCCTGACTTAACTGGATTGAACATATGTGCCGTATTTGGTACATCGATTGCAATCTTGGTATTCCATTACATGATGAGTTCGACGGCAGAACTTTTTAGGGAGATGTAAATAAATATAGAAATAAGTTAGTAACTAAAGTTAAATGAGAAATCAAGCTCTGTCCCAAAAGTTCAATTTACCTTTGATTATTCTTTCCTTCTGGCCCTGTAAAAATACATATAATGTTTACAGATTAGTTATGATAAGTACATGATATGAATATTGGGATGGGAAATCATTGGTAGACACGAATAACATAACCCAACACTGCAATTAAACAAGAAATGAATGTAGCGGTTAATAAATTTAAATGAAATTATAAAGAAACTAAGGTTTCAACTCCCTCAGGCAAAGTTGGCCTAAGAAGGATTTGGCTATTATTTTAGGTCATTTTTTATTATATAGCTCTTTAACTGTTTCGGTTTTATACATCCTTGGCTTTCAAGTATTCGGCTTTGAGCGTTCCTGGTGAAGGTAAATCCAGAAAAGCGCTTCGGACGCATTAAATCAATAACGTGTTGTTTTCATTTTTTAACATATAATGTAGTACATTTTGAATCAAAGTTTTAAGTTCGATCATTTTAGAAATATATGTGCAGACCATGTACTAGTTATCTAACCTTTATTACTTAAATCATCATAAGTATTCGGTGTATCTGTCAAGCTAAGTGCCTCATATTGTTTGGTCCAGCTATTAGAACAAGAATACAAAATGCGAAATTAATTTTTATGTGTAATCTTGTTTATGGACAAAATTGAAAAAAATGTAGTTGACATTACTTTATTTAGAATATATAATCAAAAGTCTGCCATGTTTCTTTATTGAATTTTACTGTCTTTCTCTTGTTCTGAGATATATTCATTTCAAATGTTCGCGTTCGGTAAGGATTAGCAAATTTAAATGTGCCTATCGTCTATACATTTGGTTATTTTGTATGGTTAGGGAAGAGACATTAACTTCTCTTCCCTTCCCGAGTACCTGAGGTTCGTGTCTGATTTGTCTAAAGTTCATCTTGCTCATTCTTTGATTTTCTATGTAGTTGGTTGTGGAATGTTATGTGTCTGTTCGGTTTTTTTACCAAGGCATTATCTATTTTTGAATATCCCGTTGGTATCTTCTCAACATTTTATACATGGTTGAGTAAGAATCAATTATTTGTTTTTACTTCTTCAAAAAAAGAAAAGGTAAAACGAATAAAAAGGATGAACAACATTTATTTAAAAGAAATTACTTTGTACCTTTCATGTCTTTTTTCCTTTGATTCTGTAAATAGATATATGCATTCATTGTTCATTATATAATATTTTTTTATTGATAATAATCCTACATATGAAAACATTATGACATCATCATAAAATAAACGCGCTTACAGTCACCAAACGTCTCAACTTATAACTAAGAAATTGAAAATGACACGTAACAAATTTGTTGCGACCGAAGCGCTTTTCTTGATTTACCCTCATCAGGAACGCTCATTCCCAAATATTAAAAGCTAAGGATATATAAATATATAAACATGTCCAAATGGGGCAAAAATTAATCCAATAACAAACACCAATATATAGAAAATAAATAAATTCATGATAAACCGTATGATGAATAAAGGGGTATAAAAAGAACAGCAAAATTCGCAAAAAGGGAAATTTTGCCTCCGAGGATGGTACCTTTGTTTCTTTAAATTTGTAAAATTTAGCATTAATTAAGTTCAGTTTTCTCTCTTTCCTTGGTGATTGTCAGTTGGTATGAAACATTGACAGTTTTAATACACCAGAATGGTAAAATTTACGTTACCTTACAAATAACGTAAAAACTTTAAATTCTTATGTCGTTGTTATTCATTCTCCATGCTATTGAAAGTCATCAATCGGTATGAAAAATTGACATGTTCAGGACTAGAAATGGTCAATGACATATAAAGATACAAACTAAAATGTAAAGTTTTCTTTTTAAAAAATTAGCAATCTGTCAAACCGATAAGTACAAAAAACCTCAGTTTTAAAGATTGATAATAAGACAATTTGACACTTCTTTTTGAAATTTCATAAATCATACTATGTTAACCATCTTACATATGTATTTATGATTGTAAAGTAATTTCAGTGTAAAAATTATAAGATTAGTAGTTCGAAGTTGTAAATTTTCTAAACAAAAGAAAGTGACAATGATGTTCGTTATAAATAATAATACATTTGTACTGCTATGAAACAGCAAAGATGCACTGATTAGATATGTAGAAAAAAGAAAGGACTCCTCTGAATATTACAAAGCATTCACAATATATTGAAACGGTGTAAGATACACGAAGGAAAGCTTACGTACATGGTACACTAACGGCAAATGAGACATGAGCAAACGTACACTCATATTAAGTACATAACCTTAGGTCAATTTTGGTCAAAGCAATTGCACCCTTAGTTTGTGTATTTTTACTTAATAAAAAATCTAAATAAATAATATAACTGTATAATAAAAATCACTTGCTTAGGTGGATTGTATTCACGAAGAATTACTGTTCACCAGCAGCGACAACAAACCAGTGAAATTCAAATAAACATTTTCTACCGATTTCATTCTGCATAGAGAACATTTCAAACGCTTTAAATGAGAAGTATTTCCTATTTTCCGTTCATTGAAAAATCACGGATTTTAATTTGCTACTAACATTAATTCAATTTGAAAAGATGCACAGCCGCTTATAAGTTATCTTGAATACAAATATGTAGCAAAAGTATAAACGAAATAATTGCAAACGTTTAGAAAAAATATTGTTTGTGATATTACAAAATGTAGTTATCTAATAGTTTGTACCTTTATTATTTCGAACTTCTTCATATACGTTTGTTTGATCAGCAGAACCAGTGTTTTCGAATTTTACTGTGCTACAATATAATAAAATGTCATTTCAGACAAAATCAAACGTTAGACTTCATCAACCAACGGAACGATTGGAAAAACAACTGTCATATTTCCGACTTGGTACAGGCATTTTCCGAAGAAAATGATGGTCTAAACATGGTTTTATAGATACCTTTCACTTGTTTGACAGTTGTTTATAGTTCCGTTATATTAACAAAATTGGATGAGAAACACACACAGACATAATTGGTTTATGTGACAATAATTGGTATCCAGCAGCCAAAACTGTATAAACATGCACCACAGACATACAACTGAGTAACAAATTCAAACAAACGTACAAATAAATCTAACAAAGACAAAAAAAAGGTTTTTTAGTTGATTGTAAATCTGACAAAGACTTTTTTGTTGTTTATAGTTCATACAGTATATAGTATACACTTTCCCGATTATGTACACTATAAAAGGATGTAGTTATGTGATATTAAAAATAAATCTATTATTTGAAATTGATACTATAAGTCAGAAGAGCATTAGTAAGAAACAAAAGAAAAGTGGGTGATATGGGGCAAAATATTTTATCCTGTATCGTAGGAAAACCCAAGAAGTCCGAACATCTGACACAATCACAAACCTGACCTAAGTTCATCATTGAGTAAAATATAAAAACAAACTGGTAAACAAAATTAAAACAACACTGTAACATGTGTAAAAACCTTATGTGTCCGAATTGCACCTCTCGACCCAACTCAAACAGGAACGCTCGAAGCTAAAAACCCGATAACTGGATGCATGAATACCAAGCCACGTCAAGAAGTATACGACCAAAATGAACGTAATAGCACAGAGACAAATAAAGGAGAAAATGTAAGGTAAATAAAAAGATATACAACTTCAGCATCTAGAATATATAATTCAATGCCATCTTATAGTATTTGTGAAGTATTCAGTGAACTTTTTGAGAGAGAAAAAAGACAATGAGTTCTTTGACAAAATACTGGCCTATTATTGTTTTGCTCAGACACAGAAATATATTCTAAATCTATCTTTTTTAATGGTTGCAGCAACTTTTATTTGTCGCTTACATTTATTTACTTACTTATCGGATTGTTGGTCCCCTGAAATAGAATATTTTAAAATACACATGTGTAAACATGAAGTTACATTTCCGTTTGTATATGTTAATTGCTTAGAATATTAAAAAAAATATGTTAATTTTATCAATACACGAATAGCATGCTGCTATAATCTGAAAACGTTTGAACAAAAATGTCAGTTATGATGTTACAATGACGCAATAAAGATGCTAAAATTGACAAATTTTACCTTTAATGGTATTTTTTTCACAGTGTTTTAGCAAGATAAAATATGAGCAAATCATTTTCTAAAAAAGGGATCTTCCTCCCACATTAATATATATGTATAAAACATCTTGTCGTAAAATAGTTTTTTTAAAGCCTTGGATCACATCTAACTTTTAATAACAAGATTTCAAAATGAAGCTGTCTTTAAAAGTTTACATTGAAATTAAGGAGTCATTAGTGAAAATGTAGAATAAATTAAAACAACCTCTGTAAACTATTTTTTGATAAATTTATCATAAATTATCATATCGACAAACGCGGTCTCTATCCTTTTGGACTGCATGCAAGTCCTTCGGTGGTTTTTGTTTTTTTGTTTTTTTTTGTTTTTTTGTTTGTTTTTGTTTTGTTTTTTTTTACCTTGATTTGTATTCTTACTCGATTTATGATATTTCAACTTTGGTAAACTATTGTTGCCTATATATATATGATACATTCTCTTAAACAAAAGACATGTTTTATATATCTTACCTCTCCGTTTCCTGACTATGACAAAAATCAAAACCAATATTAAAATAAGCAATGATATCAGGCTTCCTGTCACAGCACCAATATTAACACCTGATGATGAAGTTTCGATTGTTTGTTGAACTTGAAAACATAAAATAAAAACGTATTAATAACAAAACTAAATTCAACATAAATATAACAGTGGTATTTGTTTTATTCAGATGGCTTCAATTTGTTTTTGTCTTAAGGTAGATTCATGGTATACCGCCATCTTGAATTATACAACCCCAGTACAAAATCCGTCTAGTTATTTGCCCAAATCTGCAAATTTGGAGACAGATTTGCAATTTATTGGTTAGAATGTTTATTTATATTAAGAAAACTTGTTGATTTATTGTATAACTCAAAATATTTAAACAACTATCAAATTTTGCGTTTTTAGAATCATTTTTTTCAAATAAGCCATTTAAGGGGAGATAACTCTTTAAGTAAAAAATATATACTGGACTGATAGCGAAATTTTTAATGTTTACTTGTAGCAAGAAAACAAGTTCGGTGACACCATTTTTCTTTTTATTTTCTTAAAATATATTATGAAACCTATCTTCTCACAATTTATTTCAAAATTCTATCTCATAGATTTTTTTTTATGCACACAAATGTGTTTTTTCATGAACAGTCTAACCAAATTTAGGCAATTTTTAACAACTCATAGCTTGGAAAATAGCACGGTGACCCATACTTTTTATTATATTTTTGAAAAAAACATAGTAAAATCTTCATTTTGGCAAAGTATAAGAAAATTCTATCTCAAGAAATATATACCTATGATCTACCTTAACTAAGGACTGGACATGTATCTTGCAGGGTGATAATGTGTTATAGAAATTATTTTCACTTTGTTTTAGGCAGGGATATTTAAAAAACATTTTCAATCATATATCTATATTTATTGCAAAGTTTAATCATAATATAATGCAATATTTTATCGTATGTATATTGGTTTGTTATTCTGTAATAGGCCGTATATCATTTACTAATAAGGTGTCAGTTATTGATACATTTTAAAGCAAACATCAAAGATAACGATTTGAACCAAATAGATGATATATTTCAAAAGTAGAATATTAATATATAAAAAATTAAAGAGGAACAAATAGGACTAGTACATTATTCTCACAATTAACTTTCTTGTAATTTCTCTTTCTAACAATTTCACTTCTGAAATGGGTTTCTGGTGAACAGAAAATAGTAAAAACACCTTAATGTAATGCAAAACCCATAACTGCGGAAAAATATGTATAGAAGCAGATTGTCGCTGAATTTAAAAACGTATCTAGATATCTTTTGGTTTTTCTGTGTTGTTGGGCTACTTTCTCATTGACCTTTTTTTGTACAATATTGACTTCAAATATCAAGTTAAGATGACAAATCTATATTAGCAGAGTTCTATTATTCTAGTAATGAGTAGACGTATTATTTTAAATTAATGGCTTTCTATATTTTTGTCTCAACATTTCTTTTCAGAGCAATAGTCGATCTGAATATCGACAAACCAAAATATGAAAATATTACACAGAGAAAATAACTTAATGATACCTATATATTGTATAAATAGCTAGTTTGTCATTGTTTTTAAATTTTCTCATTGCAATTTATGGAATAAACGCCATTTTGCAGGCCGTTAAAAAGTATCTATGTAATAATACACATTAGAATAGGCGGGATGATTTTTCGGACCCCTAAGCACTCAGAAACTGAGCAGTAATGTGGAACATTTTGTTGCCAGGTCTTTAAATTATTTTGTGAATCTCTTGGGAGTAATTCCTCAGGCTATGGGATGTCATTTCGAAATTCACCGACTATTAAGTCTACAATGTCGTCTATCAAATACTGGAAATACCGTGGAAATAAATAAAATATTCCATTTCGGAATTTTTATCCTCAATGCCCCTCAACCATGTCAACTTCGTACTTTATTTGGCCTTTCAACTTTTTTGTTTCGAGCGACTGTAGTGAGTCTTTTGTAGACGAAAAGTGTATCTGATATACAAAAAAAAAACTATAAGCCTGGTATCTTAGACGTGTTTTTTTTATATGTGAAGGCGTTATCAATGTTTGAAGGTGTGATTGACCATAGATACGTGGGTACAGGACACATTTTACATAACACAGAAAAACGCCAAAACAATTGAAATTCAAAGAAAACAAAATAAAACAACGGATTTCGAAAAAAAAACGGAGAAGGCTAAATAAAATTGTTCTGTCACCAAGTATCTATATAATCAACAAGTTGGATAAATATGTTTATCCTGAAATGGTGCTTTACGGTTTTATCTGCTACATTTGTCCTTCTACAGTTGACGTTCAGGTGTCAGCTGTTTGTTAAACATTATTTCATTCTTGTGAGTGATAGTACATGTCCTGGCTCTATACAACTGACCACGTAATACCGATTGTTTGTTGAAAAACACGCCAACCAGGCGTAACAAATATGTTGTCAATCAAGAGATCAAGCATCTTGATAATTTTAGTAAAGATAATTTTAGTTATCAAATTAATTATAGTCTTACTTGATAATTCCAGAACAACGGTATGTTCAACGGGTTCTCCCATGCCATTTCCTAATATTAATGTATAGTTACTGTAGTCCTCATTTTTTATATCATTTATAGTAAGCTTTAGGACATAGCCGTCAACCTGTACAGTCTTTCCATGAAAAACATCTTCCACCTCAGCCGAGGATTCCGAAATAAGAAACTTAGTTGAAAACTGAATTTGTTTCCCGTTATTAAACCAAGTATGGTAATAGAACTTAGGAACACTATACACATGAACAACTATCTCGACAGATTTACCAATCTCTCCATACTGTATACGTCTTTCTTCATTGTCGAATGTTATAACTGGCTGTGCTAATTATAGAAAGTACAATGTTTTATAAGTTGATCTAAACACTTGACGTTCATGAAATAAGTCAATGTTCCGCAACTATTTAAGGACCTTTGAAATCTAGAAAACAATCGAGTCATGGATTCAAAGTACCACATATTTCTTTGAAAGAAATCAAATATTAAAGGTTCTATTTCTACCAGCAATGGTATCGGGAAAGTTGTAATTATTATGATAAAAAAAATAATAGTTAATTTTCCGCTCTTCTCGCATTTACCACAGACTTTTCCGTCCGACTCAAATATCAATTATATCTTTATTGTATTGTTTGAATGACTGCATATTTTAAATCAAATTAAATAACACATATTGATAGATGATTAGACTTGTAAACACCTCATATTTGTTTTCTACGTTAACTATTTATGTAACAGTTAAATATATAGATTCCACCACTGCATCTAGTGTGTTACGATATTTCTCCACTCGAGACAGATAAATTTTATTATGTGAAGCGCGAGGCTTGCCGAGCTTTTTAAATAATTAAGATTTAACTATTGAGAGTCGAGAAATATCGTAATACACGAGTTATAATAATATATAATTTTGCATGAATAATTAATCTGTAATGATAGTATACCCGTATACAGTTATATCAGTGTTAATATAAAAAAGTAAACTGGTGTCAATATCTCATAACTCAAAGTATACTTAGACAAGCTAAGAAGTCAAAACATTCGAAATCTCTTTAATCGAAGTTGAGCAAGCCTGATGCATCGATAGGGAGGGTCAATAATTCTGCTGTTAATGCACCAAACGTCACATGATACTAAAGCAACATGAAGTAAAAAGCCAAACAAAACTGTTATAAGTATCAGATTGACAATGTGGGATATGATAGAAATTTGACAGATGAGTTGAAATCTGAGATACTTTAACGATCAAAAACCACATGCTATCAGTTGGTCATGCTCATAACCTTGCTGAAAAAAGTTTTAGCGGAGATCACATCTCTATTAGATAAATCGCCGTTTAAAAATTCCGCCGTTAAATAAAATCACTTAGATATACAGAAAATCTTCTTATCTTTGTAGGATCCTTTATTTCAAGTTCAACGTGAAACATAAAATGTTACATGACATTGTGTCAGTAATCACTGAAAAAAATTACATAAGTGAAAAAGAGACATAATATACCTAGGGATTAAACAAAATAGCATCATGAAGTCGAAGAAAAGCTAAAAACACCATGGCCACAAAAGAGCAAACCGATGAAAAGACAAAATTTAGTCTACAGTACTCAACAGAAAATAGAAAACAAAAGACTAAGCACCATGAACGTCACAAAATAACGAAGGTGATTTCCAAAATACGTTTATGAGTAATGTCAGGTGATGATGCATCATATAATAACAGAGTGATGGAAAGACATTGTGTATATTTCTAAAGTTAAATTCAGTATCATCAGCCAATTATCCTTTCCTATAGAAAGGTTTTTTTTATATTTTGTTCTTCAAATTAATACAAGGAAAGTTCTGAGGGCATTGGTGCAGAGCTAAGTTTAGTCCGTTGGAATACCTACTCTTTGGTGATATAGTTGTAAAAAATACAATACCATAAGCAATAATTTGTGCTGCTCCTTTGCGTTTTTCTGCTCCATCTGCACCTTGAACTCCATTACTCACTGTACACACATATTCACCGTTGTCTTGATATCTGATTTTTGCAGGAACTACAGGCAGCGTCAAGATCTTCTCTCCGTCCAGTTCCCGAATAAAGCGTCCATACACAGTCTTATGCTGCCACTTATAAAAAGTGTATGTATCAGGATAACCTTCAGCTGTGCAATTTATTGTTCGTGTTGAATCTTTCATTTCATAGGTGACATTAGAAACTGACACATCTGGCGCAACTACAATAATACTGTACATTGCATCCACTTTTTAATGCACAATATAAAGATTAAATAGTGTTCATTGAAAAATTGTTAAATATGTACCGACTGAGACTTTTCCCATTAGAATCTTTTGTAGCATACTATTAACTTCCTACCAGAATTTACACCATCGGTAATTATTGCTTTATTTTCATTTATATTACATGTAAAAGTCTCCTATTCAAACGATTCCTATTTACGAAGTAACACATTAAGTCTCCTTTTCTAATAACATAAACGGTACCAATTTTTCTGCACCAGATGCGCATTTCGACAATCAATGTCTCTTCAGTGATGCTCGAGACATCTAGTAATTTGTATGACTAGGACAATACCAGTATTGTCACATAAAATGATGTTGAATACTGTTACTATTTCTGCAAATATCGACGTACTTTCAATTGGATAAATAGTTTACATTTTGAATATGCTTTTAGGTGCCACGAAATCATAATAAACAAAAACCAGTCTTATGGTCGTTGATTTGGAACTTTAGTTCAAGGGATGCTTGTTTAATAATAAAAATAACTATTATCTAAACTTTCCACAAAAATAACAACATAAATATATAAAGTGCTACTTACATCTTACAAATAAACTGATCTTGTTTGAAAATCCCCCAACTGTGTTATTAGCTTTACATGTTATCGGTTGCAAATTGTATTTCCTGTCTACAACGTATGTTAACGTAGAAGTCACTGTGTATGATTCATCAGAATCTCTGTTTTCTTGTGATGATGCTTCAAATGTTGCATCAGTTTGCCCTACCGTCCACCAAACGGTAGCTGCAGGACGGCTTCCAGTTGATGCACAAGACAGAGAAAATGGCACCATTTCCAGGGTATTCACAAAGGATGCATTTAAGATTGGTACTAAAGGCATTACTGAAAATTGATTATGGTATTCGTTTTTAAAAAGTCGAATAGAAAGTTATGTTTTGCTAAAATTACAAAGATGTGAACAATTACAGTTCTTGTGTGACCGTCAACAGAAAAAGCCTTTACCGTATAGTAAGCTATAAAACGCCCCAGTATGAAAATAAATGTGAAATAATTCAGAACAGAACCCAACGGCCTGATTGATACAACAACAATAATAGAACAAAATACATTGCAGAAGACACCAACCAACGAAAACAACTGGATTAAAGGTTTCTGGCGGGATTCAAGTTAGAGAACGTTCAGCCCTTCACCTAAACAGGGACAATGGTGTAACAACACAACATAAGAAAGAACTTTCCTGTCCGACAGCTTTTTACAATTGTTACCTGTCTTGTGCTGCTACACTACTGACCCAAGTTATGTGGAAGGTTGAGGCTTCGCAAACATGTGCAACCCCGCCAATGCTATTTATGTATGTACCAAGTCAGTTCTTCAGTGGTTGTCGTTGGTTCTGTCTGTCATATTTTTTTGGGTAGTTGTTTTTTTTTATAAATCATTATAAATCTTTTTTTTTTTTTTTTTTCTCGTTTTAATTGTTTGTCATTTTTCATGTGATGACCTTTATAGCTAACTATATTTTATGGGTTTAGTTCGTTGTTGTGTTGTCCTTTGATCTTTGGTGGATAATTTTCAAATTAGTATAAATACCACATCTCTTTATTAATATATGTAAAAATCAATTGGAAAGAGCTTAGTTTTTAATCCATTGATAGATTACATTCCGTGATTGACATTGACATCGACCTTGATATTATCAAAATATGATGTATTAATTAATGTGTGCATGTCTTAACTTATTTGATAAGACACCCTCCGATTTCTAATTTGGCAGCCAAAGAGGGACAGCACGATAGGATATATATACATAACCAATAGCGTCCTAAAGAATAGCAAACATAGATTTCCTTAGGAAGCTGTAATCTTGTTAATTAGTGTTTATAACATTTATGCAATATTTCAGCTGAACTCGATCATTATGACGCAATATATCACGTCACTTCCACCTAAACATAGCAGGTAAATCACAAGTACTTCTAAAATAATCTAAATAATAATAGTTGCTTTTACTTCGTGTTGCAACAGAACATTAGTTAACGTAGCAGTTAGAAATTGGCAGAGCGGTTGGGTAATGTATTCTATTTTCTACTGACAAAATGTTAGATATAATATACTGCATAAAAGAAAACACCAGTAAACTTTTGTCTCATTATTACATTCCTACTATTATAAGATATGACCTTTGTTTATATTTCTGATTGGCCTCAAAATGAGGAAGAACAGTAATGATTTTTAACAATAATTATTTTGCCATGGCATAAATCTAAGCCTTGTTGCTGTTTTAAGGATAAACCGAGCTGAAGCATTATTGCTGTTTTGACCATAGAAACAATTATATATAAAAAAATTTGAGTTATTTTTAAAACGTTTGAAAAGAAATGACACATATTTTCATTTTGTGAAAATTAAATTTGTGCAATCATTGGAGAGAGGCTCTTCGGATTTTGTTAAAATTTGCCTGAATTTTCATAGCATATCCAAAATTTACACCGCATATGTGAAAATATCTAACATTCGAAAGAAACGTACTTTATATCAAAATTTACGAGATGGACTTCAAAAGAACTGCTAAAAATATTACTCTTATAACAGTCTACATGAAATGAATTGCGCATGTTGAACCGGCTGTTTTTTTTTTTAACCTTAATTTCTAGTTTTTATAATAACAGCTCCTACTCATAAAATAGTTTTTCGATTAGTTTTGTATTTGGTACTACCAACATGACAAATATCGCATGCCGACAGCCTTTGGATTTACTGATTATTATTAACTTTAGGGTTTTATGGTTGGTTTTTTTTGTATGCATCTGGAATGTTGATTTACTAACCTGTGGCGTTGCCTTTTTCGATTCTGTATTGTCTTATGGATTTGGCTTCCTATATCATCTTTTGAGAAATTTATTGAAATTAAAAATGTTTCCCTCCGCCATCGGTACATTTTAATTACCTTGCTTGAAAATGATATAGAATTATAAATACTCACTGACAATTATACCTACAATTTAGATATATTATAGTAGTAGTTGTCATTGGCGTATCCATAGCATCACTGTTTGCCTCACACGATATATTTGTTTGATCGTAAATTCTAGGGATGTTCTGCACAAAATATTGCACTTTCTTGACGCTAGTCTGAACATTAGTTCCGAGAACTACCAGAGACAAAGACGGAGCAGGATTTCCTCCGACAGCTTCGCATTCAATGAGCAGATCGCGTCCTTCTGTAACAATCAATCTGTTATCTGTAGAGGCATTTTGAATGGTCAAACTCGAAGGCTCCTCTAAACAAAGAAATTAGAAAAGAGATTAAATAACAACTAATAGTTTGCTCGTTTTTAGAATAATGAGTTCGGCCAGGCAACCATTTGCTACTGTGGTTTATTACGTTGAGGGATTACATGTACGTTAATTTTGACTCAATGTGTCAGTCTAGAACAAAACAAATCTGATATTCATATCTCATTTGCATGTATCGATCTGAATCATTATTTAATAAATGATGTGTTAATTTTAACTTTCTGTTTACTCGTCTTCCAGTTACAAATCGGGGCAATATCATATCATGAAAACAAGGTGTTTTCATGCTTTCAAGTCTTATCAGATTTGGTTATTATCAAGTTTTATTCTCTTAATTCTTGGGGAAAGTTTAGCGGAGTCATATAAACTGTGTTTATGGAGTCATAACCCGGATTTGTTCAAAACCAGAAGAATGCTTTCACTACCAGACATGAATAAGGATCCATGCATATAATGCAGAAGGTTGATATATCTGATTGTATTCTCTCTTTTTTTAAATCATGAATACCTTCCTTTCTGTATGATCTGGTCACTTCAACATTAGATAAGTATTCACGCCAATACTTGATAATAATTTTTATAAGCAATGATTTTATTTAATTTTGAAGTCGCATTGAATGAAGTTTAGTTATTTCATGTTCTGCTTTTGGTTGATTGATTTTAAATGGAATTTTGAAATTTATTTTATTCATAAAGTATTTACATCTGAAATTGTATACTATAATTTATGTTAAAAATAAAAGTCGAGAAAAAAATAACAAAACAACACTATATCTATACATTAGAAAGCAACATAAACGTCAAGCTTTCGCAAGACAAATTGTCGTGCTGGTTGATCATTAAATTATTGTGAGGTGTTTTGTCTTTTTTTTGTCTTCATTTATTTGCCTGGGTGCTGTCTGTCTTTTTCCTGCTTATTTGTTTATTTTCCCTTTAGTCTACGGCTGCTTTTTATTATAACTGGTACTAATTTATTTTCACCGCAAATACCCCAGTGACATGTACCATGCATCTGCTTACCATAAAAAATCAACTGTAAGAAGTATTCGTCAGTAATTCCTCCTCTACATCTGTAAATCCCCTCATCAGCAGATTGAGTGTTCAGTACATGTAATTTGTAGTACAGCCCAGTGTTAGGATTGACTGATGTTTTGTACTTTGTATCATTAATAGTTACATCCTGATTAGCTATAATATATACAGACCATTCCCCAATCCTATATTTGGACCATCTCAGTCTTGCACTTTCAAAACTACACTGTAGAACTGCCTCATATCCTTGTGTAACATGTTGTTGAAAAGGATCCAATGCTGTACCTGTACCCGCTGCATATACGTCTGTAAAAAACATACCTACAAAGTGAAATAGTACACGAATTATCTGATTGGAGCGAACTGTGGAAATTTTATTATGGGTCATATATTTTCTTGTGGGTTTGTACACGGGCTCTATGTGGACCTTTGTGTCATTCGTGATATTGTTCTTGTTATTAATGATAAATACCTTTTGCATTTTTTATGTTTAGTTGAGATGTGTTAAAGGGTGTGTTTTTGTATTTCATTTTGTTGATATGTTACTTTATTCATACTAGTCTCGTTGGCATTGAATTCTGGAGTTATTCAAATCAAATAAATTGTGTTAACAAGTTTGTATTTCTTTTAAAACCCATGGCATTTTACGTCATACGTATCTGTACACATATACTATACTGTAAATTCAGTAATTTGTGTGATATTTTCATCAAATATGTGAAAAATGCAATCAGATGTAATAAGGTAACAAATATTGTTTGGTTCACACTAATCTATTCTTTTTATTGTAACCGAAATTTAAGACCCACATAAATAAGATCAAGCATAATTCCTGAATTTACAGTTTTGACCACTACATCAAAGCAGTACCAGAAATCAAGTGTAAAAATATGAAAACAGGAACCATGTCATATCGTATTTCTCCAATGGTATTGTGGTGTATACTTTGTACATTAACAACATTTTTGTCACCTCTTCCCTTTTACTTTTTTATTTGTTATTTTTGTTAAAATTTGTAGTTTCAATTTGAAAATTAAAAAAATTCATGACTCCCACCCCCTTTCTTCTGACATAAAGAAACCTCTGACCCCTCCCCCCCCCCCCTTTTCCAGGTTCCATTTTTTTTTGCCGCCCCCCCCCCCCCCCCCTGGAGATAAAAAATGACCGGTCCCTTACTTCTTCCAATTCGATTAGAATCAAGAAGTGCCTTTGGTTGTGAGTTATATGTCCGATCAAGACAAATGCTTATTTTTTAAATTTTATTTTACATTTTTCTTTTTTTTTTTTTTTTTGGTTTATTTTGCATTTTTTTGTCAATAGGTCCCTTTCAAAAATTGTGATATTCCTGAAAAGTTTGGATAAGGCATTAAACATATTTCCTATTGGGTCCATTGGGAACCTCTGTTCCATTTCTGACTTTGAGTATATATATGCGAAGGCTTTCCAATTAGCTTCAAGGAGAGATTCTTTGCAGACATTGTCCTATCATCATTCGTCTAAGGTTTGAAAACGACCGATCCTTACAAAAATCAAGTATTACTTCTGGTAACGAAGTTTGTTGTTAATTAGAACGTAATTCAATGACTGTTACAAATTACCCTGAATTAACTGTTGTCGCCCTACATGTATATGCAAGATGACCAACAAATTGGACAGTAAAAATGAGGAATTTTCCTTGCTGCCACTTTTTTTATCTGTTCTATGGAATCTTTAATTGCAAAACACTGTTATATCTCCAAATTAAGGCAACAGTAGTTTACCAATGTTCAAATCTCATAAATCGACCAAGCAGACAAGTCAAGGTAAGAAACATGAGGAAATCGCATGAACTATAAAAGAAGCGAGATCGGGTGTGTCGACAGGGTAATCGTCTTCGTTATATAAAAATAAAGAAGATGTGGTATGATTGCCAATGAGACAACTCTCCACCAGAGACCAAATGACATAAAAGTTGAACAGCTATGGGTCACCGTACGGTATTAAACAATGAGCAAAACCCATACAGCATAGTCAGATATAAAAGCATAGGCACTTGTCTCTGAAAAAAAAACCTATATACTTAATTTAACAGTATATAGGTAAAGAAAAATTTCAGAGACAAGTGCCTGTACATAAAAGGCCCCGAAATGACAAATGTAAAACATTCAAACGAGAAAACTAACGGTCTGATTTATGTACAAAACAATGAACGAAATAACAAATATGACATACAGCAACACACGACAACCACTGAATTACAGGCTTCTGGCTTGGGACAGACACACATATAATGTGGCGGGGTTAAACATGTTTGCGGTCGCCTAACCCTCCCCTAACCTGGGACAGTGGTGTAACAGCACAACATATGAACAAACTATAAAAATCAGTTGAAAAGGGCTTTACTCATCAAATCGATATAAAACAGAAAAACAAGTAACAAAAACACAGACCGGACGTAACATCCCCATCACCAAAAAAGTCACTAAGTACAGATCACATGCTTCACCTGCCATGGCCAAGTCAATGGCCAAGTGGGGCATTACCAGATGTTTATTATATCCTTTTGATTTACTCCCTATACATGTATAGTCTGAATATATATAAACTCAGCTTATATTCTACCAGAAATCAAAAATCGGAATTAGCCTTTGCTGATCTGACTTTTGTAAAAAAGTTTTTCAATAATTATATAGCTATATTTAAGTATCTTTTTTTTCATGGAAAATATTCAATTTCTGCGACTCTTTTCACAAAAAATCTTAAGAGTAAAAATACTCGTAAGTCATACATATTTCAGTATAACTTACGATTAATTTTAATCGTAAGATTTTTTGTGAAAACAGTCGCTGGATCCTATACTGAAATGAAAAGTAAAATAACAAAAAATACCGAACTCCAAGGGAAATTCTAAACGGAAAGTTCTTTATAAAGTTGCAAAATCTAAAGCTCAAACTCATCAAACGAATGGAAAACAACCGTCATATGATGCAGATCTGTATAATACAGATGTACTTTTGAACAGGCTTTTTCTATATATGAAAAACAAATTCTAAATATGTACGAGGAGAAAAAGCAATGGTCGCCAAAAAAGGAACTGAATGCGACAAATATTTTTTTAAAAGATTAAAAGATGTAATACTGAATAAACAAACAGAATATTAGCAATTAGTGATATCTGCATTAAGTTCGGCACAATTGTTCATAAATCCTTTAGGTACATAAATATTTACTTTTTGGAGTTGCACCTGACAATTAATAATATTACTATGTGCTGTAAGTCGATTAAATACTTACTGCATCCCATGAAAAGTAAACCAGTCAAGCAGGAGTTTGCAAAAGCCATAAGCACGTATAGATCTTCTTTACAATGTATTTTTTAAAACTTCCTGTTTGCACTTAAAAATATAAAATGTCAGATAACACATATACTACACAAGTGTTATTCATAATAGAATGAGTTAAATGTATTTAAATAATCGGATAAGGTTTGAAAAAAAAACTTGTATAAGGGGAGGAGGGATCGATAAGTACACCATACATACATTATGCACATATATATTTCTTACATAAAATAGATAAGGAAACAATTGTATGTGATGTATACGCTTGTCATTGAAAAGGCATCAATGAGAGGACCACTACATGTATGCTCGCAAAAATTATCTTTCGTTTAGTTTTTTGATTTCCCATGCACGTCTGTGTTAATCCTAAATTAATCCGTTCTATAAAAGAATCTTAGACTAATTTAAATCTTAGATATCTTTTAGATTTTGACATACTACAGAAACTATAGAACTAAATATTTTTATAAAAATTGACAAAGATTGAAAATTCACAAGTGTGATATAATAATCAGTATGACAAAATGCGACGATTCAGCATTTCTAATTGTTCACGTCCGATTCTCGAGTTCAAGTATAACATTTTCTCCGAGCATAAGGAATCTGTTGATATGATATGCCAGTGAGAGTTTATTAAATAAATTAATTTCAAATGATCAAAAGCATTAATAACTCATGAATTCACGAGATATTAGTATGATCTATACTATATCTTAAATAAACTCGCGAATAGAAGTTTCTGATCTATTCGTGAAAATGGCAATAAAGCATGTTCATGGTTTCTTAATTGACAACCAATTTACCAACTTTCATGTGCAAAATATAATTTGGTATTTGCATGTTGTTTTATTTTTCTCTTAATAATTGTTGGTTAAAAGAACTCCTTTATAAATATGTTGCCAGTCATACTTTATCACACTGTTTCCTGTTTGCCTTTTTTCGGAAAGGTAACTTTCTATCGATTGTAATGCTGATTCGGATACAGAAAACGCGGAATGATTGAAATTAAAAGAAAACAAAAAAATAACGGATTTTGGAGGAAAAAAGGGGGAATTGTCCTGTATCCATGTACTTTTGTGATCATTAAGTGGGATAGAAATGTTTATCCTGAAATGATGCTTCATGGTTTCAGCAGCTGTATTTGCCCTACTACAGTTGAAGTTCAGAAGTTAGCGGTTTGTTAATCATTAATTCATTTTTATTAGTAATAGTACTTGCAATTTAAGATATAAAACAGACCACTGAAAGCGATTGTCTTTTATTAATATTGGACATGAGCTTCCACAAATCTACATGTATTATTTTTTATTAGTGGTTCTTTTCTCTTTTGCATTTGTTATTTATATTGTCTTTTTTTAATTTTTTTTTATTTAGTTTTTTTTTGTCAAGAATAGGAGCCTGTATGCCTTTAGCGACCGTTTTTCAACACTGGTTTCATTTATCTTTTTATGTATAAATTCATCAGATATTTCTTTAAATTCAAGATTAGATGTTTCTATTTTATTTTTGTTATTTTTTATGATATTATGGTGGTTATTATCAACAGCAGTTTCGTTTCCAATATTTTTTGCCACATTTATAAAGAAATCATTAAAACATTCTGCAACTTTGTTTTGATCATTTATAATTTCATCTTTTTCACATAATATTTCATTTTAAGTAAAGTGGCTCCCTTTATTGGTTAAAAAGGGTTTTAGAGTAGGCCAAAAGTCCTTTGATTTTGGACTACCTATACATCTTTCATAGATAGAAATACGTTTTTTATAGATGAGGGGGTGGACAGTTTTTGAGGGAGGTGGGAGACAAAACATAGGTTTTCCCATTTTGTTTTTTGTTTTACACTTGTTATATTTAGTATATAGTTATCAAATGAAATAGATATATGACTTAAAGTCTTTAAGCTCGGAACTACCAGAAGTGACTTATTAAATGTGTGTATTTTTAGTTGCGCAGAATAAACGTGTACACGTTAAACGAAGTTACCATTGTTAACAAATCAACACTTCATGCTCAAAGGGAAGCACACTTCCGGTTGAACCAATAACCCGACTGTTGTTGTTGTTGACGAAGAATTTACTACGTTTGTAAATATATCTTTCCGTTTAGCTGGTTTTGTGGTATTGCATGATTTAAATGGTTGCATTTGTTCATTCTTTGAATGTTGTGCATGCCAAAAAGAAAGATAATGAATTGACAAAAAGTTTATTGGTTTTAACTTTTACCTAGGCTATTTTTGGATTCTGCTGGTCAAGTTACATGACTTTACATGTACCGTCAGTTGTCAGTGAGTGTCTGTCCCCTTGCCTTTCAAGGCTTTCGAGACCGGTTGAATACAAACAACCATTTTTACCACAGACCATTTCGACAACATAATGAACATTATTTGATAATGTTCTTAACATAAAATATGCATTAAATGTTTTGACAGATTTATTATTTGATAAAAAGTAATTTTATAGATAAAGTGTTGCTGTGATTCACAAGAACACAAGATTTTCTTATGTTGCACTTGGTTAAGACAATATTAATGGCAGATTTTGATTATAGTATTTCCTGCAGCTATTGAAAAGGGCAGGGTAGTTTTTTTCTCAGAGGGCACTCTTATCGTGATTGGCTACCCTTTACAGGAATTCTGGGCCGTTCGCCCTGATTCGCGTTCCCCCTAGTACCTGTTCACCTTTATACCCTGGCTTCGTTCACTCTGACTTTTATTTTATTGTGTTGTCTTGTTGTATAATGCTTATTATAAATTTGAAAAGAGTATGTTAAAGTTTGTTGAAAATTTCGCTGAATTATCAATATTTATATTGTATTGCTGCTACCAAATAATTATTTTCCTTTTATCTACACTGTAGAGTACCAGGAATACAAGGTATTTAACATAAAACAACTGAAGACTATGTTATCTGCATGTATTTATCTTTATTGTTATATTTTAACAATTTCAAAACAATCATTAACAGTTATAACAAGATCAAATTCAAACTTCGCATCACACAACAGTTATGTCCTTAATTTTTTACACTATTATTATTTTAAAGAGCACATATATAGGAAATATGTCCAAACGAACTTGAGCATGTTGAGATCAAAGAAACCAAGCCGTGTGTGAAAAAACATTCCCTTTTATGTCTCGTACATCGTCGTTTTTGTCTCGCTTGACGGAGTCAAAAAGCGAGACATAGGTATGATGTTCTGGCGGCGGCGTCAACAATGTATTAGTTTGTGATTAGGTCTAGTTTGTGGTGAACCACAAGTTGTAGGTCAATCATATTTGGTATACAGTTGTATTAGCATTGGCACATCTCATTTCCATGGAGATTATTTGGCCCTGCCCCCTCAGTCATGATCTGTTGACTTTGAAACTTTTGCTTATTTTACACGTATTAGTTTGTGATTAGGTCAGTTTATGAGGAACCATTAGTGGTAGGTCAAAGATATTTGGTTATGCAGTTGTATAAGCATTGGCATATCTCATTTTCATGGAGATTATTTGGCTCAGCCCCTTAGTCATGGTCTATTGACTTTGAAAATTTTGCTTAGGGTAGTTAACATGTATTAGTTTGTGATTAGGTCAGTTCAAGGGGAACTATTAGTGGTAGGCCAATGTTAATTGGTATACAGTTGTATAAGCATTAGCACATCTCATTTCAATGGAGAATATTTGGCCCCATCCCCTCAGTCATGGCTTATTGATTTTGAAACTTTTGCTTAGTTTACATGTACCAGGGCTCACGCTACCAGGCGACTGTGGCGATAAAGTCGCTTTCTCCTCTGTCACTTCGCTTTGCCCAACCGTCAAAAGCGAAATCTAGACGCCCTGTTGTTCACCATACTCGCTTTCAGTCGCTTTCGTCATCGGACATTTTCAATTTTTAGCAAGTCGATGAAACATCAATCTTTTAGTGATAATTAAAGAAATTGAGACATAAACGATTCATTTACTGAAGATAAGAGGTTTAAGCATTGACTTTACAGTGTGTAGCAGGTTATTTAATAAAAAAATACAGTTTTTTATCACTTCATGCACTTCCGGTACTTGTTACTCGATAGCGTACATCAATCTAACTTTCGGCGACAAAATAAGTTTGTTACTTCATTTGAACGTGATAAACGTTGCCTCCAGTAAATGTTTAATCCATTAATTGCATTAAAAACGTCATATTCCTTTCCAAATAGCTTGTCAAACATCGTTTATTTTTGTAAATTTTCTTCGTCCGCCATAACTGTTTACTAAATACGGATCGAAAACGGACCAGCTACATGTATGACCGAAATCCGTATTTTTATAATAATAACTATGGACGCATGAATGGAACAGCTGACAGAAGAATATTGATCCCAAAAGGAAAAATTATGCATTCCACACGCATTAACAGACTTTTGGTTAGATCTACATGTACTTGATTAATGTATATAATTCCATACATATGGATTGTTTCAAAATATTGATTAAAGTTGCATAACTCTGTGACTATAATACTATTATATCAATATATTACGGCCCAGCTTAACTTTGTATATCTTTTGACATGTTTGATGAGAAACACTGAATTTCATAAACATGATAATCAAGATAGTTTTTTAATTGAATTGTAATTGATATATTATAATTTCTTTACCTTTTTGACATAAAAAAAACCAAACTTTTTAGCGCTAGATATTTAGTTGGTTAGGTTCTCACAAGAACCTAAACTTAAACAACTTTGAATTTGAACTGTTACTTTAATTGTATACTCAGATATGAATTGAAGAATATAAAAAGAACATTATTTACATATGACCCTTTGTACTATAGGTAGTAAAAACCAAACATCATACCGCAGCGCGCGAAGGAGCACTTCTCTTTCAAATCTCACCACTTCTCCCTATCAGTTTCAAAAAGAGAAGTCACTTCTCCCTATGATTCTGAAGTAGTGTGAGCCCTGTGAACATGTATTAGTTTGTGATAAGATCAGTTTAAGATGAACTGCTAATGTTAAGTCAATGATATTTGGTATGCAAATTTATTGGCATTTGTACATGTTGTAAGTATCGTTTCCATGGAGATTATATAGCTCCACCCCCTCTTCATGGTTCATTGACTTTGAAACTTTTACATAGTTTACAAGTTAATGTTTGTGTTTAGGTTTGTTTAAAGGGAACGACTTATAATAAGTCAATGATATTTTGTATGCAGTTGTATTAGCATTGGTGCATCTCATTTACATGGAGATGGTTTAGCCATGTACCTCAGTCATGGTTCATTGACTTTGAATATTAGCCTAACTTGTTTTAATTCCAACATTTGCATAATCAAAATTACAAAAATGCGAGACATCTCTGTGATAACAGTTTATTACTCATTTCAAGCTGTCTAGTTTATTTTTTTTTTAAAATGTTAATTTCATTATTAATTACAAAAAAGCGAGACACATCTCTGTGATAACAGTTTATTACTCATTTCAAGCTGACTGGTTTATTTTAAAAAAAAAAGGTTAATTTCATTCTTAATCCAACAAACACAATTAATACAAAAATAAGTGAACTCAAAGACATCATAATTATACCTAATCAGCATTCTAAATAAAACAAATGTATGAATGAAGCCTATTAATGCTCCAAAACAAGCCATTATTTTTATGCCCCCCCCATAGCGGTGGGGGCATTAAGTTTTACCCTTGTCTGTACGGACGTACAAACGTAAGTCTCAAAATTGGTTTCCGTTCTCTAACTTGAGTTTGCTTCAAACAAATGTTATGAAACTTATACACAATGCTTATTACCACATAACACAGATCATGTTTGAATTTTAGTGGCGTCACTATAACCGTTCTAGAGTTATGCCCCTTTATAAATGGAAAAATTGCAAAATTTTTAGTTTCCGTTCTCTAACTGAAGTTTGCCTCAACTAAATGTTATGAAACTTATACACAATGCTTGTAACCACAAAACACAGATCAAGTTTGAATTTTGGTGGCGTCACTTTAACCATCCTAGAGTTATGCCCTTTATAAATGGAAAAATTGCAAAATTAATAGACTATAGTCTCCGTTCTCTAACTGAAGTTTGCCTCAACCAAATGTTATGAAACTTATACACAATGCTTATTACCACAAAACACAGATCAAGGTTGGATTTTGGTGGCGTCACTTTAACCGTTCTAGAGTTATGTCCCTTTATAAATGGAAAAATTGCAAAATTTTTATTTTCTTCTAAATATCAAGTAATTTTTAAAAATGGAGTTATCTTCCTTTGCCCATGCATATGATTATAGTTGAATCAACTACAATCAATGCTTTATACAATGCAATGTTTAATTTTGACTTCCAGTGATAAAACACAGATCAAGTTGAAATGGGTAGTGTCACTTTAACCATTATTTAGTTATGCCCCCTTATAAATCGAAAGATTGCAAAATTTTTAGTTTCCATTCTGTAACATAAGTTAGCCCAACAAAACATTATGAAACCTATACACAATATTCATTACCACAAAACTAAGATCAATTACAAATTTTTTGTTTCTGTTTTCTAACTTTAGTTTGCCTCAACCAAATGTTATGAAACTTATACACAATGCTTATTACTACATAATACAGATTAAGTACGAAATTTGGTGGCGACACTTTTACCATTCTTGAGTTATGTCTCTTTATAAACATAAAAATTGCTGAATTTTTCGTTTCCGTTCTCTAACTTTAGTTTTGTCTCAACCAAATGTTATAAAACTTATACACAACCGTTCTAGAGTTATGCGTGTTTACAAATAGAAAAATTGCTGAATTTTTAGTTTCTGTTCTCTACTTAAGTTAGCCTCAACCAAATGTTATGAGACTTACACACACTGCTTATTACCACAAAACTCAGATCAAGTTCAAATTTGGGTAGCGCCACTTTTACCGTTCTTCAGTTATGTCCCTTTATAACTATATGATATGCAAGCGGGGGCATCATCTGTGTCCACATGAATACACTATCCACATTATTTTAAATATTTCCATGTTTTTTCATGAATTTTGAGAAAATATATTTTCTTAAATATTAATCATATAAATATCTGAATATGTTAATACAGACTCTATGGGCGAACAGACTCAGGGCGAACGACCCAGGGCAAACATGTAATCAGGGCAAACGTACCCTGTACCCCCTTTAAAGACACCCTTTGCTTGGAGGATAGCACTTTTAGGGCACCCTTTACATACATGTAGATATATTAAGGCACGGTTATAGATTAGGATTTAATCTAAACATACCATTGTTTAATATTTACTGTTTAGAAATAAAGATACATGTATGTATATTAGGTAACCTGGTTACTAAGTAAATTCCTTTTTGTAATAGAATTATTACTTCTAGACTCAGTAATTAAAATCTTGAAAGTGTAAAAGTCTCATTTTAATCATTAACTTCAGTTATAAACTTTGATACTGGACCTGACTTCAGGCTTAACCACAAGTCCTATGGCCATGGCTTGTAAAATTGCTTTCGGGCTTGTAAAATTCTCCTTTACAAGCCAACACACTGACAGAATCCAACTAAAATTTTCAAAATATTGAGCGTCTGGCTTGTGGACTCAAATTTCCTATTAACATGATTAAGGTCTAGATCTTTAAGCATGATATATATATATATGGTTAACATAGAAACATACATTGTACATATATCACCCACTGCCTACATGTATCAATACTAAGGCATATGTTTGAGACCTACATCATTTTGTACTTGTGTCATTTTATATTGGCTGCTGTACATGTCAATTCAGAAATGTTTGCTAAGTTTTGGGCTATTTCCAAAATTTCCATGGGATAGGTTTCACAAAAATAGAATTTAGCATACTAAAATTTGATAATATTATTTGTATGCAGAATTTATGGAAATCGTAATAATTAAACTCAAATTTTTGTCCTTTGTTCAACCATTGCAATACTAAAAGACCAAGAGATTTTTGATTTTAAAGTATATATAATATTTGTGAAAAAACTGTATGTAAAAATATTTGTCAGCTTTTAACTAAGGAATTGGGGGTTTATCCTGGGATCTACCTCACAGAAAAAAATTGACTAGCATTGAATCATATGAATTTAAAGACAGTGGCCATAAACAATGTTAAACTCTATCAAACAAACTTAATTGCAAATATATTTGATTTGGAATGTATTGCATTAGACAGTTGACAGGTACTATTTTTATATATCCAAGACAAGCATGACAAGATTAAAAATCAACAATGTTAATGTTTTTCTAGTCCAAGTAATTATGACGTCTTGAAAGGCTTTTTTATTTTTTTCTTATGTGACGCCTCACAGAAAAATACTAAAATAGCCTTTCAAGATGTCATAATTATTTGGACTTGTGTTTTACAAGACGTTCTACATTGAACAAAGATGACATTTAGAAATCATTTCCTTTGATGATAAAATGAAACATAGACCAATATAAATGATATAGTATTTAAATGTTGTAATTATTTGGTATGAATAGACTGAGATATTGGTAATGTGTCAGTTAAGCAGCAAATCATCAATTCCTCAAAAACAGAAAAGATATGTACATGTAGAAATCAACAAACATGACAAAGTGTCTTTGAAATTAATAAGACATTTAATTTGGATATACCATATGTCAATCTCTTTATTGAATAGACAAGCTGTAAACAAATTACTGTGGATTCATTTATTTTTTATCAATACTAATTTTTGTGGATTGAGAAAAACTCATATTTTGGTGGATATTTGATTTTGTGGATTTGCCAAAAGTCTGTATAGAAGTAAGTTAGAAAATTGTACTATGTTGAACATTTGAATTTCGTGAATTACCTTTATCCACCAAAATTGGTATCCCATGAATAAAACTGAATCCACAGTAACCAACAAAGGTATGACATAATAATGTAAACAACAAATATACTAGCTCATGTACATGAAGTAAGGTTAAAATATTTGATTTTATTCTTAGTATTATCATGATTATATATGTAAATGGTATTATTATACCCCGCTTTAAAAAAGTGGGGGTATACTGTTTTACCTCTGTCTGTCCGCCCGTCTGTCCATCCATTAGTCCATCCATCCGTCCCATGAATATTTTTCGTTGCATCTTTCTCTGGTACTCAAGGATTTCTGAAATTTGGTTTCAGGGTTTATATAAGTCAGCTATACATGCTATACCGTGTGATGCATTTTCAGATTCATCACTCAACAACTTCCTGTTTACCGAACACTTGCATATTTTTACACTATTAAAATTATCCAGTTGCGGCAGGGGTATCATCATTGAGCAGTAGCTCTCAGTTTCACTTGTTTATTTTGTCTTTTTAACCGAAACTTACATGAATAGTAATACTTTTTTCATCTTCTTGTCATTTACAGATAATCACAGATGTTTTCAGATGAACAGTCTGTTGCTCAGGATCTGTACCACACAGATATGTCATCATCCACGATGGGAAATTCACAAATGACAACATCCATAATAGTGCAGCCTTCACAAATATCTGCTACAAAAATGGAACAGTTATCCACTACAGATATGGGAGACAATCCAGACAATCCAGGAACACTGTACATAGGAGACCAAATGATGGGACAGCAAATATCACCACCACCACAGGTACTAGGATATCAGATTGACTACAAATTGATGTGATAAAATAGTCCTTCTTTAGTTTCAATAAAATCCATTTTTGGTTAGCAAGCACATTCTATTGAATCATTATTGTGTTAGATTACTGAATTAATATTCTTTTTTTTTCAAAAGTCAGAAGTACCAGTATAGTGTTCTGTTTTTAAGCAGTTAAGCTGCTTTATGCGAGCACCCTAGATTTGTGTTCTACCCAATAAATGCTGAAATATGTGCCACTGTTATTATCTGGCTGGCTATTATGTTATTTATAACTAATTGAACACTTTTTTCATACTTTTTATTCTGGAATACAAAAAATATGACCAGAAAAACCTTAAATGATCGTCGAACCACCCAAAAGTTTTGAAGTTGCACATAGAAAGTAGTGCTCGCTTGAAACCCTTATGTAGATTATTATCCCCTGTGCTTTTGGCTAAGATGTCAAAGAACAATTGTATGAAATATTTAATCGCCGAAAATCTCTAATTACAAGTCGTTTACATTTGCCAAATTGCAAAAAGCGCAGGAATATTGTATAACGGCTGTGACTAATATGACACGGTGTTAAGTCTCAGTTGGCGGTAATTTTAACTTCGTCGACAAAACGTAAATCAAGGACGTTCTAAATTTGGTGGATTCAGATAATACGAAGGTAATTAATATTAATCATTTTATTCGTTTTTGTCTGAGATGATTGTGATTATTTAAATCATCTTAATTAAATGTATGCTCATTTGTTTTCTTGTTAACACTATTCCGTTTATCTCGTAAATGAGCGTAATGCTTGTCAAATCAAGTTGTTGTTATTGTTATTGAATGAAATAAAACTAGAGGTCTGATTGGTCGATGTCAAGGTCATTTCAAGATGGTTTCCTTTGTGTTTTTAGTTCAGGCTTTGGTGTTACAGACTGCTACACGTGCTTTGATTTAGCTCAATGTGCTTCAAATAATATTGAGATTAAAACTTTAACAATTATTTTCTAAAGGAACTTCCAAAGTCGCATATTTATGTAAAATATTAAGTCCGAATTTGTGACGCGTCTCACACCGTAATTGTTTTTGATTTACAAGGACTTTTCGATTTCCTGTATTGAAAAATACAACTTTTTCGATGTTTCTTATTATGAATTTTTTCATATTTAAACACTCATGAAGTGTTCTAGAATCATTTCTATGCGACTTTTCCATGAAAATACTGCAAAAAGAAATCGCATGATAAGAACAGAAGGTAACGTTAACGTTGTCAACAAGTTGAAGTTACAAACATTTTTTTTCTTAATTCCTATTACAGTTATTCTGGGAACAGTATATCTAACGGGAAATGAATCTGATACGCTTTTCAGTATAAAATTGATAAAATCTCGGACTCCCCGAGACTTCCCAAGATTTATGGATTTTGGTAGCGTCTGACTGAAAAACTATCAGAACAGTTCAACAAATAAACCACATAACTCTAATAGTAAATAAATACAAGTTTTATCATTTAGTAGATATATTTTGTCATATAAAATTACCAAAATAAGTTTGATTTATTTGATGTGAAGTGTTTTATAATAGTTTGGGAATTTGTAAATCATCGCGGCAATGGCCGCCATTTTTTTATTACCTGGTTTGCATTCTGCACAATTCTGTGATGAAATGATTGCGATTTTAACAAATTTGAAGTGACAGAATACAAGTTTGATACACTAGCATCACTATAAAACTAGTTTGAATGACATTTTATTGATAATATCAGAAATTATTAGGATAATAGCGAATCCGTTTTTAACACATGTCCGTTTCTGTATCGTATCTTTATTAACTATGGCACGACGATAAAATCGACTACAATCAGGTAGTGTCAAGTCCCGTCAATATATATGTTCCTGAGTTATTTAAATGTCAAATAAATGTTTTTTTTTATTATGATATTAATAATGGAAGACAGTGAAACCGTAATCAAGATATTTTAATTCACTTATAATTTTAAATAAAATTTAGAATAGGGAATGTGTTAAAGAGACAACAACCCGATCAAAGAGCAGACACCAGCCGAAGGTTACCAATGGATCTTCAATGCAGCGAGAAACTCCCACACCCGGAGGCTTGCTTCAGTTGGCCCCTTAACAAACATGTATACTAGTTCAGTGATAATGGACTTCATACTAAAATCGGAAATATACACAAGAAATTAAAATTAAAAATCATACAACACTAACAAAAGGCCAGGGGCTCCTGACTTGGGACCCCAGAGAATATAAACATTAATTATCACAGCATCAATGAAAATGGACAAAGCTAATACGTAAAGATTTTAGACATGAAGTTTTTTTGCTACATTGTATTTGTCAAAATAAGCAATATTATATACCTATTTGTATTTGTTTCTGTTTCTGTTTCAGCTTGATTCCAACCTTACGCCCCTTTGAACTTATTTACTTTAATGCACTACTGCAACAGTTTGTCATCGCAACTCCTCTCAAACCACACAACAGAATTTCATGAAACCTTTTCAGATAATAAGGACATACTACGTAGATGTGCATATCGACAGGAAATTACGATTCAATTTTTTTCCAGGAGTTACGCCCCTTTGAACTTATTTGCCCAATATACTACTGCAACCTTTTGTCATCGCAACTCCTCTCAAACCACACAACAGAATTTCATGAAACCTTTTCAGATAATAAGGACATACTACGTAGATGTGCATATCGACAGGAAATACGATTCAATTTATTTTCCAGGAGTTACGCCCCTTTGAACTTATTTGCCCAATATACTACTGCAACCTTTTGTCATCGCAACTCCTCTCAAACCACACAACAGAATTTCATGAAACTGTGTAGATAATAAGGACATACTATGTAGATGTGCATATTGACAGGAAATTATGATTCAATTTTTTTTTCTGATACAATTTTTTTTTCTTACACTTATTTTATTTCTCTAGTGACAATGTGGGAACGTGGGGTATGTGAGCGCGCTCACTAAGGTTCTTTCATTATTAAGTGCGCCTATCGGTCTAGCAATTTTTATTATTGTGCACTAAGAAGTATGCCTAGTAATCCAAAACATTTTGCATGAAGTTATATAAAGATAGTTGGAATTCATGATATTGATGCATTGTGCAGAAACATGAAATATTTTAGTTTGTATTCTTAACAATCCAAGAGTAGGGTTAAATTGTACCAAGGAGAATTACTTATTACTATAATTACGCAGCAGTATTTTGATTGTGGATTCTTTTCAATTTTATTATTTACTGAATGCATATTTGTCACTTGTTTAATGCCTTGTTCAAACGTAAGTTTAATTTGAATTGAATGTAAACCAATTTCACAAAATATTCTTTTTTTCATTTTGAAGCGAATTCAAATATAATGCGAATCGAATTCACTAATCGCGTTCACACACTCATCTTTTTTTAATTCGAATCTAATTCAAATTAGCTAATTTGCATTATCCAAATCTCATTAGAAATACCTTTTTGGGTTAATTCGATCAAACTTTGGTGTGAACACTTTCCAAATTGTAATTCAAATTAAACTATAATAGATTAATTCATAAATCACATGTGGAGCAGGACCTGCTTACCCTTCCGGAGCACCTGAGATCACCCCCCAGTTTTTGGTGGGGTTCGTGTTGCTTAGTTTTTGGTTTTCTATGTTGTGTCATCTGTACTATTATTTGTCTGTTTGTCTTTTTATTTTTGGCCATGGCGTTTTCGGTTTGTTTTCGATCTATGAGTTTGACTGTCCCTCTGGTATCTTTCGTCCCTCTCTTGAATTAAAAGTTAACGTCATTTGGACAGTAAAGCGATTTTGACACGTATTGCAATTTGAAGTAGAATTTACATTTGGACATTAAACATGTTAAACTTTTCGAATGGGTATTAAACTATAAATTCAAATCAGTTAATGCGAATCGAATTGGAATTATGTGTGAACACAGCATTTATATATCTAAGAAATGAGGAATATAAAATTATTAAAAAAAAGATGGCCAAATATTTGTATTAATTTTGTTGCAATTTTTGTCTTGCCTTGACAGAGTCGAAAAGAGAGACATCTATATATATAGGCATGCTGTTTTGGCGGCATCAACAATGTATTAGTTTGTGATTTTGTGATAAGGTCTAGGTTATGGTAGGTCAATGATATTTGGTAAGCAGTTGTGTAAGCATAGGCACATTTCATTACCATGGAGAATATTTGGCCCCACACCCTTAGTCATGGTCTATTGACTTTGAAACTTTTGCATAGTTTACATATGTATAAGTTTGTGATTAGGTCATTTTAGGGGGAACCAATAGTATTAGGTCAATGCTATTTGGTGTGCAGTTGTATAAACTTTGTCATTTCTAATTTCCATTGATATTATTTGGCCCGCCCCATCAATCATGCTCTCTTTACTTGAAACCTTATGTTACTTTGAAAATTCATTTATTAGCTTTTGATTAGGTTAGTATTAGGGAAACCAATAGTGGTAGGTCAATGATAATTGGCATGCAGGTGTAGAAGCATTAGTATGTCTCATTTCCATAGCGGATATTTGGTCCGTACTCGTCAGTCATATGCATGATCTATTGATTTTGAAACTTTTATTTAGTTTACATGAATTAGTTTGTGATTAGGTATTATGATGATGTCAGTTTAATATTACCAGTAATCTTAAGTCGAAGCTATTTGGTATGCAAACGTATTGGTATTTAAAAGGTTCATTTCCATGGATATTATTTAACCCCATCTCCTCATTATGGTTCATTGACTTAGAAATTGAAGTTGTGTTAAGGTTTGTTTAAAGGGAACGACTTATGAAAAGTCAATGGTATTTGGTAAGCAGTTGTATAAACATTGGCACATCTCATTCGCATGGAGATTGTTCAGCCCTGTACCATCAGTCATGGTTCATTGTCTTTGAATATATTTTACACGTTAAAGTATGCCTTTTTTAATTGCAATATTTGTATTATCAAAACAACAAATAGGCAAAACATGTCTCTGTGTGAACAGCTTATTATAGATTAGACATGTACAATTATTATAAAAATAAGAAGATGAGGAATGATTGCCAATGAGACAACTATCCACAAAAATTCAAATGAAGTGGATGTAAGCAATTATAGGCAACCGTATAGCCTTCTAAAACATATGTTGCATCATTGCTAGGCCATTTTAACAACATAAGCATGTATTGTAATATAATATACAAGAAAATAACACCACTTCAGATAGTTTCAGGTATGATTTGATAATTGTGCATAGTACTAGTGGCACCAGCTGATCCAACTAAAACCGCTAATATGGCATATTCAAACTCTAGTACATACAAAGTGGAATTAAACCATATATACACCAGGGCTTCCAAAATTTCCTGACGACAGCCGGACATTTTTCAAAGAAATATTTTTAACGGTCAATGATCAGCTGGATACTTAAATGTAACTGAGAGGATGCATAAATTGATATATGTCTAAATAATTAGTAGTGTTATATGCAATAAAATTATTTATATCTGTTTTGTTTTCTTCATTCTAAAAATAAATAAAATATTATCCTCCGTATTGTGTCATTTTTCTGTGTATCGTAATACAGTAACCATCATTGCATCAATCAGCTTCAGTACCTGACTGTTCTCATGTTTTTGTTTCTGTTTATATAATCTATCTTCTCTCTGTGAGTACTTAACACTTTTTATATTAAGGCCATCTTATTTGAAACTGTTGATGTTGGCTTTAATTGCAGTACAACTTGATCATCAATACACGTGATACTTTTCTTTTTGTGTATTGATTACCTGACCACGTGACTTTTACAACTGATGCGGTATTTATAGATAACATTGAGGAGGCCCAATGAAGGATATTGTTTTAAACCGTGTAAAATCTACTGAACAGTGATAACATTTTTCTTTGTACAATTTCCCAACCTGATTTAGAAAATAAGGAATAAATAAAAACATACTCAGTTGATAAATAATTTAATGAATAACAACATGATATTTTATGTAAGCATATAACAACAATAAAATATCAGAAGAGCACAATGTTGACAAACACACGCAATAAATATTACAATGAGCACATTGAAAAGAAGCACAGATCACAGCACAAGATTAGAGTGACGGTTACGAACGGATTGCCATTTGCGGATAGCAGGAACAGGGTCAAAGTCTTTAACATCTACACCTACTAAGCTTATCCTCATAAGTTGATCTAAAGCGTCAATACCTAGACTACACCTTAGTCGATCATAATTCCCACGGCGGGACTTAACTTTACGTCGGACATCGCCTCTTTCTCTATAACATCGGAAATTGTCTGAATAAATTCGGAGCAGGCATTGTTCTCTTGATATAATTTAGAAGTGATCACGGCACCATTTAACTTTAGCAATAAAGTAAGCATTACGGAACAAGGTGCACATTGCGTTGTCAGTCTTTTCATGAACTTTCTCAAATACTGATACAATTGGATTACTTTTGGAAGCTGTCTCTAATTTAAGAGCTTGAATGTGGTCATTGCTATTAGCATGCTCTACAACGGCTGACTTTCGAAAATTTGTCGAACCAGGCTTTACAAAGTTATTTTTAAGTCTATGTTTTTGACAAATGTCACAAAACATGGCATTTAGCATACTGTCAAATCTTAACCATAAAAACAGTTGTAACCATTTATGAATAAAGCTTCTAGCATTTTTAGCAGATTTCGAATTTTGATCGGAATCGTCACGTTTACGTTTGCCCATGATGGCAGATTTGTAAAGTTCAATTTGAGACAAAGTCTTTATAACAGTCGGAGATTGTCATGATTGGATATTATTCTTTATGATTTTAATTATAAAAACAGTTTTTAATATGAAAACAAGAATAGAGAACGCCCCCTTATTTATTGGACAACTCAGCTTGGTATACCCAAGCGAAGCTATTCTCGGTGTTTTTCCTATATATTTTAGTAAATTTTCCCCTTGAGAGTACCCCAGTATTTAACACGATGTACAGTGCTTAAATAAAATAATATATATCATACTTAATCATTTATAAATATCCTTATTTGAAGAATAACTTTTAAATATCAGGATACTTTTAAACTGAATGCTCATTTAAAATAATATCTATAAAGCGTAATTAAATAGGATGTTGTTCCGTACACGCTTACATGTTTGACCTCGTTTACCTGATTACCTTTATGTACATTGTTATGCATCATTAATTCTATTGATAAAGACAAGCTAAGGACACCTCATCAAAGGTAACAAACCTGTAATCAGTGAATGATTTATGGCTTCAATATAACTTATTGAAGGGATAATTGTTTGACAGCTTGTTGTTATTTAAATAAAAGAAAACGTGTTTTTTCTACTTTTTATTGATGTACACAAGCTAAAGACCAAGCCGTACATTTATGTACCCAGAGGATTAGACTAACTGAGACACTTCAAAGTATCTGAAATATGCTGCTTCTGTTTTATTAAACCCAATTATGACCGAAATATCTTTGTGAAATAGATTGCCACAATTATAAACTAAAATGCCCAAACGGACATGCCCAAAGCCCCAAACGGACATTTTTATCGATCGATAGTTGGTAAAAATTGAAATGACCGTTTCATGAAAATGCCTTGAATAACAAAATGTGGCACACCAATTCTATTTGACCGTTTGAGGCTGAGAGCAGCCGGTCTTTTTATGAAAGTTTCGGTCAAGTCCGGAATATATGACCGTTTTGGAAGCCCTGATATACACCACTGTTGGACACCATTATCGAAATTATTATTCAGATAAGAATATTCCTCCATGCAGCCTGCAACAATTAGCAAAACCTATACTGCATAGTAAGCTATAAACGACCATGAATTGACAAATGTAAAACAATAAAACTGAAGCATCCTGATTTATGTACAAAACAATTATAAAAAATAAATATGATATACAGCAACAATCACCAAATTAGTGGGTCCTCACTATGGACAGGTACATGCAGAATGTGGCGGCTTAAACATGTTAGCTGGCACAAAATTCTCCCCTGAATGGGACAGTGTATGTGCATAATCTCAGACTGAATCTTTAAAAATATAAATTGGAAATAACTTTTGAAAGTGGTGGAATTGGATAGCGTACACATTTCTGTACAAACATTATTTGATACTTCAGAAATAGCTGAGAATAATGCCTGAGATAAATATTTCCACTATATTCATCTGAACTTCTGCCAAGTTTGCCTTTGGTTTTTTAATTAACTGCCTATAGCGCCCTTGGTGCTTTGATTTTTTTTGCATGTATGTACTTCTGATATTTTTTGGTAACTGTGGATTCATTATTATTCAATGGGTTCTAATTTTTGTGGATTTCATTGTTATATATTGATTTTGGTGAACAACATATACATGACATATTCAATTATAACATATATGGTGTAGCATTCTTCTTTTTTCATGGTTATTACGATCACGTTATTCAAAGGGTATTCCATGTACATTGTACCTGAAGCCTTGTTTCTATTTATAAATATATTGACGCTATGTTTCTATTTATATATATATTGATGCTATACTTCAAAATTTATACATATTTTTCCTCAATCCACAAGAAATTGGTATCTACGAATATAAATGAATCTACAGTAACTCATGAACATGATGAAAACAAAGTCAACAATTCTATGATACTTTGCAAAAAGAAAAATGTGGAATGTAAGCAATATTTAAATGGAATTATCAGTATCATCTACAAAATGTACTTCTACTTTGCAACTTATTTTAAAGGTTTCCACAACAGTTGATCTCCATTCTTCAGACTCCGGACATAGCTCCCAATTCCAAGAGCCTATAGCTCCATGTCTGGTATGTGGAGATAAAGGATCAGGGTATCATTACTCTGTTTTCTCCTGTGAAGGTTGTAAGGGCTTTTTCAAGAGGACTGTTCAAAAGTTTCTCACATACACATGTAAAGGTTCAGGGAATTGTAATGTGAGCAAGTTCACCCGTAACAACTGTCAGGCTTGCCGATTTCAGAAATGTTTGGAGGCTGGTATGAAGAAAGAAGGTAAGATAATACTAAAACTGTTCGGTCATGTTTGTCTTTGAGGGGAGATAAAACTTGAAATGTTATTGTTTCTTGAAATTTAAAAATAAGAAATATAAAGATGTAACTATACAATATTTAGTACACAAAAAGGAACAAGATAATTATTGAGCATTTTGGTGTCATTGTATGATTAAATATATTAAAGAGACAGTAAACCACCAACGAAAGTTGTAAATGCATTCACCAGCGACAAGGGAAGTGAGATAAACACATTATTGACAAGCCATTGATTTAAAAAATGGTACAATACTTAGTTTTTATACGCCCGTTTACGGGACGTATTATGGTATACCGTTGTCCGTCCGTCTGTCCGTCCGTCCGTCTGTCCGTCCGTCCGTCGTCAACATGTCGGACATTAACTCAAAAATGCTTTAACCAATTTGCATAAAACTTTGGTGAATTGTTTATATCTATTGACGTGAGCTCCCTTTCGTTTTTTATAAATTTTAGATTTTATGTTTCAGAGTTGTGGGGTTTTATTCATTAAAAAAAGGGGGATTTTCCAATTTTCGGACAATAACTCAAGAATACTTTCACCAACTTGCAAAAAAATTGTGGTGAATTGTTTATATCTATTGACATGAGCTCCCTTTCGATTTTTATAAATTTTAGATTTTACGTTTCCGAGTTGCAGGGTTTTATTAAAAAAAAGGGGGATTTTCCAGTTTTCGGACAAATACTCAAAAATGCTTTCAGCAGTTCTTATGAAACTTTGGTGAATTGTTTATATCTATTGATGTAAGCTCCCTTTAGAATTTTATAAATTTTACATTTTACATTTCTGAGTTATGGGGTTTTATTCATTAAAAAAGGGGGATTTTCCAGTTTTCTGACAATAACTCAAAAATGCTGTCAGCAATTCCCATGAAACTTTGGTGAATTGTTTATATTTATTGATGTAAGCTCCTTTTGATTTTCATAATTTTCTAATATGACATTGAGAATTAATTGAACTTTATTTGTTTATAGTCTGACAACAGATTTACTAAGTATTGCGCAACAGCACAGTGTATTGCACAACAGCAAGAAATCTTTAATTGAATATAAATTCAATTCATATAACCAATTTCAAGTTCTTTGACTACATTTATTCAGAAACCTGTAATATGTCAAATATTTAATTACAATCCAAATTCAGACCTGTATCAAGTTTGAATATTGTGTCCATTTTTGCCCGAACTGTTCAGGGTTGGACCTCTGCGGGCGTATCCAGCTGCACTCAGCGAAGCAGTTTATTGGCTTATTTTTATCTATGAAGCTTGCAGGACATATATAGCCTTATTCTGTTAATGGTAATTCGATTTTGTTATTTTTTATTTGTCTGTTGTTATCCTGCATTTTAAATGTCCCAGTCACTTACTGCGACTGACTGAAACGTTTTAAGGCAGCAAGAGATAAAAGAGAGGCAAATGACACAAAAAATAATAATAAATTTCCTCCTAAAAAACAATCTGTTTGCTCAATATGACCTGTCTGTACTGTATATTAATCTCTCCTAGACATTCTTTGACAATTTTGTTGTTAAAATGAAAAATTTATTTGAATATTGTAATGAACATTTTACATATATGTAACAAATATGTTTTAAGCTGTTCGTGATGACAGATCACCTGGTGGTAAGAACAGGAACAAGAGACAACGATTAGAAGACATTCCAGGTTTAATTAATCCAGATGGTACCATTAACATTATACCAGAGAGTATAGAACCAGAAGAAGATAACCTAATTGTTGGACTGGTACAAGCCAAACCAGATCTAACTCCTAAATTTGAAAGTGGTAATGTGATAAGGAATCATCTGGCACTTGTTTACATATAAGCAATAGGTCAACTCCATTTGTTGTATAAAATGATTGTAAAGTGTATATGTTCGTCTGGCATTGTTCATCAGCCCTTGAACTCATTTATTTTCATGGTTCATTACTCAACATTTACTTTTCATGATGGGTCCTTTTCTCAGAAACTGTAATTATGTTTGGTGATTGGAATGATTGTTAGGTGTACATGTCCGTCTAGCATGGTTCCCTTAGTCCCTTTTCTCAGATATTATAAGCAATAGGTCAACCATATCTGATTTCTCCAGGGCTTGTCATTTTCACCATTTACAAAATGATTTTCGAATTGACAAAAGTATATATGATCAATTACTTCATTTAAATTTGTAAAAGTAAAAAAATGAATTGTTCAAAATTTTGCCTGGCAACAGGTTTATGACGAGTTTACAACCCTAAGCTTATCAACAGTCACACCTGATGTCATAATTAATTCATTAAAATAGAATCCATCAGTCAACATTTTGTCTTTTCGAATTTTTTCATATGACCACACAATTTGGAAATTTTACCGTAGTTTCATGATGAAAACGTAATTGACAGAAACCGTAATGAACATTAAACAAACTTTGTTTTACTAGAATTCTGTTAATATGGTTGATTAGAATATTAAATTCAGACGTATTTTGTCTTTGCCTGCTCTCACTTTTGATATTAAAATAACAAAACTGGCGCCATTGGTTGTATTCACTTTTATTGTGTATAATCCTCGGAAGAAGGCTACGTAAGAGCACACCCGAAAACAAGAATGATAACTTTTAAAATAACAATTTTTCCTAGTGTTGAAATACCTACCCAAGATCTGTCTACATACTTCTGACTTTAGGACTTATAGGTTTAGGAGGTCTTTTAAGTTATGGTGAAGGTTAAGGGGGCTTGGGTCAACAATTTCTGTATTCTTTATTTATTATACAAATCTTCTCTATTTTGTATTTAAGCACCCATTATTTTCTCTTGTTCATGTTTTTGCCCATTTTTCTCTGTTATTTAATTTTAATTTAAAACATTTTCTATATTCTGTAGCACAAACAAACCATAAGCTAATTATAAGGACAGGAATATTGACTAATAGATTCATTATATTAGTCCCAGTTTTGAGACATAACAATCAAAACAAAAACATACAATATGTATCTTTTGAAGAAAACAAACCAGCTGTTTTGATTTAATCTTTATTGTTATATTTTTATTTGTATACTAATGAAATACTGAAAAAGATTTTTTTTAATGTATTTAACCCTATGCAATAACTACCTTATACCTATGATGTTAAGCTGCTACCCAAGAAACATTAGAAAGGTCAGTTTTCTTATCATGCAAAAGTGACTAAAGCCCTCAAAAATCCTCACTTAAACACTGACTATATTTGGTATATGAAATAATAGTTGTACATGATTGTAAGGTGTAAATGTTCATCTGGCTGGCAATGTCCATCAGACCTTGAGCTCATTTTCGTTGATCATTGATAATGTTGAGTTTATGCGAAACCTGCAGTAAAACCTCAGTTTAAAAAATTTTCAACATAAAATTAAAACATGATGAGTAAAGCAGGAGTGTCACTACAGCATGTCCACTCTGTTTTACAACTTAGAGATTTAAAGATAATTTTGAAAACACTTTTGATTGATTTGTATGCATTATATATAAATGTGCATTTATTTAAAGAAAGGCCATGGTTCTGTACTAGCCCCATTATGTCCATTATTTGAAGATGAAAAGTTGATGCACAATCTGGGAGAAAGTGAGAGGGACTAATTTTGTCTTATTTTTCTTACAAAGCTTACAGTTACACCCCAGTTACGTAAAAAATAGAGATTTTTTGTGAAAGTTGACCGAATCTTTTGGATTTCAACCACAGTTAGGCCTAGGAAACATAGAGGGCAGGGTTTGACAAACTAAATATTAAAGGAGAGCTAGTTCCTTTGTTTTTACAAACATAACATTAAAAATCTTTTTTGTGGACACATACACTCTATACTTACAGTCTCAAAAATGTATTGAAATTTGCATGTTTTCATTGGATTTTGTGGAAAATTAAGAGTTATGCTTATAATAAAGTCCTTAAAAAATGCAGATATGCAAATTTCAAACAAGGATACCTATTTCCTATCTAGTCAATGTTAAAGCTGATACATTGCAATGATGGCCATTGAATTTTTATTTGTAATAGTAAGCTATAAATAGGCACCATATTGTGGCCTAATTGAACATACTCCTTTCATTTGAGTATATTTATCAAATGATTTGTGTAAATGACTATTTTTTTTATATTAGTTAATGTTCAAGACAACGCCCCTAAGTTGTATGCAAAATCTATCAAAATTTGTGACATTGCCCATTTTAGTGTTCCTTGAACTTTTTAAACGTAAGTTTCAGACTGTGAATTAATGTCTGCTGTTTGCATGCAGTGCAATTTTTCCATAAATTACATTGAAAAGTTCGAGCGAAAACTTGTTAAAAAACAATACAATAATTTCTGGAACTATGGCCGGGACTGATATATAAAAATACATACTGCCAAACAGAAAATGGCCCATAAAACATGCAAAAAATTATCTTTATGTTCATTTAAAGCCAGTTTGAAGGCTATATTATTCCTCAGCTATCTAAAAAATAATTTTATTGCACAATAATTTTGAAAATGTGAAACCAAACTCCTAACTATGTATTGCTACCAAAGATCACATGCTTGTTCTGATTAAAACAATTAGCTATCCTGTACATAGTTAAAATGATCTATTATTTCATTGCAGCTATAAACCAAAAAGTTACTTTGTTAAGTCACAGTATGTATTCGTCTCCTGTATTTAGTCAGTCCATTTATATATGTTGTAAATGTCTCAGTGGTCTCATTGTATTGTACTCAGCTGGAGTACAGAAAGATAGGGGTTCTACTCTTGGCTAGATAAATCCAAAGACTTTAAAAATGGTATTTACTGATCCTCCATCGAGCATATGTCATTTATGAGTAAGAGCAAACTAGTTGGCACAAAGTCTGAAAAAAATTTATAAAAAAAAACTTGTTTAGACCAAATTCAACATTGTTGAACCTGTCAAAAAAGGCTTTCTTGATTGGGTAGATAAAATTTTTTATGCCCCACCTAGGGGCATTATGTTTTTCGGTCTGTGCGTCCGTTCTTTCGTCTGTCCGTCTGTCCAGCTTCAGGTTAAAGTTTTTGGTCAAGGTAGTTTTTGATAAAGTTGAAATCCAATAAACTTGAACCTTAGTACACATGTTCCCTATGATATGATCTTTCTAATTTTAATGCCAAATTAGAGTTTAGACCCCAATTTCACGGTCCACTGAACATAGAAAATGATAGTCCCGCTTCAGGTAAAAGTTTTTGTTTAAAGTTTTTGGTCAAGGTAGTTTTTGATGAAGTTGAATCCAATCAACTTGAAACTTAGTACACATGTTCCCTATGATATGATCTTTCTAATTTTAATGCCAAATTAGAGTTTAGACCCCAATTTCACGGTCCACTGAACATAGAAAATGATAGTGCGAGTGGGGCATCCTTGTACTATGGACACATTCTTGTTTTTTTAGCAGTTTTATAAAAATTGACGAACATGAACCTCAAGTATTACCATAGAAATGTATGTGGTTCAAAAAGGACATTATCGTTTCTTTTAATTTACATGTTTACACATACAATCCTCTGTTCAGGTTTTTTAGACATCAATAACTTTGTCAAACCTTCATTGAATTTAATGAAACTTGGACAGAAGCTTCTTTAAGATCACTAAAAAGCATCCGAAGATAAAACTTCTAATTCGGTCATTCTTTTCTGTATTTTACTAATGAATTGACTTCGTTTTTTGGCAGTCAACAGTACACATTTTGACTGACAACAGCAATCGCAGGCAAGACACAGGGTTCCACTGAACCCTTTACAAACTTTTGTATTACTTCCATAGGAGAGTTGACACATAGGGATAACTAACAGCTATCTTGCATTTTTGTTGTAAAACAAATAGAAAATTGTGTTTGGCATTGTCCAATTATTTGTTTACCGTTCATGTTTGTTTTATTTTCAGGTAACTTGGATTCTGAGTATATTGACATAAATCAGATCATGCAGCATGGTTATGCAGAGTTAAAGTTTATCATTGACTGGGCCAAGAAAGTTCCAGGTCAGTTATTTAAAAGTTTAGTGAAGACTGAAAAAGTATGAGGTCCAATATATTATTAATTGAACATAATTTAAACCCAGTTGTGCATGCATTTAATTTGTTTTTTTACAAGGAAAGTAGAAAGCGTTCATTGCCATACCTACCAACCTTTTGGAGCTACAAAGTGTGTGATATCTTTCCAGCTTCACTGAGGGGGAGATTTTGTGTGAAGACCTTTATATGCAACCACAGTCAGGTGAAGGGGGCATTAAGGTTTACCCTTGTCCCTCTGTACATATGCCCCTAATTTGGTTTCTGTTCTCTAATGTTATAAATGAAAAAAGTGGAATTTGCTGTTTCATCACTCTAACTTTACTTTGCCAATTGTTATGAAACTATGTACCTGTCCTCATCCATGTCCAGTGCACAATGTTAAAACAACATTGTTGACATCACGATATTTATAATGTTAACGCGATATCGTGTCAACATCGTTTACATTGTATGAAGTCTTATATATTGTTTACATCGTTGACATCGTTAACATCGCGATGTATACAATGTTGTAAAGATATCGTGTTTACATCGTTTACATTGCGATATCAACCGTGTTAACACTATATTGTGTCAACATCGTTTACATTGTAACAGCTGTTTATACTGTTTACATCGTATACATCACGATGTATACGATGTAGTAACGATGTAGTGTTAACATCGTTTACATTGCGATGTTAACAAGATATATTGTCAACATTGTTTACATTGTAACAACTCTTATATACTGTTTACATCGGTGACATCGTTAACATCGCGATGTATACAATGTATTATCAATATCGTGTTTACATCGTTTGCATTGTAGTGTGCACGATATGGTGTCAACATTATTTATAATGTTTGAAATGTAATAAAACGTTTGCATCGTTTTCATCGATATATTACAATTTATTAACGATATATTATTGATTACAAATGTGTCAATTTTTGTAATTGGATAACAATACGGAGATGTCAGTATATATTCAGGAAACTGCCGGGGTATATACTACATTTTTTACCCAATTGGAACATCAACAACGTCATCATAGCAAACGTTACAATGTGCCGTAGTCTTAAGCTATGCAGAACATTTAAAGAATGTAAGAGGCTCTCAGAGGGAAAATAATGGCGTGTATCAGTCAATAATATGTTTTTAATTTAAAACCACGCTATTTACACATTCAATACTTAAGTAATGTTTTAAAGTGCTATTACAGTAGACTCCACCTAATCCGATATCGGCTAAACGAATATATCGGCTATTGTAATATTATTTCAAAACACCAAACCCTTCCCTATATGTTTAATGTTAATTTCATCGGGTAATCGAATATCGGATATAAGAATATATCGGCAAATCGGATAAGAATATTCAGGTAATTTTGTTCAAAACCATGCACAATCGGATATTTTCAATGTTTTTCTGACAGGAAATGAACCCGGAAGTTACGAATTAACAATCCTGCAGACAAGAAGATTTCGTTTTTACTAAATAAAAAGGAACTATTTCTTAATAAATTGTTGTCTTTATTCATTGTCTTCCTTTATCATGTGAATTAGATGCCCTTTTACTTCAAATGGTTTGAATTTACAAAACTCGTCAGTTGACAAGAGCAGTACGATGCTGTTTGGGGAATTTTGATAAAACTCTAAATGCTCACACAACCAGAAATATAATGTAAACTGAATGTACCTCCTTCTGAATAATTTATTGCAATATAAATATAAATCCCTTTTGACAAGAGAAATCTGACTTTTGTCAGAAATTTTTTTTTCACATGTGCAAAAGTAACCACATGTCATGGCCGCCATTTTGGTTTGTTTACAAATTTGTGAGGAAGCCTCTAGAACCATGACCTAAACATAAATAGTCTTCAGAAAATGTAAACTTTATACAATTATATTTTATCAATCATGATTATTTTCATCAATTTAAATTTGATTATTTAAAGAAATCAAATTATAACAAATACGATTTTAGTTTGGAGATTCTACACAAACATGCTTTGATCTATTTATAGCCAAATTAGTTTACCTGTGTGATAATGTAAATAATGGATATTAATTTGTTTTCAAAACAAATAAAGACACAAACTATGGAGGGTAGATAATAATTCACATTTTTCAGGACATTTAATTTATTTTAATAAATATAGGATTTAAAAACTGCAAACAAATTTCATCATTATGTAATCAGCTGAAATCTTTTTAAAAAACAACGTGGTGATGTAACTGATAAAAAAAATCACTCCATCAATCCTCCAGCCCTTTCACATATTTAGCAATTGTCAGGGTTAGTAACATCTCAGGATTAGATCTACTCATTATTGCAGAATATTCAATGAATATACATTCATCGTCTAATTGAATATATCGGATAATCGGATATTTTTAGCTGACATTTTGGGTATCCGATTTGCCGGAGTCTACTGTACAAGTTATTGCATATATGATAGAATTATTTTCACAGCAAATTATAGAATCATTTACATATGTGGAAAATATCAAGTTTTTTTTTCAGTATTTGTTGTTGTTAAAAAAAATACATAGAAAATACAAACGGTATACATGAAATCTAAAAACTTTATTGAAAAATATCAATGAAGAAAAAAAAAATTGAGAAGATGGAAAACTTGTATTTAAAGAAATTACACAAAATATTAAGAAATAATAAACATGTACTGAATAAATATACTGCGTGGTGAATGTAAAACAAATACCTGATATTGATAAAAAAAAAATAGGCAAATATAATCAGTAATATATGTGTAATTCGAGTTTCAGACAAGGTATATAATGTGACATTCCCGGCTTAGGGTTTATATGTTGTGAACGATGTAAATAGAAAGGTATAGATTTCATGTACAACATAAACACGATGTTGACACGATATTGTCAACATCACGATGTATACGATGTGAACGATGTAAACACCAAGGTATACACTTTGTATACAATATAAACACGACATTGACACGATATTGTTAACATTGCAATGTTTCGATGTGAACGATGTAAACACAAAGGTATAGACTCTATATACAACATAAACATGGTGTTGACACGATATTGTTTACATTGCGATGTATACGATGTGAACGATGTAAATAGAAAGGTACAGACTCTATATATAACATAAACATGATGTTGGTATGATATTGTCAACATCACGATGTATACGATGTGAACGATGTAAATAGAAAGGTATAGACTCTATATACAACATCAACATGATGTTGGTACGATATTGTCAACATCACGATGTATACGATGTGAACGATGTAAACACAAAGGTATAGACTTGTTACACAACATTAATACGATGTTAACGATGTGAACGATGTAAACACGATATTGTCAACTTCACGATGTATATGATGTGAACAATGTAAACAGAAAGGTATAGACTCTATATACAACATAAACACGATGTTGACACGATATTGTCAACATCACGATGTATACGATGTGAACAATGTAAACACAAAAGTGTAGACTTGGTACACACCATTAATACGATGTTGACACTGTGAACGATGTAAACACGATATTGTCAACATCACGATGTATACGATGAGAACGATGTAAACACAAAGGTATAGACTAGATATACAATATAAACACGATGTTGACACGATATTGTTAACATTGCGATGTATACGATGTGAACGATGTAAACAGAAAAGTATACACTCTATATATACAACATAAACACGATGTTGAAACGATATTGTCAACATCACGATGTATACGATGTGAACGATGTTAACAGAACATATATATATAGATAGGATACAATGAAAACACAATAATGACATGATAAAGTAGACATTGCGATGTTGACAATATCGACAAAACATTGTGTACTGGACATACTTCAATGTATAAGGGTTGTAGCCTTATACATTGCCTTTTTCAATGATGACAATAAAGCTAATGTATTAAAAATACATAAAAGAACTAGTGCCCATGGGACTAAGTCAGGAATCTGATGTTCAGTAGTTGTCGTTTGTTGATGTGGTTCATAAGTGTTTCTCGTTTCTCGTTTTTTATATAGATTAGACCGTTGGTATTCCCGTTTAAATGGTTTTACACTAGTAATTTTTGGGGCCCTTTATAGCTTGTTGTTCGGTGTGAGCCAAGGCTCCGTGTTGAAGACCGTACTTTGACCTATAATGGTTTACTTTTATAAATTTTGACTTGGATGGAGAGTTGTCTCATTGGCACTCATACCACATCTTCTTATATCTATACACAATGCTTATTACCACTTAACACAGATCAAGTTCAAATTTGGGTGGAGTCAATTTCACTGTTCTTGAGTTTCGAGCCTTTGTTAATGGATAATTTGCTGTATATTTACAAGAGGGACATCTGTGTCCCATGGGCACTAGTTCTTTTATGTATTTTTAATACATTAGCTTTATTGTCATCATTGAAAAAAGCAATGTATAAGGCTACAACCCTTATACAGAAGAAATGGATAGCGTACATGTTGTAGAGTAAAGTGAGAATATTAAATTATTTTTTAGACATCAAATCATACAATAACCTAGTGCATCACTATTAATCATATATCTAACAAGAATGACATTTATAGTTTAATCATATGAATAAAAAGAGATTTTGGGGGAGGGGTTAAACATTATTGAGACAGCAACCAGACGACAAAAATAACCAAAATACATCATAAGAAGTAGGTCAACTATATTTGGTATATGGAATGATTTTAAGGTATACATGTCAGTCTGGTAGGTTTCATTAGACCTTGACCTCATTTTTGCAGTTCATTGGTCGATGTTAAGTTTTTGCGGTTTGGTTTGTTTCTTGTATACTATAAGTCAAATATATTTGATGTATGGAATGATTGTAAGGTGTACATGTTTGTTTGGCTTGGTTAATCTGACATTGGCCTCATTTTCATGGATCATTGATAATGTTAAGGACTATCAACATAAAATCAATCATGGTAAGTTAAGCAGGCAAGACATTTCAGTGTGTACATCCTTGTTCATTTCACATGCCATATCAACCCAGAATATAAGTTCTGATATAGGTCCTGGATTTATAGGCCAATATCATATACTGCGAATTTCATTTATTTTCATGGATACCAATTTTTGTGGATATTTGATTTCTAGGATTTGACAAAATCTGTTTACAAGCCTTAAGAAAATATGTACTTCGTTGAACATTTAAATTTGTTTTACCTACACCAACAAAATTAATGAAAAATTGGTATCGCACGAATAGTAATGAATCTACAGTACTTTTTATCCTAAATATCAGTCATTACCGATATCAATATCATGTATAATGGTGTACATGTGGGTCATGTGATTTAATTGTGGTGTAAAACAGTTATGCTATTACAAGACCATTTGCTACTATAAAATGAAGAAAGACAAGTCAGCACACTGGCTGAAAATACAACAACAGTCCTCAAAATATTACACAGAAATAATTGATAGTTTCAGGGCCATAAATTATGTGGAGGCATACAGGCATTTGCCTCCTATTGTTGGCAAATCAAAAAAATATATGAATAATAAAAGCAAGAAAGAAAAGAACCACAAATAAAAAAATAATATATGTGGATTTGTGGAAGCTCCAATATTAATAAAAGAAACAGAGCTACTGTGCTTAAAGTGGTCTGTTTTAAAGAGCAAGTAATATCGCTAATAAGAATGAAACAATGATTAAAAAAACGCTAACATCTGAACCTCAGCTATAGTATGGCAAACGCAGCAGCTGAAATCATGGAGCACCATTTCAGGATAAGCATTTTTATCCCACTTATTGATCAAATTGGTACTTGGGGTATAGGACAATTTTTTTTTTAGCCCTCCCCCTTTTTTCAAAGTCTGTTATTTTTTTGGTTTTGTTTAAACTTATCTTATTTTTGTGTTTTCTGTGTTAAAAAAAATTTCTCCTGTTCCCAAGTACCTATGGTTGATCACACCTTCAATCATTAATAACACTAGGCCTGCAAATATTGATCGCACCTTCAAACAAACATCACACCTTCAAACATTGATCACATCTTCAAACATCTAAAATAAATTTGGCAAAGATACCAGACTTATAATTTTGTATGTCAGATGCACTTTAGTCTACAAAAGACTCATCAGTGACGCTTGAATAAAAAAAGTTAAAAGTCCAAACAAAGTATGAAGTTGGAGAGCATTGAGGATAAAAAATTCTGTAAGGGTTAACCAAATACAACTAATATAAGTTATATGGTTCGCTACTGACCCCCTACGGATCCATAGAGGGTTAGTAAAATCCATAGGGGCAGAGGCCGAAGGCCGAATCCCCTATGGATTTTATTCACCCTCTATGGTCTGTAGGGGGTCAGTAGTGAACCGTATAACGAATTTATCGCACACGATACTTTTTCTGCAGCGTTTTGTAGAAAAATAAACAATGAAATACAAAAACATCAATAGATGACGTCACCATTAACAGTAGCCGTGATGTCAAGAAACCCACTATGAAATTTACTAACCCCCTACGGATCCATAGGGGGTCACCACGTGACAGCGTTAAACCAATCACAACGTAATAATTTACCCACGGTGCGATAAGGTAATCTATTCCTGGGGTAGAAAAACAAAAGGTTTGTAATGAAACAAAAACTTTATGTTTTTAATTACCCCAAGAGATTCACAAAAAATAATTTAAAGACATGACATCAAAATATTCCATATTACAAGTGATTGCAAATATGCATTTCTTTTAGAATAAAAGACAACCAATATTGCTTATTTTAGGGTTGCCTGTAGGATTCTGCAGTAGCGACCTAAACTTGGAACAGATCAATAATGACCAGAAGAAAAATATCTGGGAAAAAGCAGAACAAAGCATGAAAAACTATTCAGCTTTTGGGCACTTAGATGGCTGCAAAATCTCGCCTATTCTAATGCCTTCTATTACATAGATACTAATTTATGACCCTGGTTTTAAATGTGGAATAATATTCTTATAATACACATGTTAAAATGTGTTGCATTAATAAATTTAGTGAATTAGAACACTTTATATGTAATTATATTCGTATTGATGAACCTTTTTACAGCTAAAAATTTTTAAATTGAAGGAGTATTAGACTATATGATATTGAATAAATGACATATGAACATTTTATTCTAGGATTTAAAGCACTATGTATTGATGATCAAATGGCTTTGTTAAAGGCAGCCTTCATGGAGCTTAATGTATTGAGACTGTCATACAGGTATTTTATTGCAAAACATTTATGTAGATATCAAAGTGCAAGTTTTATAATAGTTATTATTAGAAATGTTTTTTTGCAAATTTAAACATAATTTTGCCAGAATCAGTTGTTTTCCCCAAATTATAAAACAGTAACAGAACTACCTTAGAACTCATCAAAAATATGTAACTGACTTCAGAAACTGTTTTTTGTTTATTGTTTTGAGCAAAGATCAGGCCATTTATTTTGTATTTTAAATTGTTTAACACTTAGTCATGCCAGAGCCTTTTATAGTCTACTATAGGGTATAGGTTTTGCTCATTGTTGAAGGAAATACAGAGCCCTAAAGTTGTTCACATCCCCATCCTTTGGTCTATGAAGTATTGTTGTCTCATTGGCAATCATACCACATCACCTTATTTTTTATATTCAGAGAAAGCATTAGATAGATATATAGTATGATGGCATCTGTAGTTTTACATTCCACCCTTATCTTCAAACTATACTCTGAGTCATTATCATGCATAGAAGCCATATATAATCCAAAGAGGCAAGGTCTCTGATAATTTCAATACAATGGTTTCTATCAGATTGATATTAAGATATGGAAATCTCATGAATTAACTTTGTCCTTGGGTTCTATCAAGTTTACCTAAAAACAAACATACAATTTGCAGGATTGAAGACTTATATTTCAACAGACTCCACATACATGTATTTCCCAAAATAAAATGGTAGCCATATTGTCCTGTCCTTGTCCTTAAATATGTCAATAAATATGTAAAAAAAAAATTCTGAATTAAAAATCTCATACATTTAACTTATAAGAAAATTAAATGTGAAAGAATGGTTTCATACCATTTGTATATGCCATTATGGGCAAGACATGTTCTATTCATTGATCCATTTGATTTTTGAGTTTTCCCAATTCAAAACATGGACTTTGCTATCTTATATTATACATTGTATAAGGAATTTTGTGAATGCGCACTCACACATATTACATTTTAAAAGAAATGTAACATGTCTGTGTAACTGTGACTGGAAGAATGAGGGATATTTATGTTTCAAATTTTGATTTAAACTGCATAGGACATGTTGGGGCCATGAGACGTCAGAAATAAGTCCATAAAGAAAACTTGGACATTGTTGAACTAGACATTGGACACAAGTTTTTTTCTTGAAATCGTAAAAGATCCATTTTTGTCTTGCCTTGACGGAGTCAAAAAGCGAGACATAGGTATGCTGTTTCCTGCGTCAGCGGCGGCATCAACAATGTATTAGTTTGTGATTAGGTCTAGTTCATGGTGAACCACTAGTGGTAGGTCAATGATATTTGGTATGCAGTTGTATTAACATTGGCACATCTCATTACCATGGAGATTATTTGGCCCCGCCCCCTCAGTCAAGGCCTATTGACTTTGAAACTTTTCATAGTTTACATGTTTTAGTTTATGATAAGTCAGTTCAAGGGGAACCATTAGTGGTAGGCCAATGTTAATTGGTATGCAGTTGTATAAGCATTTGCACATCTCATTTCTATGGAGAATATTTGGCCCTGCCCCCTCAGTCATGGTCTATTTACTTTGAAACTTTTGCTTACTTTACATACATGTATTAGGTTGTGATAAGATCAGTTTAAGATGAACTGCTTATGTTAAGTCAATGATATTTGGTATGCAAATTTATTGGCATTTGCAAGTATCGTTTCCATGGAGATTATATAGCCCCACCCCTGATCATGGTTCATTGACTTTGAAACTTTTACATAGTTTACAAGTGAATGTTTGTGTTTAGGTTTGTTTAAAGGGATCGACTTATAATTAGTCAATGGTATTTTGTATGTAGTTGTATTAGCATTGGCACATCTCATTCCGTGGAGATTGTTTAGCCATGTACCGTCAGTCATGGTTCATCGACTTTGAATATTTGCATAACTTACATGTTAAAGTATTGCTATTTTAATTTCAACATTTGCATTATCAAAATTACAAAAAGGCGAGACATATCTCTGTGATAACAGTTTATTAAGTATCTAAAAAAATATATTATTCGCTACCTTTTTAGTTTTACTCCTCGTACAGGGGGGTGTAACTTTTATTCTCATACTAACCCCTTGTACCATAAACCTTAAAACTTTTTCTTTTTTTCTTTTCCATTAAGAATTCTTCTGATCTTTAACATCAACACTAATATTTATGTCTACAACTTCAAAATACAATTCTTTTACTTCACTAAAATTTATAGATGAAAAGAAAATATGTCTTAATTCTATTTAAACCAGATATCTTACAATGTTAATTAAATATATTAATTTATATATTTATACATTTATAGGTCAATGGAGACATCAAACTGCATAAAGTTTGCGGAGGGTTTGATTGTTCCAACAGAATTAGCACAGGGTGTTGGTTTCGGGAAGGAATTGGTGAATGCCACTACAGAATTTGCAGCTCGTTTAAAAGAAATAGATATTGACTTAACAGAATTTTGTTGTTTGAATGCAATTGTTCTAACATATCCAGGTAGGTTTAATTTGAGTGAACCTGTGTCCATTCTTTGCCTTAAAGGATCTGACAATGCTCTGATCTACTTTCTGTTTTTAAGACCTTTTCATGATCCTTGGGTTTTTAAGCTCAACTTTCCCTTTGGGCCAGGTGATCTTTTGCCATCACTTGGCGTCTGTCCTCGATATCTGTCATCATTGTAAACTTTTTCAAAGATCATCTCCTCTGAAACTACAGAACCAATTTCAACCAAACTAGGGGTGAATGAATTTTATGGTAGCTAGTATAAAGTTTGTGGGGTTTTTTTTGGTCTGCCAACAAACATGGCCACCATGGCTAAAAATAGAACATATGTGTTAAATGCAGTTTCTGGCTTATATCTAAAAAAAAATAAAGCAGTTAGAGCAAAACTAAAAAAGTAAAAATGATCAGCAGGTCAAGATTTATTTGCTAAAAAAATTTCAGATGAATTTGGAGTTTTTGCCCCTGAATTAATTATTTTAATGAAATTTCTCAGTTTTTAGTGTTTTTCTTGAAAACTATTATAGATGAACAGACATTTTAAATAGCAAAAAATGTTCAGCAAAGTAAGATCTACCAGTTAGTTTAAGGACCGAATAAGTCAATTGATCCCTTACAGGAGCTATTGCCTTAAAAGTCTATTTTTATTAAATTTTAAAAATTTTCTTCAGAAACTTTGATAGCAAAAATGTTCAGCAAAGTAAGACCTAAAAATAAGTCATCATGACCAAAATTGTGAGTTAAGCTTTAAAAACCCTTTTAGGAATTTTATTACCCTTGAAAGACAGTTTTTTTCATTTTTATGCCCCCGCCATAGCGGTGGGGGCATTAAGTTTTACCCTTGTCCGTCCGTACGTACGTACGTACGTCCCAAAATTGGTTTCCATTCTCTAACTTGAGTTTGCCTCAACCAAATGTTATGAAACTTATACACAATGCTCATTACCACAAAACACAGATCAAATTTGAATTTGGGTGGCGTCACTTTAACCGTTCTAGAGTTATGCCCCTTTATAAATGGAAAAATTGCAAATTTTTTAGTTTCCGTTCTCCAACTTAAGTTTGCCTCAACCAAATGTTAAGAAACTTATACACACTGCTTATTAACAAAAAAACACAGATCAAGTTTGAATTTTGGTGGTGTCACTTTAACCGTTCTAGAATTATGCCACTTTATAAATGGAAAAATTGCAAAATTTTTATTTTCTTCTAAATATCAAGTAATTTTTAGACTTATTGTTTTTGATCAGTTCGTATTATTATTATTATTCTTCTTCTTCTCTTCTTCTTCCTCCTCCGCCGCTTTTAAATTTGAACTTGTCCGCACCCGTTCTCCAAAACTGCTTGTCAGATTAACTTAGGGTTTCACAGTATGTTAGACTAACATGTCTAGTGGTGCAATCAGGGTTTTGTTTGTGCAATGGGGTTTATAAAGGGGTATTTTGAGGGGCAAAAAGAAAAGAGGGTTTTACTATAGAACCCTATGGGATTTTATTTTTTTAAATTTTCAAATGATTATAGATTGAAAACCGTTTGTGATAGACACAATCTTTTTAATTGAAAATGTTCTAAATGATAAAGCCCATTAAATGAAATACTGGGTAAGTCCCCAGGGGTCACCCCCACCCCCTGCCATTTAAGAAAGTTCTAATACCTTGTAAGTGGTCGAGATCCCCACCCCTAAACCATATATATTCTGGTTTGTCATGCGAAGATGGTTTGAATGATATACAGGGTTAGTCCCCAGGGGTCATCCCGACCCCCTGCCATTTGAGAAAGTTCTAATATCTTGTAAATGGTCGAGATCCCCACCCCTAAACCATATATATTCTGGTTTGTCATGATAAAGCACATCAAATGAAATACAGGGTTAGTCCCCAGGGGTCATCCCGTCCCCCTGCCATTTGAGAAAGTTCTAATATCTTGTAAATGGTTGAGATCGCCACCCCTAAACCATATATATTCTGGTTTGTCACGATAAAGCACATCAAATGAAATACAGGGTTAGTCCCCAGGGGTCACCCCCACCCCCTGCCATTTAAGAAAGTTCTAATATCTTGTAAGTGGTCAAGATCCCTTCCCCTAAACCATATATATTCTGGTTTGTCATGCGAAGATGGTTTAAATGATATACAGGGTTAGTCCCCTGGGGTCATCCCGACCCCCTGCCATTTGAGAAAGTTCTAATATCTTGTAAATGGTTGAGATCCCCACCCCTAAACCATATATATTCTGGTTTGTTTATGATAAAGCACATCAAATGAAATACAGGGTTAGTCCCCAGGGGTCATCCCGACCCCCTGCCATTTGAGAAAGTTCTAATATCTTGTAAATGGTCGAGATCCCCACCCCTAAACCCTATATATTCTGGTTTGTCATGATAAAGCACATCAAATGAAATACAGGGTTAGTCCCCAGGGGTCACCCCCACCCCCTGCCATATAAGAAAGTTCTAATATCTTGTAAGTGGTCAAGATCCCCACCCCTAAACCATATATATTCTGGTTTGTCATGCGAAGATGGTTTGAATGATAAATAGGGTTAGTCCCCAGGGGTCATCCCGACCCCCTGCCATTTGAGAAAGTTCTAATATCTTGTAAATGGTTGAGATCCCCACCCCTAAACCATATATATTCTGGTTTGTCATGATAAAGCACATCAAATGAAATACAGGGTTAGTCCCCAGGGGTCAATCCCACCCCCTGCCATTTAAGAAAGTTCTAATATCTTGTAAATGGTCGAGATCCCCACCCCTAAATCGTATATATTCCTGTTCGTCATGTCTCAAACATTTGAATGACGTATAGGGTCAGTCCCCAGGGGTTCCCCCCACTCCCAATGTTCTAGTATCTTGTAAATGGTCGAGATCCCCACCCCTAAACCATATATATTCTGGTTTGTCATGCCAAGATGATTTGAATAATATACAGGGTTAGTCCCTAGGCATCACTAATGCATATAACTTTACTGAACCAAACCAATTTTCACTGGACTGTGCCCAATGTCGGGCGACCCTGGGAATTACGAATTATGGGAGCTTCGTTTGGGAGACTTCGTAACAGCATCCTGTTACAATCATTTCTTGTTAAAATTGGAGCTATCTTCCTTTGTCCATGATTATAGTTGAATCAACTACAATCAATGCTTTATACAATGAAATGTTTAATTTTGACTTCCACTGATAAAACACAGATCAAGTTGAATTTGGGTAGTGTCATTTTAACCATTATTGAGTTATGCCCCTTTATAAATCGAAAGATTTCAAAATTTTTAGTTTCCATTCTGTAACTTAAGTTTGCCCCCACCAAACATTATGAAACCTATACACAATATTCATTACCACAAAACTAAGATCAAGTACAAATTTTTTGTTTCCGTTTTCTAACTTTAGTTTGCCTCAACCAAATGTTATGAAACTTATACACAATGCTTATTACTACATAATACAGATTAAGTACGAAATTTGGTGGCGACACTTTTACCATTCTTGAGTGATGTCCCTTTATAAACATAAAAATTGCTGAATTTTTCGTTTCCATTCTCTAACTTTAGTTTGTCTCAACCAAATGTTATAAAACTTATACACAACCGTTGTAGAGTTATGCGTGTTTACAAATAGAAAAATTGCTGAATTTTTAGTTTCTGTTCTCTACTTAAGTTAGCCTCAACCAAATGTTATGAGACTTACACACAATGCTTATTACCACAAAACTCAGATCAAGTTCAAATTTGGGTAGCGTCACTTTTACCGTTCTTCAGTTATGTCCCTTTATAACTATATGATATGCAAGCGGGGGCATCATCTGTGTCCACATGTGGACACTATCCACATTTATTTAAATTTTTAAGCTGAAAATATGATCGATAGAGAGAAATTACAGACAGCAAATATGTTTAGCAAAGTAAGACCTACAAATTAGTCAACAAGCTCGAATTTTTAAATTGATCCCTTATAGGAGTTATTGCCATTGAAAGATGATTCTTACTATTTTTTCAGTTTTTTGCAACAACTATGATAGAAAGAGAGAAACTTCAAACAGCAAAAATGTTCAGCAAAGTAAGACCTACCAATAAATTCACATAACTAAAATCATTATTTGATCCCTTATAGGAGTTATTGCTGTCGAAAGATGATTTTTAACCAATTTTTTTAGTTTTTTACAGAAAATATGATACATAGAGAGAATCTTTAAAATACAAAAATGTTCAGCTAAGTAAGACCTATAGGCTCTGAGGAGTCTCTGGTTTGTAATCAGCCCTCAAAGTAGCTTCTGAAATGAAGTAGCCAACTGGCCACCAGACATGAAAATTTAGTGGCCAACTCAAAATTTCAGTGGCCAGGAAATAATTTTCAGGTTGCCTACATTTTTTTCTTGCTAAATAACCCTTGTGAAATAAAAGTATTAAGTTTTTGTTCTGTGTTTTTATGCTGTCGAGTGTAGAAAATAGTTTGTATAAATCAACTGTAAAATAACCACATGATTTTTTAAAAATTTTATTTCATTGTACATGTTTTACAACAATCTGCAACATTTATAGGTAGTCTGTCAGTATAGAAAAATCTCATCAGAACTTATGCAGAAGCACTGGTGATTGCCCCATCGATCTATTGAACATCTGAAATTTTTTGTGAAATTGTAGCCGGTATTTTATTGAATCTATGAGAACAAAGTTACAAAATTGTCGCCGACCTTGTTTCAGCTGTTTACTGACGAAATCGAGAACGAGGCTCGACCATGTGCTTTCAATAAACACAATCTATAAATGCCAATGGTTTTCTTTCTAACGGCATGTAATAGTCGAAAGTTGTGACTAAGTGCTGAAATACGAAGATAGAAAATTCTGTGCCATTGTCAGTAAATGCTTACAAATGACCTATAATTACCTGATGCAATAAAACGCTGACAAGATCAAGCTTAAATCTAAAAGGCGCTTGAAATACAGTATAAATTTGTGTTACTGTCAAGTGCTCAGACGATTTTTAAAACCTGACTGATCAGGGAAAAATTTCCGAAAATTTACGGTCACCAGATCTTCAATATTCTAATAGCCCAAATGGCGACCAGTTATGAATTTTTGGTCGCCAATCAGCTTTTAAAGTCGCCCAGGCGACCATTTCAGTAGACTAAATTGAGGGCTGGTAATGAAATAGTTCTTTAAAAATTTCTTAGGTTGACATAATATTTATTAGAATGAAAACTTGTCTGATCCTTGTAAGCAGGTACCGAGCTGGGCTTCGCCAATGTCGCAAATTGCGATTTTTTATTTCATCTGGCGATAAAATACTGCTGCTGGCGACATTTTGGCGCCAACATTCTCTTTGCCTGCTCTCACTTTTGATATGAAAATAACAAAACCAGCCGCCATTGTTGATCATATCACTTCTACTGCGTTCTGTGTATTACCCCCCCGAAGAAGGAGCACACCCGAATAAAGAAAGACAACTCAACTTTATTTTTTCCTAGTATTGAGATACCTACTCAAGATATGTCGACATACTTCTGACTTAGGAATTTATAGGTTTAGGAGGTCTTTTGAGTTATGGGCAAAGTTAAGAGGGTCTTGGTAGCAGGATGGGTAGCGTGCTTGGGTCATCATTTTCTGTATTCTTTATTTTTTATACAAATTTTCACTATTCTATATATCTTAACACCTATTATTCTCTTTTCTTCATTTAATTGCCCATTTTTTCTATTCTTTATTTTTATACAACCGCAAAAAAATTTTGGGGATCTTATAATGGTATGATGTCGTCGTCATCTGCGTCGTCGTCCGAAGACACATTCGTTTCCGGACTATTACTTTAGTTTAAGTTAATGGATCTCTATGAAATTTTTTAAGAAGGTTCAATACCACAAAAGGAAAGTAGGGATTGATTTTGGGGATGATGGTCCAAACCGTTAGGAATTAGGGGCCCAAAAGGGGCCCAAAACAAACATTTTTCTAGTTTCAGGATAATAACTTGTGTATAAGTATTTCGATTTGCTCTGAAATTGTACGACAATGTTTAATACCACAAGACGAAGGTTGGGATTCATATTAGGGGTTATGGGGCAAACAGTTTAGGAATAAAGGGCCTAAAAGGGGCAAAAACAACAATTTTTGTAGTTTCCGGACAATAACTTGTGTGTAAGTATCTGGATCTCTCTGATATTGTACCATACAGCCCTCAATTTAGTCTACTGAAATGGTCGCCTGGGCGACTTTAAAAGCTGATTGGCGACCAAAAATTCATAACTGGTCGCCATTTGGGCTATTAGAATATTGAAGATCTGGCGACCGTAAATTTTCGGAAATTTTTCCCTGATCAGAGTCGGGTTTTAAAAATCGTCTGAGTGCTTGACAGTAACACAAATTTATACTGTATTTCAAGCACCTTTTAGATTTAAGCTTGATCTTGCCAGCGTTTTATTGCATCAGGTAATTATACGTCATTTGTAAGCATCGACTGAAAATGGCACAGAATTTTCTATCTTCGTATTTTAGCACTCAGTCACAACTTTCGACTATTACATGCCGTTAGAAAGAAAACCATTGGCATTTATAGATTGTGTTTATTGAAAGCACATGGTCGCGCCTCGTTCTCAATTTCGTCAGTAAACAGATGAAACAAGGTCGGCGACAATTTTGTAACTTTGTTCTCATAGATGCAATTATTTCCTGGCCACTAAAATTTTGAGTTGGCCACTAAATTTTCATGTCTGGTGGCCAGTTGGCTACTTCATTTCAGAAGCGACTTTGAGGGCTGCCATAAGGTTCCATATCACAAAGGGAAGGCTGGGATTGAGTTTGGGGGTAATTGCCTAAAACATGTAGGAATTAGGGGCCAAAAAAAGGCCAAAAACATGCATTATTCTAGTTTCCAAACAATAACTTGTGTTAGATGTGTATGGATCTCTCTGAAATTGTACTACAAGGTTCCATACTACAAAGGAAAGAATTGGATCCAGTCTTGGGGTAATTGCTCCAAGGGGGGATTCCAAAAGTTGCGGGGGGGGGGGGGGTTGGGTTTCCAATTTTTTTAAGGAATTCACATTTTTTTCAAAAATTTTCAAATTTCAAATTTTGTAAAAGTTTCAAGTAATCTTCAATTGCACAGTATTGCGCAATAGATTTGTAAGATCTTTTACCACATTTCTTTTGTGTCAGAAACCTATATTATGTCAAAAATTTGATCACAATCAAAATTGAGAAAGTATCAAGCTTGAATATTATATCCAAAAAAAAAACTGTTCAGGGTTCGATCTCTGCGGTCGTATCAGGCTGCGCTCAGCGAAGCATTTTATTCATTTTAAAAACATTTTCTCTATTTTGTAGCATATACAGACCATAAGCTAATTATAAGGACAGGAACATTGATCAATAGTCATTATATAAGTCCCATTAGTCACTGTTCGGAGACATAAACATTCAAATAAAAACATACAATATGCTGTTTTGTGGAAAATCAGCTGCTCTGTTTTAATCTTTATTGTTATATTTTTATTCATATACTTATGAAATACTGACAAAGAAAATAAAAGTACACATGTTGTTTTCCTTGTATATAAACCCTTTGCAATAACTACCTTAGTCTATCATGTTAAATGATGTACAGTGCATAAGAAATTTAAATTGAACATGGTTTCAATTTTGGTAGAGAATGGCTCTAAAGTTGGCTCCAAGTTTTCAAAACTTTGTTGTATTTTCTCGCCTGTGTAAAGTCTTGTTGCCAACATGTAAGTTTAGTCTGTGGTTAAAGGTTTGTATTTGTCAAACATTTATGGAGTTTTATGAAATTTGAACAAAAGCTTCCTCATGATCAAGAAATAGCACCTGGGTCAAAATTTTAAAAGATAATTTCTTTTTCATTTATCTGTATTTTACTGATAAATGACTTAGTTTGTTTGCTTTTTTAAGTTTACTTGAAGATACAGTGTACATTTTTCTAGACCTCTATAATTTTGTCAAACCTTTAATCGAATTTTATGGAACTAATAATAATTACTTGGACTTTGCATTTATTCTGTTTTTCCGTATTTTACTGATAGATGGACTTTCACTTTTTGCAGTTTTGCAGAGAAGAGTACTTGATAAAGCATACCATTCTATGTGATAACAGGATGATCTTATTTATATTACAGATGCTGCAGGGCTTAAAGATAAGCCAAAGATTCTTGCAATGCAAGGTAAAATCTTGGAATCATTACGACGCTACACTGCCACTCAGTATCCAAATGATCCACGTCGTTACAGTAAAATATTGTTGCGTTTACCATCTTTGAGGAGTGTGAGTGCTAAGGCGGCAGAGAGGTTCCTGTCCCTTTCCCTTGATGGTTCTTTACAACTCAACAGCTTGGTACTTGATATGATTACTTGATGAACTGATGTCACATGATCAGCTTTATGACTGTTAAATGAAACACTCCTTCTATGAGAAGTGTGTTGCTCAAATGTCTGTGATTTCATTTGTAAATTCAAATTCTAATTTGATGTATATTTTTTATTTTATTGTCCAAAACATGGAATAAAAATCATGTTAATTAAAGGCTTGCTCAAGCCTACATTCAGACATGTTACTGTTCATGGATTTTCCATTGGACTCGCTGATTGGATAATGTCAAGATTCCCAGATTGACTTGACAATCTTGAAGTATGACAATTTTATAAACTGAAGTTTGAGATGACAGAACTTTTTTATTGTAGTGATTAGAAGAAATCATTACATGAATTAACTAAAATTTCAGGTTTTAATCATGCATTTTATCTGACAGGATAATCACTTATTAATTGATATGCTTGTTTTTATTTGTAAAATTATGTATTTGTTGTTATCAGAGATAAATGTTTACTTTCCGCTGTTTACTTCTCTTTGAATATGTTTAACAAAGCATGAATGTGTACATACAGTAGTCACCTTCTCTTCAAGTCTCAGATTCTATGGAGTGTATTATGTTAATAATAGGGATGACTGCTTGTAAAGAATGGAATAATAGAATATGATAAAAGGTCAGATCCTTAGGGTGTTCATGCTTTGCTTTAAAAAAAAAATGAATGTTTTCTGTGCTACTTTCTGTTATAAATATGATTTCAAACAATGAAATATCTGTCTCCAAAAAGTATTCACAATAAAAAGTAAAACTGACAGTTTTTAGATCCTTGTAAGCAATGTGGGGACACACAGCCTACATTTTAATCAGTTTTGTGTAAAATAAGTATTTATTACACCGGTGATTGATCATCAATGATGAATGAGTTAATTAATACCTTGAGAAGGGCCTACTATTTATAATTTGTTATCCTTACAATAAGCATGAAATATGTACCATTGGACATGTATACAAATTATTTCCATATATATGATCTTTGTCAAATCGAATTGACATAATACACTGTAATAGGTAACTAACATGACATTTAATTTTTCAATTTTTTAATGAAAAAAGACAATCAGGTAAATGCAGTGTTAAATTTTGTCATTTGCATTATTTTATAGCTGTGAAGAAGAAAATTTTCACAAGGGTTTTATTTTAGTATTTATCTTTAAGAGGTATCAAAATCAAAGACAAGAAAAATGCGAAAAAAAATCCTTGTGAACAGGTTTGGCATTTGAAATTGGGGAATTTAAACACAGTTGAAACAGACCACTTTACAGTAGAGCACAAATTCCATTTCATTTAATTCTTATATTATTGCTCTCATCTGTTGGCTGTTATAATCACAAAGTTGGAGATATATGTTATTTTGTGGTTATGCTTGTATTATTATTGTTCAAAGATAAACAAAATTCTGTTATAATCTGTGTAATAAAAAGATAAATGCAGCTTGTGTTGTGAATTTATCAATTCTTATCTTTAGAAAATAAGTTTTTATACAGCCCTTTGTTTCAGCTTGCAACTAAATGAATGCACATTAGTGTCACTACTAATCTACAGCAAAATATAATATTACTTTACTTAGTATTTTTTAAATACCATTGTCTCATGTGCACCAAGGAGGGGGTTGCAAGCCCATTTATAGAAATAATACATTTGTAATTGGTTCCATATAGTTTTCACACTATGAATAGGCTTTGGTGTTTTTATAAAATTGTATGAATGGTCACTCTTGAAAAGGAACCTTTGGGCCCAGAACACCTATTGTCTGGGAAATTTTTGGTTCCTTCTTGTCCCCTACTTATGTACATTGTTTTCATGTAATAGCCCAAGTAAAATTGATGGCAGATATGATTTTAAAATGGACATTCGAAATTCCTGATTTTTAGCTCAGCTGGCCCAAAGGGTGAGCTTTTCTCATCACTTGTTGTCCATTGTGCGACTTCGTCATTATCACCTGTTAACTTTTATAAAAATCTTCTCCTCTGAAACTACTGGACCAAGTTTACCAAACTTGGCCACAATCATCATTGGGGTATCTAGTTTAAAAAAATGTGTCCAATGACCCCGCATGCAAAACATGGCCAACATGGTTAAAAATAGAACATAGGGGTAAAATGCAAGGTTTGGTTATTATTTTGAAAACCATTATAGACAGAGAAAATCTGACAAGGCAAAAATGTTCAAAATGTTGAGCTCTACCAATTGTTCGTTAAGAAGTTATTGCCCTGAAATGACAAATTTTACCTATTTTTTTTTTCATTTTTGCCTATTATCTTGAAAACTATAACAGATAGAAAGAAACTTTAAGTTGCAAAAATTATCAGTAAGACAAGATTTAGGAATAAGTTTGCATAGTCGAAATTGTCAGTCGACTCCTTATTAGAGTTATTGCCCTTTGATGACGATTTTTACCATTTTTATGTGTTTTTGCCCAATATTTTAAAAACTATAATAGAAAGATAGAAACTTAAACAATCAAAAATGATCAGCAAGACAAGATCTACATTTAAAACAACATGAAGGAAATTTTCTGACAACTCCTTATTGGAGTTAATGCCTTTAATGACAATTTTTACCAACTTTTTTGCATTTTGCCTTTTACGATAAAAATTATAATAGATAAATAGAAACTTTAAATAACAAAAATGATCAGCAAGGCAAGATCAACAAACAAGTCAAATTTTGCCAATATAGTTAGTAGACTGTCACTCTTCAGCATAGTTTCAACCCATCGGGAATTTAAATACCAGGATGTGCAATAAATACCCGAAGTGATGGCAATATTTGGGAGAATATCTCATAAAACTAGTTTAACCCTGTCGACATATTCAAGCGGCTGTTTCGGTACCATATAGTCAGTGGGTGACTTATATTTATTATAGCATATCATACACCTTTTTTTTTATTTCATCAAGCGTTAGCACTACTTTTCTGCAATTTAATAAAAGTGTAGAGCATTGATCACACCTGCAAACATGCATCTCGTAAAATAAACTCGCCAAAGATACCAGGCTTATAATTTTGGATGTCAGACGCACTCTTCGTCTACAAAAGACTCATCAGTGACGCACGAATAAAAAAAGTCAAAAGGCCAAATAAACTGAGTGCGAAGTTGAGGAGCATTGAGGATAAACAATTCCGAGAGACTTTGCCAAATACAGCTAAGGGAATCTTATTTCTATTGTAGAAAAAAGACAGAAATGCTTTATGGATTCTCTTTATTTCCACGGTATTTCAAAAATTCAGTGGAGGACATTCTAGACTTCATAGTAGATGGGGCCTCTGTGGCTGAGTTGTCTAAGTAGATCGAACTATACTGTATCACTGGCTTGTCAACACTGAGGTTGTGAGTTCAAATCCCGCACGTGGCAGGTGCGCTCCACTCTAATCTTAATTGACTAGGATTGTTAGTTTTCCTACCGAAGGTCAGTGGTTCTCTCCGGTATCCCCCTTCAATAAAAACTGACCACCACGAAAAAGCACAATAGTGCTGAAGTGGCGTTAAACACCAATCAATCAATCAATCACAGTTTTATTGATATAATAGAATTTCGAAATGACATCCCATAGCCCGAGGAATTACCCCAAGAGATTCACAAAATAACAAAAGACATGAAATCAAAATGTTCCAAGCGATTGCAAATACGCATTCCTACTAAAATAAAAAAGAAATGATATTGCTTAATTTAGCGTTGCCTGTTGGATTCTGTAGTTGCTACCTAAACTTGGGAACAGACCAGTAATGACTAGAAGTAGACTATGTGCCCAGGCTATAATAACAGTTTTAAATATGTGAAGGAAAAGCAGAACAAATCACAAAAAAAAAAACTGCTCAGCTTCTGAGTGCTTAGGTGGCCGCAAAATCCCGCATATTATAAAGCCTCCTATTGCATATATACTAATTTAGGGACTTGACTTGATACCCAATTGCAAATTTTGCATGTTGTTGCGAAATTTTGCACCGAGGGACGTCGTTAACCAAAATGAATTAAAGTTTTTCCAAAGCTCAATACATGGTTATTTCCAACATAATGTGGAATTTTGTTAACTGTATTCTCTTTTATATTTGGAATAAATACTAAATATTTTCCAAAATATGTCAAAATTGCAGGGTTTGAGCTGTCTTCAGGTGTTTGTAATTTGATGGTCTGTTTAGAAATAGGCCATACTATTGTTAGAACCTTAAAGTACATACTTAGTGATGTGATACTATAAATTGAATACTCATGTTGCAGTAAAGTTTAACAGTTTAAAAAAATGGCTCTGTCTAGAAGAAATGCAGTGTAAATTGGTCCAAACTCTTTTACATGTTTTTGTAAAGATTTTGCATCATAGGACGTCGCTTACTTAAATGAATCAATTTGTATAAAAAAAAGTACATACTTTAATTAGATATACTTCCAATTTGCGTGCAACTTCTTTTGTTTTGGGTCAAGGACGTCCTTCGTGTATAACTTTGAGGTAAATCCTTAAAGTGGGCCAAAATCTCAAAATTGCGATGTGGGGTTAAATTCAGACGTTTATGATTTGGTGACCTTTTAAGGAATAAGCCATAATATTGCAAGCAACGTAAAGTACCGTGACATATTGGGCTGTGATACTATGAATTAAAAGAAAGCTTGGAATCTCAAAGAACTTTTTACAAATTGTCCTGGTGTGAAATGAATTCAAAGGAAATTTGCCCTACCCGTTGCTTTGTTTGGCATAACTATTTTATTTTCATTGTAATTGTGGATTTATATCCTGCAGCCTTTTTCTTGTTACTTTTTTTATCATTGAATTTCCCCGCACGTGACTTTTTCCTACATTCTTCAAACAGCACCGTGTCTTGGTCACAGGAATTAAAGTCACAATAACAATGAAATTAAAAAAAAATATTTGCAAAATTCGTTATTTTTTTCAGGATATTTTGTAAGAAATACGCCAAAAACTGTGTTATATTATCTGTACCACACTTCAGGGTTAAACAATATTTGGTCATATTTTAAGAACGTTCAAAGCCCGGGGCGTTATTGAGTAATTAAACTGAACTCGAGAAAGATTTCCAAACGATCCAAAGAAATATGAAGAAATAAAGAAACGTAATCTTTATTTTTATGTTCTCGTTTGTTATTTGTTTTCAAATTGGTTGTATTTTGTTTTCAAATATGTGCATGGGAAAAAAGAATCCCAATTGTAAAATTGTAAAAGAGAGGCGAATTATACCAAAGGGATATTCAAACTCAAATTAAAAAAAAACTGCACATGTCAATGCCATGGCAAGAATAGAAAAAGGACGAAAAGATTAAAACAGTATACAAAGCACAACATAAATAGAAAACTAAAGACTGAGCAACACTAGCCACACTAAAAACCGGGGGTGCTCTCAGGTGCCATAAAGGATCAGTGGCGTAGGATGTTAGACTGAAATATGTGTGTGGGGAAGGGGGCTTCTGAAAATAAAAAAAAAAATTCTTCGTTAGTCATATTGTGTCGTAGTTAGTCAGTTAGTCAGTAAGTCTAGTTGTTAGTCAGTTAGTCTAGTAGTTAGTCAGTTAGTCTTATAGTCTAGAAGTTAGTCAATTAGTCTAATAGTTAGTCAGTCACTGACTAGTAGTTGTAGTTAGTCAGTTAGTCTAGTAGTTGTAATTAGCCAGTTAGTCAAAAGGGGGCAAAAACATAGTTTTATAACAACACTTTTGAAAATGGGACAAGTTCTCCCTTGCTCCCGGCAAATACGCACCTGTAAGGGATCATAAGTTAAGTGCACGTCTCGGTAGATAAATATATATATGTTAGCGGCAATAAGTGAAATTAGGTATTAAGCTTAAATCCTAGACAATAAGGTAACGCATAGGCAGTAAGTCTATTGCCTAAATGATGATAGGCATTATTCTTAAATCATAGGGTTTAAGCTTAAATCCTGAAAAATGTTTCCAGGCATTAATCTTAATGTCTAAAATGTAAATGCGAGTAAATAAAAAAAAACATATATTCAAAGTTAAATATGTATACATTTGGTACATATAAACATGATAAGAACTGAGTTTTAAAACGTCAGCTACCTGAAATAAAGTCACTTAGTCTAGTTCTGGCCACTTTAGTTTTAACTCGGATATAACCAAAGCTGTAAATTCACGACCATTGTCACTAAAAAGATTTCAGTTTATTGGGCGCACCAAAAATTGTGAAAACATCAATTAAGTCGAAAGTGACACCTGAAGCACATTTTGACGTAAGAGCTCTAATGTTAAAAAGTTTCGTTTACTAGGTGATTTTGGTTTACCTAAGTTTACAGTTTTCATTTGGATTTCAAATCAACCCGTCTGTACTGTTGAACTCTTTGGATAAAATGGGTTTCACTACTACTCCGGATCCATTCCCTAAATACTTTTTCTTCATGGTTACAACTTTCGCAGAGTGAAAGAAATAGTTCGATGGAATCACGAGAAATATTTGCATAGCCATGGAATCACGAGAAATATTTGCATAGGCACTTATAAGTTGTTTAAATCATACGGTCTCTGACGCTATGACGTGTTTATGTGCCTTTTCCAAAGTACCATAAAGTTCCTCTAGAAAAACAGATGTTTTTAAAAATTTTCCTCATCATTCTCGATTACCGTACTTTTCAACCGTTCAAAGCCAGATAAAATCACTAAACCAGATAAAATCACTAAAGCCCCGTCCATAAATACCTTTAAAATCCAATTAGATAAATATTGGTCTGACGAAGAGCTCTATTACAATGACTATAGAGCAGAAATATCCGGAAGTCACGGACAAAACAGTATTAGAAATAACTTAAATTATGAGTCTGGTGAAGAGGAACCTTATAGGGATCCTATACTGGAAATCAACTATAAGTAACTATAAGTAAAAGTCTCCAATTGTTAAAATGTAAAAACTTAATAAAATTTAAACCGCTTTAAAAGATTTAAGAAATTTGTCTTCATTAGACATGTCACTTAAATGCTAATAATCCAGATTAAGAAGTGAAAAAGACAAGATGGTGTGGTAGTATTTAAAAAAATATTTAACAGTAATTTTTGCATATCCAATTAAATCAATGGAAAGATGATGTGAGCAAAAATTCATATTTTAATTTGTCTACTTTTGACCAGACCAAGACCAGCTCGATCGGTGAAGTGTGAATTTTCTTCAAATAATTTTCATATAGAATCACCAGTCCCCCCTCCTTTCATTAGATACAATCACTTGTTTGAAAAATATCATTTTTGTAATACCACAAAGAAATACAAGTTAATTCTGTTTAGAATATGAAAAAATACTAAAATTTGAAGATCCGTTAAATTAATTGTATATTAATATTTGGAATATAATTTTAACAATACTTTACACCAAGAATATTCACCGAATGTACTTTTACTTCCTACTAAATATAGATAAGAACCTTGTACAGTCTTAATTAGGTCAAAAGTGTTTAACTTGTCGGAAATTCCGCTGATTTTTCATATGAAACCACATTTTTAAAAACATAAAAAAATAAAGGCATGATTTTGATGAAATTTTTAATGTTACACTTATGGTTATTATGAAATATCTTCATGACATATAATTACTGAGAAATAATTATTTGTATACAAATATTAAAATTAAGTGTCATTTTGTCCTATATAACCATAATTTTTTTTCGGGCAGAAATTTACATTTGTCTATAAACAGTGATTTCCATAAAAGTGTAAATCATTTATATATTTCACAATCATTGCAAGAATAGTATTTTATTGTTTTAGTGCAAGAAACTGCAAACATTTCTGTATGCAATGAAAAAAAATCATTCAATTTGGACAAGACATATCTTCAGTAGAATTTTTTTTAACAATGTGTTTTTATATGAAATGATAGAGGAATTTCCAAAAGGTGAAATAATTTAACATAAGACTGTAGATATCAATGTATACTACATATGTTACAGGCATTTTCTAAAATGCCTTAAAACTTAAGGCATTTTCAAAAATGTCTGCAAGATTCAGGCATTTTACATAATTACTAATTTTTCTAGGCATTTTAGAAAATGCCTGGAAAAATTGAAAGGCATTTTAGAAAATGCCTGAAATTATTTTATAGAATGAAATATTAATAAAACAATTGAAAGCTTTGAACAACAGCCCAGTTTTATTTATGATAATTACTGAATGTTAAAGTTTGCATTTTAAGAATTTTAATAATCAAAAATAAATTTTACTGAATTATTCAAAATTCACACAAGCACAGAACTCGACAATTATTTATTTCTTAAAATGTTTGGATGATAGAACTGTTACACAATATTTGTCCTAATTTTTTGCAAATGCATTGTTTGGCGTAAAATCTGGTTTTAGCACTTCGACCACATTTGGAGAAACCTGGATCATAACACATATAGCTCTTTCATTACCTTTTCTGATAAAACACTTTACGTTCGACAACATTGGGTTTCGCAATATGCACAAACGTCACAAATGAATATCTTCTTTTTCATATGTTCCCAAAAAATTCAAAGTACATTATCATGATAAGTTTTTGTCTTATAGCTTTTAACGACTGAAGCAGGTCTGCCCATGACGGGTGATGCATCTATAACAGGAGACGCTTACCCTGTCAATGCACCGTTATTTGTCTCTTCTTGGTCGATTATCGAGATTTTAAACGGCACATTTAACTACTGTCTCATTTATTCATCAGATTGGAAAGACCCAGGAATTCCGTTGAGGCAGTGAAGATGAAGATACTCATATCTTTGAATCACAATCAAACACAGCCTTGTATGGCGAAACCCATGCTATAGAGGGGGATTCGTTTGGATGTGGATGTATAAATTCTCATTCTTTCAGAATGGGGACCTAAAAATATATTGCCGCATGTTAGTAAAGTGCAATACTTTCTGCACGTTAAGGACTCTTTGACCGTTCTGCAGGTGGAATTTTCCGTCTCTATCCAAAATACCTTCATTTCAAGCGACAGTCGAAATTCCTGTCCTTTATCCAGATCAATACACTGCAGAAATAAACCATATGAATTATAACCAAATTGTTCTCGTCTTAAAAATACATGAAATATTTGCTACTGATAGCAAAATCAGCAAACAAACAGCAATCAGTTAATTAAAAACAAACTTCTTTTTCTCTGCTTCATATGTTTCACTTCACTGTTTCGAATCTAGATATTCTGAAAATTCATTTGTAAATTTTGTTCTATTGAAAGAACAATTTGTCCTTCTGCGATTTTGACAAAATAATCATAGATTTACTATCTGAAATACAGAGTGAGTACATACTCAACGTAGTTTCACTAAAACTTGAGAACATACTCATATGACATAGAAACTTTCCCAGCTTGTTTTTGAAGAATAAATTAATTCTACCGAAACATTAGTTATTTTCTTTGCAAGATGTTATGTTTATGTCCACTTTTTGTCTTATGCATCTCAATGATATCCTTTTTCTACAAATTGCCTGAAACTGAACAGGCAATTTGTTGAATTTTGTTTCAAAATTTCAGTCATTTTACAAAATGACTAGGTATTTTTAGTCATTTTATAAAATGCCTGTCTATAAATTTGCTGAAAATTTAGTCATTTTACAAAATGCCTAAATTTAGAAAATGCCTGTAACATATATATCTACTGATGTTTAAAATTTAATTTAATTAAAAATCCATAGGGAGTGCTCCTTAGAAAGGAGGGATATACCAGTAACAGTAACAGAGGGCTTCACAATTTCCTAATTTCCGACCTGAATTTATCTTAGAGGTAAAATCATGTTGATTATTGTAACTTGTGACGCTTTCAATGTCCCAAGTTTCAAAAGGTACAACAATCAAATTAAAGAAAAAAATGTCAGTCCGGATTATTGTAGATCATCCGAAATTGAACTGATATTTCTATAATAAAAATATTTGGTTGTCGCCCTTGTTTTAGTGAAAATCATGTACAAGTGTTTAGAAAAGATTTGTAGATTTTCCAGCAGTAGAAGTATTTTAAAGGTTCTTATTTACCCATCAAACACTTTTAAAGTATTTTGCGTGTTTAAATGTTCCTATTTTTTGGGTTATATTGACCTTCAGCATCTATCCTGAACCAAGGGCAACGATTTTCCTCGGAGCGTCTTTTTACCACAGAACACCACAGAATACCACAGAACACTCAAAATATACCACAGAACACTCAAAATATACCACAGAACTGCACACATTACAATAAAACTACTGAAATATACCACAGAACATTAGAATTACTTTATAAAATGCAAATCTAATAATTCAGAATTACATTATTTCAGGAACATATATATTGACGGGACTTGACACTACCTGATTGTAGTCGATTTTAGCCATAGTTAATAAAGATACGATACAGAAACGGACATGTGTTAAAAACGGACTCGCTATTTTCCTAATAATTTCTGATATTATCAATAAAATGTCAATCAAACTAGTTTTATAGTGATGCTACTGTATCAAACTTGTATTCTGTCACTTCAAATTTGTTAAAATCGCAAGCATTTCATCACAGAATTGTGCAGAATGCAAACCAGGTAATAAAAAAATGGCGGCCATTGCCGCGATGATTTACAAATTCCCAAACTATTATAAAACACTTCACATCAAATAAATCAAACTTATTTTGGTAATTTTATATGACAAAATATATCTACTAAATGATAAATCTTGTATTTATTTACAATTAGAGTTATGTGGTTTATTTGTTGAGCAGTTCTGATAGTTTTTCAGTCAGACGCTACCAAAATCCGTAAATCTTGGGAAGTCTCGGGGAGTCCGAGATTTTATCAATTTTATACTGAAAAGCGTATCAGATTCATTTCCCGTTAGATATACTGTTCCCAGATTATTTCTTTAATTCGGGTTACACCAATGACATGACGATTGACTGGATGAGATAAACAATGATCATATAATTTTTTTGTTATTTGGCATATTTTTACATTTGGAGACCTTTGAGACACTAAACTAATGCATTATAATAATGAAAATCTAAAATAAACATTTAAAAAAATGGTTTTGAGCAAAAAAAAGTTTACCGCACGATCAATATGATCCAAGATATGCTTTGAATATATTGAACTGATCGATAAAAAGTGTTAAAATCTCTTTTGTTTTACAATATTTTTTCGTGAAATTAAGAAATCTGCGATTTTATTAAATGTTGTTTAACAATAAAAACTTTATATAAACATGATAAATAAAACATGTTTTTCTACAAAAAAGTTGATCTGACGGATTTTACCAGCGAATATTACACTACGAATAATATTGATCTGATCGACAGAAAGTGCTAATATGCTAATATCGCTTTTTCTTTTAACATTTTTTCATTAAATTAAGAAATCTGCGAGATTAATGAATATTTTATATGAAAACATAACCTTTATTGTAAAAAAAAAAAATCTACAAAAAAAGTTGACCTGACGGATTTTACCGTCACGAATCATGCTATGAATAATATATTGACTTGATTGGCAGGAAGAGTTAATATTTCTCATATGTAACTATTTTTTCTGTGAAATTAATAAACCTATAAGACAATAGTTTTAATTTTTCAACTAAAATGATAGTGATCATCGGCTCACATTTTAATCATGAATTTTTTAATTATTATAAAAATTGTATTCTTGAAATTACTTGACAATAGTTAGAACAGGAAGACTGATATCAACATTCTATTTAATATAATATATATATCATTAATAATGGAATATTTACAAAATTCTTCATTGTTTGGATTCTATGCCACCTGATTATATAAGGTAATTCAATTAAATTTATTTGATGTCTCAGGTGTGAAAACTTAAATGACATGTTAATTGGCTTGATTGGTGATTACGACAAGTGTCAAAATGGGTTAATCTAATTAAATTTTGGTACTTTAATTGTGTCGGTGAACCTACTAAGGTCAACATTAATTATGGACTCAAAATTATAGAATCTATATGTAAATGCTACATATACATGTACCAGTTTTTTCGATATAAAGTTTCAGTTCAACTATTTCTAAATGCATACAAAATTTGGTAAAAATCCGAAATAATGTCAAATGATTGGAGAAGATACACACACAACATAAGAATCCAAAAACAGTCATCGAACTTGAACTTTTTGACAATTAAAAAGACACACTTATAATATGTTATTAGTCAACTCAAATATTACTGTCCTACAACAACTTCAGATATGTTTTTAGAAAGTATTTGCCGGTAGCCCTTAACACAGGATTGTTTTATATATAACTCTAATGGAGAAAACTTTGATGTACAAACATTAGCCAAGTTTAAATAATTGTTTGAAACAACTCTTGATAGCAGCTTAACTAATTACTTTAATCACTTTAATAAAGTTGAATTATTTGTTGACAACAAATTTAATTAACTGTCACATTAACCATTTTGATTATTTATTGTAACAACTCTTAACATAACATTAATAAAAAAAAGTGACCAAAAAAACTGGTAAACAAAATAAATTTAACAAATAATTACGTAATGCATCTAAACATTTTCAAAAATGATTTAAAATTACAAAAAAGATAAAAATGTATTTAAATTATAAAGGTCACAAATATAAATAATCTTTGTATATTATGGTTTTAATAGCTAGGGGTTTTTGGTATGATCCCAATTATTGGCCATTCAGTTGGGGGCGTAGCGATAGTGAGTCGACCCTAAATAGAAAAATTAAATTTATTTGAATAATAAATGTCAAATTACAAAAAGAATGAACAATAACACGGTAATAGTGTCTGAAGTATTAATATTTCGAAGTTCTGTGGTAAATTTTGGGTGTTCTGTGGTATTCTGTGGTGTTCTGTGGTAAAAAGACGCTTCCGATTTTCCTTGCCAAAACGTATTCCACAGTGGCTCGTCTCATGGGTCTACATGGGTTAGATGATGTGTTACTGTCAGTGGCTGTCGCCAATCTATATAACAAATGAGCCCCTGTGTTTATTCTTGTTGCCGTACTGATAGTATTATAATGGTTAGTCTAGTTCAAATAATTATAATATCTTTAATGTCAAAGGGACAGACTGGGATGAAATCTGTCACTTAAATATAATAAGCCTTGAATTATCTGATTAGTTTCAGTGTATGCATTGCTATATTCATAATACAGTCAAACCTGCCTTAGCAGTCACCTTGTTTCAGCGGTCATGATGACTCTAACTGTCGCTTAACCTCACAAACGTTTTCTCAAGTTAATTTAACTCTTTTCAGCAGTCACCTGTCTAACTCGGTCAGTGGCTATTTCAACTTTTAACAATGGTCATTTTAATGTTTTTACGTACAAATATCATCATCATGAAAAATATATGTGATCTGTATCCAAATCAAAATGAGAATCTGAACCCGTTTGGAACCGAGATTGTGCAACAGGAAGTGAATTCATGAATTCCTCATGTTCCACTCCTTTCAGTTTCCTTTCAAAACAATACCAGGCCAAAATAAAAATATTGTATGTTTGCCGAAACGCGACCAACCCAAAAAAAATCCACCGACTCAAATTCTTTTTTTGCCGTTTTTTTGAAGAATTTTTTTTTTCGGATTTTTTTCGTGTCCGCTCCGTCATCGTATAAAACTTAATGTTCTTTGTCTTTGCCTTTGAAAGTAACTGTGAATAAGATTAAAAGAAAGCATGTAAGAGACGCAGTTAATCGATATTCGATGTTCTCGGTTTTTATCTTCTGATTTAACGAACGTAAAGAAGTAAAAGTTGTAAAACATGTGAAAATGGCAGACAGTTTGTCATGGCTTTTGATTGTCTCTACAAAGGTTTGACAGAAAAAAAGATTCCGGTTATTTGCATAGCCTATTTGTCAGACAAAATTATGCAATTAAGCGGAGTATGCGTATATCCGAAATGCCAAATTACGGAGTCAAATAACATCGACAGTAAAGGAAATCCCTGAAAACGTGAACGGCCATAATCCACTTACAGCATGTTGAATGTTGATTTATTCTAATAAAAGTTATAAGTCTAGTGTTATTCATGTTATTGTATTTTGTATTCTTTTAATAAAGTTTATAAACACATTTTGTTTTAGTTTATTTGCGTACCGATGTTTCCTTTACCTGGGATACAAAATTAGAACAAATTGTTCTTAAAATAGATTTGTTTCTATGACCCGTATGTACAATGTACATCATTACGCTTTGATTAAAATAAACTGTTCAACTATACTACACAGTTTATTATCATTTTTAACAATAAATGTGTAATGAACTGCCTTTGATATGCAGTATTTACCGCTTGCACAGTGATGTAACACTGTTTCTTTAACCTCGTTAGTTTCGTATATGCAAAGCAGTAAAGGGGCCCTGTACGGGTTATTTGCTGGACACGAGTGTTGAACGTGTGAAAATATAATAATTAGAAGTGAATGCTCTTTTCGAAAAAAAATAAAAATAAAAGATTGACGAATAAAATTCTTCAACCATATATAAATGCCCTGTAATGTTTAACATAAATGCAAATCATCCCAAGCGAGAGTACACATTGGATGGTCTTTCAAAGTAAATTAGCAGGCGTTATTGTTTTTTAAAATTCACCCCAAATGTTATCTATGGACAATGCTTAAAATCCAATCAATAATTAACACCTTTTGGGATAGAATGGTCATGTTTTTACAACAACTTCCTGTTTGACATTTTATGACCTCGAGGCTTAAAATAGAACATGGGAAACTTCACCTGTGTACACATTGAGGTTACAAGAGTGCAATTATTTGTAATGCATTTTCCATAGGGTACCAGTGGTGTTCCGTATTTTTTTTCTCGAAGACTACACAAACTAGGGAAAAACAGGTAGCAGTTCCTGTTACTAGAAATGCCAGTGTTGCATTACAACCAAAAAAATATATATGGTCATGCGACAAAAATTGACTTAAAATGCAGTTGAAAAAGATCGTCTATTTTTTTCGCTTATTGAAAAAGGCATATTTTTAGCTCACCTGGCCCAAAGGGCCAAGTGAGCTTTTCTTATCACTTGGCATCCGTCGTCCGTCGTTGTCCGTCGTCGTTAACTTTTACAAAAATCTTCTCCTCTGAAACTACAGGGCCAAATTTGACCAAACTTGGCCACAATCATCATTGGGGTATCTAGGTTAAAAAATGTGTCCGGTGACCCAGCCAACCAACCAAGGTGGCCGCCATGGCTAAAAATAGAACATAGGGGTAAAATGTAGATTTTGGCTTATATCTCTGAAACCAAAGCATTGAGCAAATCTGACATGGGGTAAAATTGTTAATCAGGTCAAGATCTATTTGCCCTGAAATTTTCAGATGAATCGGACAACCCATTGTTGGGTTGCTGCCCCTGAATTGGTAATTTTAAGGAAATTTTGCCGTTTTTGGTTATTATCTTGAATATTATTATCGATAGAGATAAACTGTAAACAGCAATAATGTTCAGCAAAGTAAGATCTACAAATAAGTCAACTTGACCAAAATGGTCAGTTAACCCCTTAAGGAGTTATTGCCCTTTATAGTCAATTTTTAACCATTTTTCGTAAATTTTTGTAATCTTTTACAAAAATCTTCTCCTCTGAAACTACTAAGACAAATTTAACCAAACTTGTCCACAATCATCATTAGGGTATCTAGTTTAAAAAATGTGTCAGATGACCCCGCCCGCGAACCAAGATGGCGGACATGGCTAAAAAATAGTACATAGGGTAAAATGCAGTTTTTGGCTCATATCTCTGAAACCAAAGCATTAATAGCAAATCTGATGAGTATAAAATTGTTCATTAGGTCAAGATCTATCTGCCCTGAAATTTTCAGACCAATCAGGCAACCCGTTGTTGGGTTGCTGCCCCTGAATTGGTAATTTTAAGGAAATTTTGCAGTTTTTGGTTATTATCTTGAATATTATTATAGATAGAGATAAACTGTAAACAGCAATAATGTTCAGCAAAGTAAGATCTACAAATAAGTCAACTTGACCAAAATGGTCAGTTAACCCCTTAAGGAGTTATTGCCCTTTATAGTCAATTTTTAACCATTTTTCGTAAATTTTTGTATTTTTTTACAAAAATCTTCTCCTCTGAAACTACTTAGACAAATTTAACCAAACTTGTCCACAATCATCATTAGGGTATCTAGTTTAAAAAATGTGTCCGATGACCCCGCCCGCGAACCAAGATGCCCGACATGACTAAAAAATAGTACATAGGGTAAAATGCAGTTTTTATACGACCGCAAAAAATTTTTGTGGTCGTATATTGGTATGACGTTGGCGTCGTCGTTGTCGTCCTCGTCGTCCGAAGACACATTGGTTTTCGCACTCTAACTTTAGTTTAAGTGAATGGATCTCTATGAAATTTTACCACAAGGTTCAATACCACAAAAGGAAGGTTGGGATTGATTTTGGGGGTTATGGTACCAACAGTAAAGGAATTAGGGGCCAAAAAGGGGCCAAAAATAAGCATTTTTGTAACTTCCAGACATAACTTGTGTGTTAGTGTATGGATCTCTCTGACATTGTACCACAAGGTTCCATATCACAAAAGTAATGCTGGGATTGATTTTGGGGGTTATTGCCTAAAAATTTTAGGAATTAGGGGCCAAAAAAGGGGCAAAAAACAAGCATTTTTCTAGTTTCATGACAATAACTTGTGTGTAAGTGTATGGATCTTTCTGAAATTGTACTACAAGGTTCCATATCACTAAGGAAAAGCTGGAATTGAGTTTGGGGGTAATTGCTGAAACGTTTAGGAATTGGGGGCCAAAAAGGGGCCAAAAATAAGCATTTTTTTAGTTTCCAGACGATAACTTGTGTTCAAGTGTATGGATCTCTCTGAAATTGTACTGCAAGGTACCATACCACAAAGGGAAGGCTGGGATTGATGATGGGGGTAATTGCCTCAATATTTTAGTTTAGGAATTAGGGGCCAAGAAGGGGCAAAAAACAAGCATTTTTCTAGTTTCAGGACAATAACTTGTGTGTAAGTGTATGGATCTTTCTGAAATTGTACTACAAGGTTCCATATCACAAAGGGAAAGCTGGTTTGAGTTTTGAGGTAATTGCCCTAAATGTTTAGGAATTTGGGGCCAAAAAGGGGCCAAAAAACACATTTTTCTAGTTTCCAGACAATAACTTGTGTTCAAGTGTATGGATCTCTCTGAAATTGTACTGCAAGGTACCATACCACAAAGGGAAGGCTGGGATTGAGTTTGGGGGTGATGAATCATAAGGGGGTTCAAACAATTTGGGGGGGGGGGGATTTTTTTTTTTTCCTTTTTTTTTTCTTTTAAAATTTTACATTTTAAGTTGGTTATTTCTGATTTATATTTAAAAGCAAATAATAATGATATGGTAGGAGATACACACCAAACAGGATGTGTAAATTATTATATAATAAGTATTGTGCAATAGCAAGAAATTTTCAATTGCACAGTATTGCACAATAGCAAGAAATCTTCAATTGCACAGTACTGCGCAATAGCAAGAAATCTTCAATTGCACAGTATTGCGCAATAGCAAGAAATATCCAATAGCACAATATTACGCAATAGCAAGAAATTGTCAATTGTACAGTATTGCGCAATAGCAAGAAATATTTAATTGCACAGTATTGTGCAAAAGAAGATACTTCATATAAATTGCTTATTTCTTGACCAATTTCAATGGGGTTTTATTCTTGAATTCTTGGGGTTCTTAAATATGCTGAATCTAACCGTGTATTTAGTTTTTGGATTTTGGGCCCCGTTTTTAAATTGGTCCACATTGAGGTCCAAAGGGTCCAAAATTAAACTTTGTTTGATTTCATCAAAAATTGAATTATTGGGGTTCTTTGATATGCCGAATCTAACCGTGTATTTAGATTCTTAATTTTTGGTTCCGTTTTCAAATTGGTCTACATTTAGGTCCAAAGGGTCCAAATTAAACTTAGTTTGATTTTAACAAAAATTGAATTCTTAGGGTTCTTTGATATGCTGAATCTCAACATGTATTTAGATTTTTGATTATGGGCCCAGTTTTCAAGTTGGTCCAAATCGGGGTCCAAAATTAAACTTCGTTTGATTTCAACAAAAATTGAATATATGGGGTTCTTTGATATGCTGAATCTAACCATGTATTTAGATTTTTTATTTTTGGACCCCGTTATCAACTTTGTCCACATTGAGGTCAAAAGGGTCCAAAATTAAACTTTGTTTGATTTCATCAAAAATTGAATTCTTGGGGTTCTTTGATATGCTGAATCTAACCATGTGTTTAGATTTTGGATATTGGACCATAATAGATGAATGTCTAATTTAAAATTTTTAAGTTCTTAGACCACATTCATTCTGTGTCAGAAACCTATGCTGTGTCAAATATTTAATCACAATCCAAATGCAAAGCTGTATCAAGCTTGAATGTTGTGTCCATACTTGCCCCAACTGTTCAGGGTTCGACCTCTGCGGTCGTATCAAGCTGCGCCCTGCGGAGCATTTTATTGGCTCATATCTCTGAAACCAAAGCATTTAGAGCAAATCTGATGAGGATTAAATTGTTCATTAGGTCAAGATCTATCTGCCCTGTAATTTTCAGACCAATCAGGCAACACGTTGTTGGGTTGCTGCCCTTGAATTGGTAATTTTAAGAAAATTTTGCCGCTTTTGGTTATATCTTGAATATTATTATACATGTAGATAGAGATAAACTGTAAACAGCAATAATGTACAGCAAAGTTAGATCTACAAATAAGGCAACATGACCAAAATTGTCAATTGACCCCTTAAGGAGTTATTGCCCTTTATAGTCAATTTTTTACAATTTTCATAAATTTTGTAAATTTTTGTAAATTTTTACAAAGTATTTTCCACTGTAACTACCGGGCCAAGTTCATTATAGATAGAGATAATAGTAAGGAGCAAGAATGTTCAGTAGAGTAAGATCTACAAACACATCACCATCACCAAAACACAATTTTGTCATGAATCCATCTGTGTCCTTTGTTTAATATGCACATAGACCAAGGTGAGTGACACAGGCTCTTTAGAGCCTCTAGTTAATGGCCCCGACGTGCAGAAATGGAAGATATTTTCTATACTTTGCAAAATCTGAATTTGATTTTCTGGATTTTTAAAACCCTAATTGGATAAGCTTTTGATTAAAATTAATTCCAAATTATTCTGTATCATCCAATCAGAAGCCGTACAGGATTCTATTCTGAGTACCATTTTGGGGTAAAAAACTTGCCGGTAAAATGTAAACAAATAATTGAGCTCTAGTTACCTTGAGGGTTATTTAAAGTAAAACTCCATCATCAGTTTGATCATATAAACATGAAAGAAACTGTTTTAAAACTTTATTTTAATAACACAAAAGTGAATATGAAATAATAACGAAAATAATGATGCATTCAAGAAAAATATACTTACCAAATTGCCGTTTCCGTTCAAAAATCTCGTCAGTTTGAACTAAGCATATCTAGCTGGCAATTTTTTTCTATGCAATTAACCGAAAGGCCACTTGTAAGGCTATGCATATAACCGGATAATTTAACATTAGATGAATGGGAAATGGTTTTGTGCAGGAGAAAATTAAACCGAATTATGCTATGAAGCGGTACGCGATTAAGTGGAGTCGACTGTATACTGTTTTAATATTTTCATGCAAATTCTGTTAAAAAAAAAAAAGAATTTGCCTACCTACCTACCCACACCCAGTCATCATGGGTCAGGTTTGGGCAAACTGAAATTTTTTTAAACCAACTTATTTCTCCTCGAAAATAACATATATAAACCATTTCCAATGCTTTCTAAAAATTTACAGTGCCATTATCCACCATATTTCATGTATTTTATTTGTCTACTCACCATGCTCACTCAAACAATAATCTACCGATTGAAAGGACTAAAACAATTTGCCGCATTCCAAACCATGGGCAATGTCAGAATCTGATTCTTCAGAACCTCTTTTAAACGGTCACCTTTCTTGAGTGGTAACTTTTGATACATCTATCATGTCTATTAACCAATATTTAACACAAGATTATATGTTTTGTATATTTTTTCACCTTGAACATGTTGAACAATTTTTATACAGCCGCAAAAAAATTTTTGTGGTCGTATATTGGTATGACGTTGGCGTCGTCGTCGTCGTCGTCGTCGTCGTCTGGCGTCGTCCGGCGTCGTCCGAAGACACATTGGTTTTCTCACTCTAACTTTAGTTTAAGTGAATGGATCTCTATGAAATTTTACCACAAGGTTCAATACCACAAAAGAAAGGTTGGGATTGATTTTGGGGGTTATGGTACCAACAGTAAAGGAATTAGGGGCCAAAAAGGGGCCAAAAATAAGCATTTTTGTAACTTCCAGACATTACTTGTGTGTTAGTGTATGGATCTCTCTGACATTGTACCACAAGGTTCCATATCACAAAAGGAATGCTGGGATTGATTTTGGGGGTAATTGCCTCAAAATTTTAGGAATTAGGGGCCAAAAAAGGGGCAAAAAACAAGCATTTTTCTAGTTTCATGACAATAACTTGTGTGTAAGTGTATGGATCTTTCTGAAATTGTACTACAAGGTTCCATATCACAAAGGGAAAGCTGGAATTGAGTTTGGGGGTAATTGCCGAAACGTTTAGGAATTGGGGGCCAAAAAGGGGCCAAAAATAAGCATTTTTCTAGTTTCCAGACAATAACTTGTGTTCAAGTGTATGGATCTCTCTGAAATTGTACTGCAAGGTACCATACCACAAAGGGAAGGCTGGGATTGATGATGGGGGTAATTGCCTCAATATTTTAGGAATTAGGGGCCAGAAAGGGGCAAAAAACAAGCATTTTTCTAGTTTCAGGACAATAACTTGTGTGTAAGTGTATGGATCTTTCTGAAATTGTACTACAAGGTTCCATATCACAAAGGGAAAGCTGGGTTTGAGTTTGGGGGTAATTGCCCTAAACGTTTAGGAATTTGGGGCCAAAAAGGGGCCAAAAAACACATTTTTCTAGTTTCCAGACAATAACTTGTGTTCAAGTGTATGGATCTCTCTGAAATTGTACTGCAAGGTACCATACCACAGAGGGAAGGCTGGGATTGAGTTTGGGGGTGATGAATCATAAGGGGGTTCAAAAAATTTGGGGGGGGGATTTTTTTTTTTTCCTTTTTTTTTCTTTTTTTCCTTTTTTTTTTCTTTTAAAATTTTCCATTTTAAGTTGGTTATTTCTGATTTATATTTAAAAGCAAATAATAATGATATGGTAGGAGATACACACCAAACAGGATGTGTAAATTATTATATAATAAGTATTGTGCAATAGCAAGAAATCTTCAATTGCACAGTATTGTGCAATAGCAAGAAATCTTCAATTGCACAGTATTGCGCAATAGCAAGAAATATCCAATAGCACAATATTGCGCAATAGCAAGAAATTGTCAATTGTACAGTATTGTGCAATAGCAAGAAATATTTAATTGCACAGTATTGTGCAAAAGAAGATACTTCGTATAAATTGCTTATTTCTTGACCAATTTCAATGGGGTTTTATTCTTGAATTCTTGGGGTTCTTTAATATGCTGAATCTAACCGTGTATTTAGTTTTTGGATTTTGGGCCCCGTTTTTAAATTGGTCCACATTGGGGTCAAAAGGGTCCAAAATTAAATTTGTTTGATTTCATCAAAAATTGAATTATTGGGGTTCTTTGATATGCCGAATCTAACCGTGAATTTAGATTCTTAATTTTTGGTTCCATTTTCAAATTGGTCTACATTAAGGTCCAAAGGGTCCAAAATTAAACTTAGTTTGATTTTAATAAAAATTGAATTCTTAGGGTTCTTTGATATGCTGAATCTAAACATGTATTTAGATTTTTGATTATGGGCCCAGTTTTCAAGTTGGTCCAAATCAGGGTCCAAAATTAAACTTTGTTTGATTTCAACAAAAATTGAATATCTGGGGTTCTTTGATATGCTGAATCTAACCATGTACTTAGATTTTTGATTTTTGGGCCCCGTTATCAACTTTGTCCACATTGAGGTAAAAAGGGTCCAAAATTAAACTTTGTTTGATTTCATCAAAAATTGAATTCTTGGGGTTCTTTGATATGCTGAATCTAACCATGTATTTAGATTTTGGATATTGGACCATAATAGGTGAATGTCCAATTTAAAATTTTTAAGTTCTTAGACCACATTCATTCTGTGTCAGAAACCTATGCTGTGTCAAATATTTAATCACAATCCAAATGCAAAGCTGTATCAAGCTTGAATGTTGTGTCCATACTTGCCCCAACTGTTCAGGGTTCGACCTCTGCGGTCGTATCAAGCTGCGCCCTGAGGAGCATTTTATTAAGACTTAGAAAGGCATTGCTTTCCTTTATCATGTTTATGTCCAAGGTTGGGCGGTAAATACCGCCCCCGGTATTTACCAGTGGTATTTACCGGTATTTACCGCCCCGGTTAATACTCCTCAAGTGGTCAATACTGGCAAATACTGGTCAATTGAAATTTTTATGATTCTTTTGAAAGGCTTAACTATCAATTTTTAGTAAAATATTGGTTGATTGAGAAAATTATTTTAACTTAATTCCTTTGGCATGATTAAGTTTTTAAAAAAGAATGATATTGGTATGTTTTATTAACTATTAACATGAATAATGACTAATTTAGTTCTTAAAGGTAATGATGATATTACATACTTTAGGTATATATAAAATTGCTATATGAATTATTTCAACATTTTTAAATCAAGATATTTTTTCTTGAAAAGGTTTTATTTTGACAGGTAAATAGAATTACAGGTGACTGGATTATCAGAGCATTACCTATTATATTGCTAGCAGGTGTCAAAAGTTTAATTACTATAAAAACTGCCCCCTAATCATGCTGATAAATGTTGACAAAACAGGAAACAAATCATAAAAGTTATTTTTGAAGACTGTTTAAAACAATAAATGAATTCCTGACTTTTCAACAGAATGATAATAATCTTCTAAATGCAGAAAATTGAAGTTTGAAGGATCTTTAATATGCCTCATTTATCCTTTTCACTAATATTTTATTCTGATAATCACAAGACAGAAATTCACAATTCAGTTTTGAGAGAACTTTTTCCTTGGTTAAGAAAAGAATAATTTTTTAAACCATTTTTGTTTTTTTCTTAAATTATTACATATTATATATAAAACAACTTTTGAATGTTTTTTTATTACACTTGATGAAATTTCTGTTTTAAGAAAACAAGCTGTCATAGTCTCTTTTTAGTGGTGCCAAGAAATATGTCCTTTGTATGATTAATATTTGATAAATCTTCATTTAACCATGTTCATGAACAATTCCATAAACTAGATTATGAATTTATCTAATAATGAGACATTTTTTCAAGGATCTTCCCTTATATATTCAAAAACTTAAGTAATTAATTGTGACTTTCTGTCCTGTGACTATATCTGTCCATTTACCCAGTAATTGACCAGGTAGGGACTGGTTTTTATATTTTAAAATTTCAATTGACCAGTATTTGCCAGTATTGACCAGTATTTGCCAGTATTTCCCGGTATTTACCACTGGCATGGTCAATACTAGTATTGACCGCTTTTTTGCCAACCTTGTTTATGTCATAGACTCATAATCATGATAATACATCAGTCAGGGATATAACTCTATAGGGTTATTAGAGAAAATATCATACATGTGTTAACACAGATACTTTCATGAGTTGTTGTAACTCTTTATTCCTAAAATTTTCTTAATCTGTAGTAACATATGTTTGTTTTTTGTTAAATAAATCATAAATATTTTAATTTTTAGTGGGCACTTGGGAATTCTTGAAACTTTGCGCAGTAACTTAATACATAGTCTTGATAACTAATTTTCCAATTAAATTAATACATTTTTTATCAACCATGGTAAATCAATAAGACCAGACTTTTAAGCGATAAACTTAGCCATGTTAGCTGTAATAACAAGGCTTAGTTATTACAGGCATGTAACTTATTATATGAGACACTTGGGAATTACTTGGAAGCTTGCGCAGAACCTCATTACATGCTCTGATCATTATTTCTTACAATAAATTAAAATACATTGTGATTAAGCATGATATATGTCTGAGCAAAGGCTTTGAAGTGATGTAGAGAAGCTGTCATAACACCCTTTAGTTATTACAGGAATAATTTTTCTGTAATAACATAGGTGTACTATGCATGATTTGCAAACTATGAACTGTTATATCTTAAGATTAGTGTACATAAAGACAATAGTAATATCAATAGAACTTGTATACATTTTAACAAAACAAAGGATGTATATTGCCCCTTTGAAACATGTAACATACATATGTGATCACAGTTTTTGGAGTTTTAGTCCACAATAACAAATGTATGTTATTTTTCTCTAATAACCCTATAGAGTTATATCCCTGACTGTACATAAAGAGAATAACAGGAATCACCAAAAATTCTGCACAGAACTACTAAAAGACCATGTCAACAATGGTCAAATACACCCTACTCCTAATGATAAAAACCAGACATACAATGTACACACAACATGTGCCACACAGGCTAGGGGTCATACTGAACAGAGTCTGTAGATGTATGTAAGAGTCTGGTGGCCTAAAATTGGTTTATTTGTCATGTTTGTGTTAATAAAAATTAAATAATGTTTATGTCATGAATGTTTGATATTATTCATATGATTTTTTTAAAGTCAATTATTAATGGTGAAAAAGAGAGGCGAAAGATATTTTATAATACATAACCACTGAACATTCAAAATTGAACGATCCGATCTCCTGTAATGGCGACATAGGTATGACAGAGAGGAAATGTGTGCTAATTAAAAGAAAATAAGATAAACATGATAAAGGTCTTAGGAATTAAGTTTATTTAAAGAAAGATTGAAAGGACTAATGTTAGTAATAATACAGGTGTCCATGCCATAAGTACCTCTACCACAAAAGAATTCAGCATTTACAGAATTGGTAACAGTGGAGTCAAACTTGTTTTATTTCCAAAATTATATCACTTTTAACTTATCATGCTTTGCATCTCAGCATCAGCCCATTTTGTCTGGCATGTCTGCTACAATGGGCAAAGGGAAACAACCTGTGTTGAAAGACTTCAAGCTTAAGTTTGTAATAACAGAATCAAATCGATAATTATGGGCAAACAAGCTATTGCAGAGGTATTTAATACAAAATTGCATGAATTAAGCTTTTTTTAATCTATTTTAGGTACAAAGGCAAACATGTTGTGCAGGAAACAGTATAAGTTTAGACAGGAAGTCATCGATTCATGTGTTTCACCCAAGACTCCATGATGGTTATATGTAAGTGAAAAGGAAGACAATATATAGTAAATCCATTCTAGTCAATAAGTTATTAGTGCTTATCATTTTCTCACTATAAAATTTAGTTGATTTTAAGTTTTTTGCCATGAATAATTCCATACTTTTTACATCTTTATTTCTATGGGATTATGCAGTTCTCATTCTTATAATATAAATTATGTTTGGTAAATTATATGAAATAGCAGCATGTTCAACATTTAAGACTCCAATTAGTGAAACAATGAAATCATACATATGTAGGCAAAAACTTCTATGTCATTTGGTCTCTGGTGGAGAGTTGTCTCATTGGCAATCCATAATTAAATTCAGCCTAGTCCCTCACGTTAGCATGAGTGGGTTTCTTAGTGATGAGTTGGTAATTGATATAACTGATGATACATACATGTATGATCAGACATGACTAGTTGAGAATGTTTTATATTCAGGAATGAAACTGAAAACATGTGAATCCATAAAATATGCTGTTATAAGTTCCAATATTTTCTTTAATATAAAAATAAGGAGATGTGGTATGATTGCCAATAAGACATCTATCCACCAAAGTTCAAATCAACTTTTAAACATATGTCATAAGACGAACATAGCCTTTTCTTCCTTTTAGCATGTTTTTAGTTCTTTCCTAAATTTGAACCTGTACAATTTCTGAATATACTGAATGTTGGATATATTACTTTTGATATTTAAAACAATGTAATTCAAACTTCAAAACACCTGATATTAGTGCATTAATGCCATTGCTGAGATTAGAAATGTATGATATTGGATAATCATACAATCTGGCACAAACATAGAGAAATGTTATGCCAAGTTCATATGAAAGTTAAGTTCATCTGCTTATGAGGAGTACTTTTGTATTTTTAAGAGTCGGACAGTGTGATTGAAAGATAACCAATCTAAGAATTTAAATACAAAAAGTATGAAACTCCTGACCAAACAACACTGATAATTCAATCAGGCACAATGTGCCATGTTAAATATTTTTCAACCTACCAATTATTGGACTAGTTATTCTCTAAATATTTAGAACCCTTGTAATTTAACTACATTAGATAACATTTGCATTTTCATTTTTCAGATGTAATTTACCACGAATAGTTCTGAAAAGTCATTTTACAACCTTTACTCAAACACAGGTAAGAATAGTGATTTGGAATAAAGAAGATGTGGGGTGTGAATCAATAAGATTGCAGCCCAACAACACAAGTAAAATAAGAAAGGCATCTAAAGGACAACATATGGCCTTCAACAATAAAACAAATTACACATACAGTGTATGGATAAAAGATGTGGAGTATAAGTCGGTAATCTATTGAAAGTTAAAGCATGAAAATTACTTCAAGGTTTTGAACATTTATAATGTTTATCAAAACAAAACACATGTAAATAGATTTATATGGTTTGGTAAGAATGAATAGAAAAATAAGAAGATGTGGTAGTATACATTTTGTTAATCCATTTTAGGGAATTGTTTTATCTTTTAAAGTTAATTGCAAAACCAACCATAATTTTCAAACAGTATGTAGTGTTAAACAGAACATTAAGTTAATGTTTTTAAAAAGAAAAACACTTTTGTTTTTCCTTTCAGTATATTGCTTCTAGGAATGGTCATAATACATTATCATTATTGCTTTATATTTATGTTTTTAGTTTTTGAAGTTTGAAGGGGGATTACCCCTGAAACAAAGAGTTATTCTCCAGCAATAAAAATTAAAATGTTGAAGTAGAAAAAAGGAGGTTTGATAAACAATTTGAAAATTGAAATTCAATACAAGTCCTAAATCAGTTGTAATTTATGAGAATAAAGTACCCTATATGTTATCTTTTACCATGTTTACTTGAAACCTATATATATATATAGCTAGTCAGACAGGACCTTTATGAAAATCAGGAGATTAGGTATGATTGCCAATGAGACAAATACCGGATCCACCATAGACAGCATGATGTGGATGTTACCAGATGATTATATATTGTAAGTTATTTTATAGGCAGTAGAGGAAGAACTAGATGATCTGTATAGACAAATAACGATTGAGGTCAAAGGTCATGATAAAGAAGTATTAAACAGCTACACCAAGTTTCTAGTAGCAGCTGCAACAGAATTAGAAATAAACCATAATGTGCCGTAAGTATAATGCCATAAGTAAATTATTTTGTGATATTTAAGCCTTTTTATGCTTTTTTTGTAGCTGCTGAAAAAAACCCAGAAAATTTAACACTGCATAAATTTCCCAGTATATTCCAGATTTATGGCTGTTTAATCATTTCATACATTATACTGTTAATTATTGTGTATTCACAAGTAAATGAACACTTTTCCCTTATAAACTGTAATTGGTGCAGCTGTATAATAGTTGTCTTTTCAATGTCAAGCTCTTAATCAATCATACCCACAAAGAGTTGAGAAGAAATTTAAAAATAATTTAATACATACACATTACATTGTGATTTGTACTCAATCAAAACATCTAGGACTTTTAAAGCTGACTATGCAGTATGGGCTTTGGTCATTGTTGAAGGCTGTACGGTGACCTGTAGTTGTTAATTTCTGTGTCATTTGGTCTCTTGTGGAGAGTTGTCTCATTGACAATCATACCACATCTTCTTATTTTTATATGACAAGAAATTCGTCTTATCTGTAAAATTTTATTTTGAATTAATTTTTTTTATTTGTTTGAAGATTAAAGAAATGTCAATTTTATTTTTAAAGCAATCAGCAATCATATAAATTTTGGAGATGTTTGAGTTAAGTTAATGATACAGCAACCCAATGATACAAACATATCAAATCAAAAAAATATAAAGGATCTTCTGCAGCACTGATTATGATGGCACTTGTTTAGTTATCCTTTCAATACTACTAATTTTTAAAGAATTAACAGCTCAATTATTTATTTGATTGATTGATGTTTGCTTTAAGCCGCATCAGTGCAAAAAAGGATGTATTAGGGTGATATTTTGAATAACGATAATGAACTTTGCTGTGCTTCCAGAGAAATTTGCTGATTTCATGTATGTTTGACTTTTTTTTCAGACAAAAACAGCCAGAGACCCATTTTCACAGACGCACACTAAATAAAGCAGTGTTTGCAAGCAAGAGAGCAAAAGTGCAGTATGAGATAAGAACACATTTCAAAGTTTTTGAGGTTTGTTTTCAGTGTGTTGTACCTAATCAGTTTACATGTTTAAAATCAAGTTTAAAAGACTGAGCTTATCATGAAATAATCATAGTATACTATCAATTATCTTTAGCTCACCTGGCCATTGGCTGTTTGAGTTATAGCTATCACTTGGGGTATGTCATAATTTGAGGGTACAGGTGTATCTTGAGCTAGTGGCACAACTGTTTAATGCTCATGTAATCAGGAAGTTTTGCTGATGATCTGAGGAAGCATGCTATATTTTTCATGCTATAAAGGAATACTTTAAATTTAGAAATTATTGCGAGGTTTTTATTAATGCGAATATTGCAACTGGGTGAGTATCTTAATAATAAGAACTCGCATTTTCATATCTGATGCATATATCTGTTTGTAGATTTTCCTGAAATCGCAATAATTAATGTCGCATTTTTGTCCATTCCTCACAAATCGCAATAATAAATGAACACAATAATTTCTGAATTTCCAGTAATCATTTTCATGAAACAATGTTGCACAAAGTATACATTAGAGATTATTGTCTATAGGAAAAAGTTTCAAATGTAACAACAAGCTTTACATTTAAAATTGACTTTTTATAGGAGTTATTGCCCGTAATTTATACATTTTTGTGCTTTTGCATATAATTTCAAAAGCAAAGATAAATAATGTAGAAAACTGTAAAAAGCAAAAGTTATCAGTGATACAAGATCTACAAAAACTTATTTTAACTAAAATCGCTTTGTTAATATTTTCTTTCTTTCAAAAACCAAATAAATGGCCTTTTCAATAAAGAAAAAATGAAAATATTTTTGTAGGTACAGAAACTGACTGGATCAACAGCTAGTGTTTTCATAGAATACATCCAGAGAAATCTGCCTGAAGGCTGTGCTATGAAGTTAACCAAGGTAAGACAAAAGCGCTTGTAGCATGAACTCTTTTTTTATACCCCTGCTTTAAAAAAAGGGGGTATACTGTTTTACTTCTGTCTGTCCTTCTGTCAGTCCGTCCGTCCGTCCCATGAATATTTTTGTCGCATTTTCTTCAGGAACTACTTGACAAGGATTTCTGAAATTTGGTTTCAGGGTTTATATAAGTAAGTTACACCGTGTGATGCAATGTGAATTCCTCATTATGAGTTATAGTTTAACTATATAAAAATAAGGAGATGTGGTATGATTGCCAATGAGACAACTATCCACCAAAGTTCAAATGAAGTGGATATAAGCAATTATAGGCAACCGTATGATGAGAAAAACCTATACTGTATAGTATGCTTTATATATGGGATCCTTGCAAGGTCTTCATGTAAATCAGACAAGATTCAGCTGAATTTGATCAGTGATTAAGGTTTACTTTTTTCGTGGTCAAGCTGAATGGTACTATTTTCTTTGTAGGGAATAATTGTAAGGTTTTCACATCCATCTTGAAGAAGGGTGTATCTGACCTTGACCTTATTTTCATGGTTCATTGTTCAAAATTAATTTTTGTCTTGCCTTGATGGAGTCAAAAAGTGAGATATAGGTATCCTGTTTCCAGCGTCGGCAAAGGCGGGGTCAACAATGTATTAGTTTATGGTGAACCACAAGTGGTAGGTCAATCATATTTGGTATGCAGTTGTATTAGCATTGGCACACCTTATTTCCATGGAGATTATTTGGCCCTGCCCCCTCAGTCATGGTCTATTGACTGAAAATTTTGCTAAGTTAACATGTATTAGTTTGTGATTAGGTCAGTTGAAGGGGAACCATTAGTGGTAGGCCAATGTTAATTGGTATTCAGTTGTATAAGCATTAGCACATCTCATTTCCATAGAGAATATTTGGCCCCGCCCCCTCAGTCATGGGCTATCTACTTTGAAACTTTTGCTTAGTTTACATGTATTAGTTTGTGATTAGATCAATTTAAGATGAACTGCTAATGTTAAGTCAATGATATTTGGTATGCAAATTTATTGGCTCTTGCAAGTATCGTTTCCATGGAAATTACATAGCCCCACCTCCTCTTCATGGTTCATTGACTTTGAAACTTTTACATAGTTTACAAGTTAATGTTTGTGTTTATTTTTGTTTAAAGGGAACTGCTTATAATAAGTCAATGGTATTTGGTATGCAGTTGTATTAGCATTGGCACACCTCATTTACATGGAGATTGTTTAGTCATGTACCTCAGTCATGGTTCATTGACTTTGAATATTTGCATAACTTATGTAATATGTTAAAGTATTGCTATTTTAATTTCAACATTTGCATAATCAAAATTACAAAAAGGCGAGACATATCTCTGTGATAACAGTTTATTTGTAGTCAGTTCTTTTCTCAGATACTATAAGAAATAAGTCAACTTCATTTGATCTATGGAGTGATTGTAATGTCTACATGTCCATTTGGTAGGGTTTATCTAACCTTGACATACAACATGACATAATGGTTCATTGGCAAATAAAAATTAAGTTTTCACGGTTAGGTCCCTTTCTCTCATATTGTAATCAATAGTGAAACTATAGTTGGTGTATGGAATGAATCAGTGTTCCAGCTGGGCGATTTTCACAGGGTGAAACACCCACCCTTTTATCTGGCTCCTTGTGCTTTTTTAGCTGTGATTCTGCCATCCTGTCCTTTTTCATTTTGCTGTTCTGACTTTTTACTGATCATTTTTCAACAACACCATTATTTCTAAAAGATCTGCTTCTGTTGTTTTCAGAACCTTTAATGTCAATTCTATAGCTTCACTGGACAGCTTGGATGTAAAATATACTACTGACTTTTAACTTTGTCCTAGAAAAGTTGTTAAGACATTTCATTCAAACCTACTGATGGAATGTGCATATCAATCTCAAATGCAGTAGATTTAATGAAATACTTTTTTTTTATTTATGTGAAGATTAAAGAAATGTTATTTTTATTTATCAATCGTACAAAAACAACCACAAACAAAAATGAAAAGATAAGTCTAAAATAGATGAAAACTAGGACTGTGTTGAAAATACTAAGGTTAATGTTTTCAAGATTCTTGAAAGGTGGATATAAAGCTTATTATTTACCAAGTATTGAGTGGATACATGGTGTAAGGTTTGTGTCAACAAATAGGACAGTCTTTGGACTAAGAACAGTAAATCTGATTGTTACATTGACAGATTTTCTTTAATATTTAGATGATAATGGCGACACTTTCGCTAGCAGGGCCTGTGGTGTCCTTGAAGCACTGATCCATTTTATAAATAATTATTACTACGAAGTTAATTGGTGAAGTTTTCTAAAAGAGCATTCTACCACACTTTTGCTACAAATTGAAAAGTAGTACAGTAGACTCCACCTAATCGGATATCGGCTAAACGAATATATCGGCTATTGTAATATTATTTCAAAACACCAAACCCTTCCCTATATGTTTAATGTTAATTTTATCGTGTAATCGAATATCGGATATAAGAATATATCGGCAAATCGGATAAGAATATTCAGGTCATTTTGTTCAAAACCATGCACAATCGGATATTTTCAATGTTTTTCTGACAGGAAATGGACCCGGAAGTTACGAATTTACTATCTTGTAGACCAGAAGATTTTGTTTTTACTAAATAAAAGAAACTATTTCTTAATAAATTGTTGTCTTTAATCATTGTCTTCCTTTGCCATGTGAATTAGATGCCCTTTTACTTCCAATGGTTTGAATTTATTTATAAAATATGCAAGACTCAGTTGACAAGTTGACGTTGCTGTTTGGAGAATTTTGATTAACTCTAAATGTTCACAGAATCAGAAATATAATCTAAACTGAATGTACCTCCTTCTGAATAATTTATTGCAATATAAATATAAATCCCTTTTGACAAGAGAAATCTGACTTTTGTCAGATATATTTTTTTCACATGTGCAAATGTAACCACATGTCATGGACGCCATTTTGGATGTTTATAAATTTGTGAGGAAGCCTCTAGAACTATGACCTAAATATAAATAGTCTTCAGAAAACGTAAACTTTATGCAATAATATTTTATCAATCATGATTATTTTCATAAATTTAAATTTGATTATTTAAAGAAATAAAATTATAACAAATACGATTTGAGTTTGGAGATTCTACACAGACATGCTTAGATCTATTTATAGCCAAATTAGTTTACCTGTGTGATAATGTAAATAATGGATATTAATTTGCTTACAAAACAAATAAAGACAAACTATGGATGGTAGATAATAATTCACATAAATATTTCAGGACATTTGATTTATTTTAATAAGTAAAGGATGTAAAAACTGCAAACAAATTTAATCATTACATAATCAGCTGATAATTTTTTACACAAACATCGTGGTGATGTAACTGATAAAAATCACTCCATTGCAGAATATTCAATGAATATACATTCATCGTCTAATTGAATATATCGGGTAATCGGATATTTTTAGCTGACATTTTGGGTATCCGATTTGCCGGAGTCTACTGTATCTAAAGCCAGAACAGTAAATAAAAACTAAAATTCTCCCATCCACCCCTTTTTGTTCAAGGTGGATGAAAATCTAATTAATTTAAACTATCCTCAATTAAAAATGTAGTTATTAATTAAGGACATTTGGAGCATCCCACTTCACAACAATTTTTTACAGCTTCATCATTTTAATATGAATATTCAATAGCAAAAATTAAATAGATGATACAGTGATCCTCTAGTTGTAGATTTGAGAAGTGAGAAAAATTACTGGTGTTTTTATATATAACTTATACTTAATGTCTGTTTGATTAGAACAGTATTGAAAAGTTTAAAGAAATTAATGTTATTTTGATTATATTTCAGTACAAATTACACCAGTTGCCAGAAAATTTGACAGAAACTATTAAAGATAGATTACAAAATGTAGCAAGTGAGAGTAAACCAAATATTGAAGCAGGCACACAGGAAGCTGATGTTTCAGAAAATATAGGACAAACAACAGAATCTATTTCAGTAGATTCTAATGTTGAAAAAAAAGTTGAAGAAAATGTAACTACGTGAACGGAAATAAAAAATATAGTAGAGATCAAAATTGTTTTTTTCCTTAATTAGCCTTTGTATTTGATTCATGTGTAGATCAAATAAAGAGGTAATGGTCAATAGATAGGTAAACTACAGTATGTCAGTTCAATAGATAGGTAAATTACAGTATGCCAGTGGCTCAATTCATGATTTTTAACTTCCGTTTTATAACTGTTCTTTTTTCATTGCCTTTTTGAATTTACCTTGAAGTTTGGTATTTTTGTTATACTTTTTTATGAGGTGTTGATATGGAAGTTTGTAACAAGTTGGTTTTGCAAGTTGGGAATATGTTATGGGCTTTTTTAGCTGTTTAAATGATACTACTGTAAATTCACACATTTTATTTATTATTACGTTTATTGAACAATGGACAGAAATGTGAAATGAATTATTGCAATTTCAGGAAAAAGTGCATACAAAAAATGCAATCAATATTTTTTTCTTTTTGTAATAGACCTATCACATGGCAATTTTTGAAATAACACTTCTTGATTTACAGTATTACTTATTGGTCAAAATCCAGATAATCAACCACTTACATGTATCCAAAATTTGAAGTATAAATGTATGGCAAAGGTTTTATTCTCCCGTTTCATACATAATACATAACATTTGTACAGCATGTATTTTGAATTTACTAGATGTACTTTTTGACAAAAGTCTCTTCAGTGATGCTAAAGGCCAAAACAATTTGGTATTCAAAGGAAAGACCGCTTCTATGTAACATGATATACTAGTCATTAATGTATGAATGTATGCCTTGAAGTGAATTTACTAGCAGTAAAATTAAAAGCAACAAAGAGTTGAATCAATAACAAGGTAGCTATAACCAATGTCAGCATTATCTAAGTTAATCACGGAAAATTTTGACCAAATAGTTAATAAACTACAGATCAATACAGCACTGATTTTACAAGTATAATAGGCCCCACTTGCACTCTTTTATTTATTATCTGCTTAATACATTATAATTCATCTTTGAGACATAATTACAGAAGAATTATAGACTGAAGGAGAAAAATTTATTTATAGTTGACTACTACTAGAAGTGTCTAGTGCCTTCATGAATTAGTTCCAGATACCAATAAGAAACTTATAAACCACACTTAAAAAATACAGAAAAATGTTCAACAAACAAGTCCACAAATACTACGCAGAAACTAAAAATTGAGTGACAGGAAAACTACGAAAAAAAAACGGTAAACTTGGGTCTCAGAGGGGGTGAACAGTTCCTTCTCCTCTAATGGCACATGTGGTGTTGCTTTTGGCAAGCAAACACATGTAAATCTCATTCAGTTGTATTATAAACAAAGGAAGAAGGACAGGATTTTGGCTTTGACATATCGAACTTTACCATGACCTCTTAGGCAAAGTTGACCTAAAATGGATTCAGCTATTAAATTTAGGTTTCTTGAGGTCCTAAGCTCCTTAATTATCGAGTTTATTAATGACAGGCTTTCATATTTCCCTAGTAGACATGCTGTATTATTTATTGCTTAACCAAGTGGAGCCCTATATTTTATTTTTTTAGAAGGAATTTGAACAGATTTGATAGATTTAAAGGATGAAAACAATTGACTGATACTAGAAAAAAACATGGCATATATATATATTAAACAAGAATGTTGTACAAAATATATTTTTATTATTTGTAACTAGTGTTCTGTCATGCATATTACATATATGTAAAATATACTGTTAATACTAACCCGTTTCAAGTAAAATTTAGTACTACCAAAATTACATGTCTACTCATTAATATAAAGAACATGAATATGTCAAAACTAGTTGCCTTATTTTCACTGTCAATGATTTGATATATTTTTATCAATTATCATTTCTCAAAAATGTCTGACAAACTAAAATTACTATAGTTCATTCAGCATAATAGATAATCAACTATATATATAAAAGTATAAAAGTAAAAAAAAAAATGATTGTGTGGTAAAAGTTTTGAATGAAATTCTTTCTAATATCATTGAACATAAATGTATACGAGGTAGAATCAATTGTTTTTTTTAATTACCCAAAACATAAAAAGCTATTTTGAAAAGATAGTGTAAGCACTTTTCATTACAGATGGGTTTCAATAATTTCTTATCAAGGGAGGATCATGGTTTATGCATGAATGATACCAATATCTGTATGTCATACCTCTTTAATAGAAGGATAAAATCACATCAGCAATGAGGAAATTTACTTTGTCTTTATCACTTTTATCAGGCAATAATTAGTTTATCCGTGAAAGTGTAATACATATTTGCTGGTTCTGAGGTACAAATTTGACTTATTTTCAACATACAAACTGCTCTTGATTCATCAAAACTTTTACGTTTTAAGATATGATTTTGCTAGCCAACAGTGAACAAAAACATCTACAGTCAATTTGCAAATACGAAGATTAATATATTTCAGGAATAAAGTATGTTTAAATTAAAGTTTTAGGGAATTTTTTTTATTCAAGAATAGAATTCAACTCATAATTAGTTAATGTTCTTTTTACAACTAGCAGTATGATGTAGTAATATAGTATACCTATTTAGCGTATGATTTTCATATCTTTATAAAGTAAGGAATATCATGCATTTTTACAAATCGGGTAAGAATGTTGAGCATGATTAGAACTTGCCTCTGTTCCATGCTTTGTTAAATATTTATGATATATAAACATAAGGAAAGATATTGGGCCTACAATTCAAACTAAAAGGAGGCCGAAGATACCAAGGGGATATTCAAAACTCTTAGTCGAGATAAACTGACAACGTCAGGGCAAAATAATTAAAAGAAAGGCATTTTTACTGAACATATGATGGAAACATTTGTAAAGATATCTGACGAATACAATATCATCAAGCTTTAAAAAAGAGCAGAAACGATGGCATCGTGACATCACATTTAAAAGCAGTGATGTTGAAAATTTTGAAACTTTACGCCTCAGTATAAATAGTTTGTGTTTCAACCAAAAATTACTACATGCATTTCCCAAAATATTGTTTTTATGAAATGTTTTTCACATCCAAATACATCTATTATGCAGTAAAACAGCAAATTGGGATAAAAACTAGAAAACTTTGATACTTTTGACACTACCAACAAAGTATAAACATACAGATAGCAGAAACTATTTTCCTTTGTAAACTTTAAATTTTTTATGTTTGTTTTTAGGTTAGATACGACATAACTTAATATTAGAGCCATATATGCCTTCCTGGTCTCATTCCTTTAAAATTAAGTAATAAAACTGTTTTGTAACAGAAAACAATTTCCACATCGTAATCTTTACAGATAACTACGAAACCTGACTGAGCAATATTATCAGTTAAATGTTAAAATGAACTACATAAATTGTTTTAATACATCTGTTCAAGCTGCCTGAAATCTCGGGGGGTAAGATTATAGTGACAGGCAATAACGGAAATAGATAAAACGCACAGATAGCAAAGATTGACAAAATGATTAGTCAAAACTGACATATTAAAAATATTATGCGTACATGTGTCAAACATATTTTAACTGCGCGACATCTAATATGAATAAGTTATCAAAGGAGTTACAGGAACATTTAAGATTTGATTGATTGATTTTTGGTGTTTTAACGCCACTTTTAAGCACCGCTTTTGGGCTATTTCGTGGCGGCCAGTTTTTATTGGTGGAGGAAGCCGGAGTGCCCGGAGAAAACCACCGACCTTCGATAGGAAAACTGACAATCCTAGTCAATTAAGATTGGAGTTGAGTGCACCCGCACGAGCGGGGTTCGAACTCACAACCTCAGTGTTGACTGGCTAGTGATTACAGTGATTTTAGAAAAATTTCTTTCATTGTATATATATATATATTATAAGATACGTCATCATTTTTTTCATAACTTTAACATTTATTCAATATGTTTTATTGTGTTATATATTTTTCAGTATTAAAATATACAATTGTGTACAATTTGGAGTTTAGTATGGCGTTCATTATCACTGAACTAGTATATATATTTGTTTAGGGGCCAGCTGAAGGACGCCTCCGGGTGCGGGAATTTCTCGCTGCATTGAAGACCTGTTGGTGACCTTCTGCTGTTGTCTGTTCTATGGTCGGGTTGTTGTCTCTTTGACACATTCCCCATTTCCATTCTCAATTTTAATCAACATTAAAATTTAGTGAATGTGATTATTTTTGTACATACATGTAAAAATATTAAATTGACAAGATATATGTATATGGCTTCAAGATGATATTAGTACCGGGAGTAACAAAAAAAATATATATTTATATATCGCATAAAATTAAGTCATCGCATAGGGGCAGTGGTTGGAATGCAAAAATTTATGAACAAAACTATGTTATGATCATGATGATCAAAAGATTACCCCTGTAGATGATTATAATGCACTAATTTAATATCAAAACTTTTTTTACCCTTATAAATATCAGTTTACCTTTTCCATTGCACAAATACGTATACAATATAGCAAGAAATTTCAATATATTTGTGAATGTAAAGTGCCCTTTTATTGTATGTTCTGATTAATAAGCTAGATCATTTTTATTTCACTAAATCAAGGGCTTCTTTCACACGTTTTGCATCTGGATGATTTTCTCCAAGGAACATTACATGTATTCTGTATGCTTCTTCAAACTGATATTTAGCTTTTGCAAAATGGTTATCACCATAGTAGAATGCTCCAAGGTTGAACCTAGAAAAGAAACAAAATGTTACAAATATCTAACAAACACAATCATCAGTAGTATCTTGTTTTCTTTTGATTTAAGTTTTAATCAACATGTTTGCACATAACGTACTTGTCCGGAACACCTGAAATAATCCCCATTTTTGGTGAGGTTCTTGTTGCTCAGCTAGCCTAAAGTTTTCTAAGTAGTGGACGTTTTGTCTTTCTGTTGCCTTTCGTTTGTACCATGGCGTTGTCAGGTCTCTTTGACCTATGCGTTTTGAATGTCCCCTTTTTCGGTCTCAGTATTACATGTCATAGCAACATTCCAGCAGCGCCTGTATATGGAGTATCTACCTTAAGGCTGATACAATATTCAAAATCTTGCATTTCCTATCATGATTTTCTTGATGGAGGGTTGCTGCTTTTTTCTACTTTGACATATGATTTGTTACAAGCGAGATGTATATGAACTGAACTACAACATACAATGCTGATGGTAAAATAATATATTAAAGCTTGGGTTGATCTTGCATAACCAATAACTTCAGCATATGTCCTATAGGTTTCATAAGAAAATCTAGGGTTTCAGACTACATGCATATGTCCTATAGGTTTCATAAGAAAATCTAGGGTTTCAGACTACATGCATATGTTGATCCAAATCTCAACTGTTTAAATTAAAATATAACTACAAAATAGTTAACAACCTGATAATTCCAGTGACAAGGTAATTATTCCCATATGCGCCTAGGAAAATTCGCAAAGCTTCTTCATAGAGCTCTCCAGCAATTTGGTCATTTTTGTCATCATAAACTAGTGCAATCTCATTTAAGACCGTAGCTGTATAAGGATGATTTGTCCCAACTTCACCACGTGTTACTTTAAGATCTTGCAAATAGTAAGCCAAAGCTTCATCTAAGCGATGCTGCACGTAATTTAACTGTCCAAGCTAAAATTATATAATCACATTGCATGGTTTTGTTTTACATTACTCACATATTTAATGTCCAGGTATTTATAATGGGCTCGGGAGACTATATGCAACATATTAGAGAGAAGCAAAGCGTGAATAAGAACGTACAACAAAAATTAAACATCTCATTGTAATTAAAAAGTCAGGTCTTCCACAAAGACAAATACTTGGAATAAATCAAATACAAAGCGGCCGTTGCACATGTGAACAATAAACGACATTGCAGAAAGTCGGGATTATACCAACTTGAAAAAATAGCCCGAAATTCCTATAAAGGAATTATATATGGGCATAATTTGACTGAATTTTTCCTGTATTTGTAATAATAATTGAGGTCTAGTTAAAATGTTTTAGTGAACACATATAACATCTATATCTATAGCAAATCTACAGTAACAAACATACAGAACGGTTCACCCTTACAAAAAGAGCCTGAAATGCATTATATATTTAAAAAAAACCAATAACAAAACATATTTTAAACTCAAAAACACATATGCACGAATTCACAGCTATGAGTCAATCCAGGTAAGTTAATAAATTACACTTTTCTCGAAATCACACAGTAGTCTAAAAACAATTTTTTACTGGTTCCATATATTAAAATAATGAAAAGACATTTTTCAGAGATATTTCAAACATAAAATATAGCATGTGTAAAAGGCTAGACATTTTACCAAAATGTGGATTTATAAGTGAACCGGAATCCTGAGAAATTCTCCTTAGCTCTTTATTGTAATATTCATTTTGAGCTCCAATCGACCTCCAGCAAAGTTTGCCATGTACCTTATTATATTTGGATTGGAAATAATATTGACTTTCAGTTGTATCTGGAAGGGGCCTCGGTGGCCGAGTGGTCTAAGTAGTTACTACTGTAATCACTAGCCAGTCAACACTGAGGTTGTGAGTTCGAACCCCGCTCGTGCGGGTGCACTCGACTCCAATCTTAATTGACAAGAATTGTCAGTTTTCCTATCGAAGGTCGGTGGTTTTCTCCGGGCACTCCGGCTTCCTCCATCAATAAAAACTGGCCGCCACGAAATAGCCCAAAAGCGGTGATTAAAAGTGGCGTTAAAACACCAAAAATCAATCAAATCAGTTGTATCTGGTGAAATGAAATAGTTTCGTATATGAATAAACAGAAGTATAGCATTACCTTTGTGTAAATATCTGATACAAAATGATGTTTCCTTCCAATAACATTTGTTGCAAGTTCCAAAGCTCTTGTCGTCAGCTTTTTTGCTTCCAACATGTTGTCTTTCTGGAAGTACAGTGTTGCTAAACCAAGCAATCCATCACAAACCTAAGCAAAAAACAAGCATTCCAATAATTAAAAAAGTATTATGAAAACATAATTTTTATAAGGCATTGTCACTACGTACGTTGTTGAAAAAATATGGTTTGGATTTGACATAAATCATCCGTTTCTTTTTCATTCCTTTTAGATTACATGGGACACTTGCTGAGATATATAGTAGAAATAGTCGCATTGCAAACATTTAAATATTTAGTCAATATCAGTCAAAACTGCAGCATTCACAGTTCAATACGTCAATGTCAAAAACAAAACCAATTTGATAAAAAAAATAAATATACACTACAATTGCAAGTAAAAGGGACGTTTTTTTACTTTTTACACAGGTAGTATCCGCTTGTCACGTGATGTATACATAGTAAGAGACATACCTTGTCGACGCTTTCGTTCTAGGTCCGTTTGGGATTCGCTCAGTAGTTTTCGCATGGCTTGTACATTCAAATAAATTGACCAGTTTTGACAATATCGTAAACTATTGTTGCCTTTTATTTACATCAGTAACGTAGTTGCTTGTTCCCGCGCTTTCATTCGGGAGCAAATGAATTTACTGCCGTGTGCATAAAGCTTAAGTTTCAATTGTTTTCTTTTCGTAAAAGTATTTACTTTAATCCTACATACATGTGTTGCCTTAAATAAGTCCCATACGAGAATTATCCCTCAAGATCAATTTGATTATCCCCTACATGTGACTTCCATTATTAGAGTCTGACAAAAAATAAAAGCTTCAACTGAGAAAATATTTAAATAACGTATTTCGAATGACGAAACCCGTACCTGTATCTTTTGACTTGGTGTCTCGATTTTATTTTGACGACAAATTGCATCATTATAAACAGATATGGCCTTATTATATCTCCCAAGCTGTGTGTATACTGTTCCTAAATTTTGTAATGCCTGGTAAAAAAAGTTAAAATAGTTAAAATTTTATTCCAAATCAGATTAAAATAAAGTTTCTATGTGTCAAAGATTTGCATTTGACCAGTCATGCGAGGGCTTTTTCGTATGATATGCCATTAAAATATTTAGCCTACCAATGAAGATGTATGGGCATCTTCAAAAGCGAATCTACACTATTACAATGACTGAAAAAATATAAAAGATAAAAGGTATATTCTGCTAAAAGGCTAAAACATATGTTTAATTATCCATACTTTTATATTTTAAGAAGCAGAATTTCGATTAAAATAAAGTAATGCTGTTAAGTTTCTAGACACCTTTCCACTGTTGAAACAAGTATGTTGAAATGTAGATTTATTTTGATGTTTTGTGGTTTGGTTGTTATCTCATTGATTATAATCCATATCTCCTTTCATCCATAGCAAAACCCTAGTAATAAATTTGCATAGGCACATTGTTGGTTTAACTGTTATAATATATTATAGTGCTCTATGTCAAATTAATACAACTGAAGTCCATATAAGAGTTAACTGCATAGGGCATAAATTGAAGTTAAAAAAAGTACTTCTACAAATGGATTATGAAGGCCGTGACAATTAAGTACCGGTATGACAAATTGCACAATTAACAGTTTGATTGTATTACTTTATTACTTTTTAAATAAGTATAAAGTTGAAACCTTCCTGATTCTTATTTATTACAGAACTGTAAATATATCTTTTAAAATGAACAATTATCAAGAGTTGTATCTTAAACCTTCAGTTCGTCATCATTCTATTTACTTTCGAATCTGATGTCATATAATTACCTTTTTAATTTACGCTATCTGATTAGCATGTTCAATTATCCAAGTTATAAGACAGAATCAAATAGAGGAAAAAAATACCTTTATCACTTCTGGATGATTACAGCGATATTTCCAACTCTGGTCATAAGCACTGTACACAATGGTGTCGTTTGTTTCATCGTAGCTTAGCTCTAGCTGTTTAACTAAAGTCTTATAGACCTTCTTTGCTGCATCCATTAATCCAAGTGTTCGGAAAAAGTTTCCAAGTAGACTTGTTAAAAATTATAAAAGCAAAATGTTAAGAATCAAGGAATTGTATTTTATTCCTTAGTAGATCAGTGGCTATATCTCAAGGTCGTTTAGTTCAATTCGATAACTATTTTGACAAATGGGTATGTACAAAGAAATTTGCCATAATTTTCGAACTATGGTCAAATTTAAATCTCTTTACTCACTTTTCGGGTGAAACAGTATTTTTTTAACATTGTCCATTGTCTTTTTTGGTATTGGAAAACATAATAAAAAAAATATGTCCAAAAATAAAGTTGACTTCTACAGTATATATAAACAAAATCCGAATATACTTTACTATAATTTACAAAATTATACATTTTATTTGCTTAAGAGTCGGGGGAACTCATCATCACATTATTTACCTACTGCATTTCGTCAAATCCTAGTCAAGGTTTATTATATAGAGCAATGTTCGCTTTTTCAATCTTAAAATAATTAATTCAAAAACATAGTAAGTGTGGACTAGTTTGCATATAGTTTTAGTACCTGAAAAGTTTACAATAGTACTTGATATCAGCCCTTATAGTTGTCTTTGGTATTTTGAACAATTCGGACATGTACGCTTCTTCTGCTAATGAATATCCACCAAGCTGCATAATAAAATTAACCAGCGTCAAATGATTTATAATCAAATATTCAAATGTTTAAACGCTTAGAAATATATTGAACTCTATCAAATAAAGGTATGGAATATATTACGATTACGCAAGATACAAGTTTTAAGACGCTAAAACCAAGAAAATACCACGAAACAAAATAACCCGTTTAATAACCGAATTTATATGACATATGCAGCAAAATGATTAAAATAACATCTTTCACATTGCTCAGCTAGATTTGTTTGTCCCCATGGACAATATGAAAACACGGAATAAATGGAAATGTTCGAAGACCTTTTATGAATATGTTTGATAAGCCAATAAATTAAGAGTGACACGCGGACACTTTATCTGTTACTTTGTCCTACAAACTTAGATTAACGCAATTGGATCAATAATTCGCCGTCATAATGATTAAATGTTTTATCAACATACAATTTACAATTATATTTAACATTAATAAGCAAGTGCATCTGTGAGCTACTGCTTACTAATGATACCCCGCCCGCTGAAAGTATAAGGTAAACAGGAAGTTGTTGAGTGATGAATCTGAAAACGCATCACACGGCATAGCTGACTCATATAAACCCTGAAACCAAATTTCAGAAATCCTTGTAATGTAGTTCCTGGGAAAGATGCAACGAAAAATATTCATGGGACGGACGGACGGACTGACGGATTGACTGACGGATGGACGGACGGACGGACAGACAGAGGTAAAACAGTATACCCCATTTTTTAAAGCGGGGGTATAAATACTGAACCTTAACTGATTTGTTAAGTGGAGGTATATTTACCATCTTGTAAGTGCAAAAATCGGACCCAAGTCAGAAATTAAATAGTTATAAATATCCTCAAAAAGATCAAGCACAATCAAAGATACATTACTAGTAAAACAATTTAAAAATGTCCTACACATCATATTTAATATGTACCCACCTTTCGCCAAGCTTTTATCAATTCAAAAATTCCATCTTCATCATCAGCTAGTCTATAAAACACATCGAAGTCAGAAACGGTTGCTTTCAATCGATCCATCTTCTTAGCTTTCAACAATAAAAACGGCATCTCTTCAACCTGTGTAAAAGATGAAAAATGTGACTGTTCGTTCAATCGTCATGACCTTATTTCCCGAATGTCTATGTTATGTATTTAACAGACTTGTGTTCCCTCATTTCATGACTGGATTTTAAATTGTACTGCAATATGTGTATGCTAGATTTAAACTGGTGTTTTGTATTCTGTAAAAATCTAGGCAGAACTGACCAACAAATTGAATCAGGTACTGGTAGATGATTTTCTGAAACTTAATAATGTTTTACAAATTGCAAACATTTACTCTAACAACATAGTACCTAAAAACTTTATAATAATAAAGTATGCCCACTGAATTGTTTACAGGTTTCAGGATGTATAAATTTATAGTACAGCTAAAGAAATTTCTTCGAAAGTTTTACACACGCCATGATTTGGATGAACGTTTTTTGGAATAGATATGTCACATATAAATACGAATATGTTCGTCAGCTACAGTTCAGTCCGTATCTACTTTATTGTTACATCACCGAATTTTTGCTTGCCCTGAGCACACGACGGGGTCACAAGTTGTCAGTTACCACATTCGCTGAGTCTATGAAATGAAGCCTTTTCTGTATTGAGAAAGATAAGAATAACATGCTTCAAAATTTAACATACTGAGTACGAACATGATTGCCACATATTTTTACTTTTAGACCCCCAATTTGAAGAGTTCACTTTAATTTCAGGACATACCGTTCGATTGCTCGTTTCCTTTGAGCTAAAGTAGTCAGCTAATCGCGAGTAACCTTCAGTTTTATCTTCCTTCGTCGAAAGGTATTTCTTTGCCACAGCTTGTCGCAGATGGTCGTGGAAGAAATTAAGGATTCCATTGCGATTTACTAGATTTTCATACAGGGACAAATAAAATGGAGACCAAATTGCACTAGGAATCTAAAATCGGAAGTATTAAAACAAATCATAATACAATACATTCATTATCAAACAGTTGGTATATACACGCAGACATATGTCTGAAATGATTTATAACATATGTTTCTTAAATTTGCCAGCTCATAAACTTAGAGATTGTCCAGTAACTTAAGTTCCAACTCCCTCAGGTTAAGTTGATTTAAGATCTTTTGTGTACTCTTTTAAGGCCCCTCTTAGTCATCCATGGCTTTCAAAAGTTACGTTTTAAGCGTTCCTGCTGAAGGCATATCTATAATTTTGTTCATAAGACGCACTTTACCCACCAGTGGCGCTCAAATCAAAACAGCCACACCAATTGCGACATTGAAGAGAAATAAAAACCAACGATTCCAAAGAAGTGTAAGAAATTTTATTAAGATTTTATGACCTGGGGTGGGGTAGAAATAACCTTAATGTTTTAATTGATTTTGATAATCTATGAACAGTTAAACGACTGCCTTAATGATATATCATGTTAGCACCAGAAATTTGACGAATTGGCAGGTGTCCTCCACCAGAAGAAGCGACCCCATGGTTGTACAGTTATCTAATTGACCAGGCGTATAATCAGCGGCGCTCGATTCAAAGCAGTTTGATAGTCAAATTGATTACGGTGTAGAGGAGCAATCAAAACCAAACTTTCCAAAAGATTGTTTCAAATTTAGATTAGGCCATACGTACCTAGGGTAGAAAAAAAAAGTTTTGAATGATCTTATGAATAGCAAATTAACAGAAACGCAAGATTTTTATTCCAACAAGATTAATAACATTTCGATCAATCTTATTTGTATGAAGAAAAAAAAATCATTTTGGTTAAAAAAGATTTTAATGATAATTAAATAGATATATTAAATACCAAATGAATAAGTAAGGACTGAAATCATAAAATCAAATGTTTCGTCGTTTTTAATTTCGATAACAGACTGTAATTTTCAGGTCAATATTACCATTGTAAGTAAGAATATTTTCAACATTGCTTATAGCGATTTAGTAATATAATTGGAAAAAAATACGCCTGTTTCAGCAAGATATTTAATTATTATAATTGATTGTTGTCTTATCATTCACTTTTTTGTAAAAATTTGTATATCAACTAATTAGAATATTACCATCGTAAGTTATAAAATGAATAAGATTATAATAAATATATCAACATCAAATAAATATACTTACATCTAATAATTCGATTAATTCAGACTCTGACATTCCTCTATTAGAACACCATAGTGCAGTGGTTGCATCTCGAACAAGATATTTCCTATGATAAAGAGACTTATTTTTCAACTTCAGTACTACAATTACTCTCTATACATATACACTAAAATTAAGAATACACAGGGATCTTTTAAAAATTAGCAGGAATTGCATTTGACACCACAAACAGAAATCATACTTAGGTCTCTGTAAATCAATTGCAATGTGAATGATATATTATTGATATCTCGTAACTTCTAAAATGAATATCATTATGACTAGTGCAATCTAAAAAAAACCATTTAGTCTGTTTATCCAAGCCGTCAATCTATCATTTATAAAACACTTACAACTAAAAAGCAAGCTAGAAATGGAAGTAAAAACATACGCCAAAACGACAAGACAAGAAGACAAGACAAAACACATAGCAAAAACAAAAAATAACAGCAGAAAAAGTGTTATGATAGTGCAAGCCTGATTTCTCTAATCAAAATCAAACAAAACCGTACTAATTCTTAGAAACATCTAAATGTCCTTTCTTTTGAGATTTTTTAGTAGTACGAAATATAAAAAATACATTAAATCTTTTTACGTGCATATGTGTATAAGGAGACAAATTTATTTATTATATAGTATTTCAATGTAAACCAAATAAGGGCACCATATATATTTTTTTTACATTATTTGATAAAGATGATGAACATTTTCTTGAGAAAACATAATGCTATCCTGAAATCAGACTCAATTCGGAGTCACAGATCAGTTCAGAAATAACGTGTTATGTGAATTTCCTTATACTAAGCAGAATGTGTTCCTGCATCAGATTATTTCATCATATCAACTGTTGTTCATTAAAAATGAAGACACAGTAGTATACCAATGTTCATAACTCAGGAGAATTTTACAAAAACAAAAACTAACAAACTGAGTTAAATTCATTAAACTCTGAACGAAGCGAGATCGAATGTGTCAAGAGCTTGAGCGTCTAAAGCTATGCATGCTCCACTCGTCAGCCTAAACCATAAACAGTCAAAATGTTAATAAAAGGAATATGACACATTTTGTAACTTTTCAAGCAAATTTCCGGTGTTCGAAGATAATTTTTTTAGGAAGGATGTCGACGATTGTAGAGACACAAAAAAGTCGTATCGATCAACCAATTCGTGATGATGACCATTATCCTATCGAAGGTCGGTGGTTTTCTCCGGGCACTCCGGTTTCCTCCACCAATAAAAACTGGCCGCCACGAAATAGCCCAAAAGCGGTGCTTAAAAGTGGCGTTAAAACACCAAAAATCAAATCAAATCAAATGATGACCATTGCATGTGGGTGGTTTATGTTATCAATATATCTTAACGTGACATTAAAGAACTTTTAGAGATGCTGTTTCTATTGTATTTGAGAAGAGTTTAAATGAATTCTGCTGCATGCATACATACATAAACAAACAGGTCGGACAATAGGGGTTTACATTTGGTACCCATGTATTCATTATTATACTCCATTATGTAAACAATATCTAGGCTTGTTCATGAATTTCACTTTTTTTTTTTATTTATTTGAATTAATATTTCCAGGTATCAATGTCATCAGTGCAATTAAAGATCTGACTGACTGTCAAGGTCTAGTGAAATTTGACTATCACAAATATATTTCATCATGACATTAAGTAATGATTGTAAAGTAATTATGAAAAGTTACGTCAATAAATATATCAAAAACTTAATATTATATAACGTTATGACAGATAAAACAAAATATTTATATATAAGTTCTTTTTTCAACTTGCTATTAAGAATTAAATTTGTTATCACAGAAATTTATTTTTTGTACATTTTATGCATAATAACGACAGAAATAGAAAACTAAAAGGTAAAGGAAATAACCCCGTTAGATAATTAAACACTTAATAAAATTAAACTCATGAAACAACTTAAATTTTACTTTCAAAAAGAAGAAACTGGCCAAATAATATTATTACAGGACAAAAGCTCTTTCTTTGAAAGTATATGTCAGTTTTATACAGCAAAATATACCTGGTGTTATTATGTACATAATTGAGTGCTTAGATCAATTAATCTTAAATTGCATGATATGCTATATTGATATGTTACATTGTATTTCAATATTTGATTTAAAAGATATTAGAAAAGTATGAGTAAGTGGAAGAGATTTCAAATGAATGTCACAGAATAAGCGTTGAGTGTTTGATATATAAAGCATGCTAAAAACAAGTAAATACCAAGTTTATAGTTTATAAAATATAAAACATTCAACCTTGAATTCGGTCCGGTTTCAAAATCGTGTTCCAACCTCTCCAGAATCTTTGCAAACAATTCTTGTGGGTTTCTAGCAGACAGATACTCTTTAATTTTGTCTGTTAATTGGCGAAATGATCCAAATATACGTATCTGCAGATAAAACAATTTAAAAAAAATAATAATATTCAATGCTGGAATATTAAAACGAAAAAAAATAATCGTTTTTTTCATGTTTCAATTAGCTTTCAACAATCTAACTAAAACATGAAAAAAACTATTTTTGTCTGTCCATAGTCCATAGTTTAGTTTGAAAAAACTTATCCAGTCGCTTCTCTGCTAGTCGAATAACCATAACTGTGTTATACAAAAACAATTGTGTTCTTTTCATGACAACTTGATGTTTTGCTATTTCTAGTAAAGCCAACTTTGCCAGTTAATGTTTCCAAAGCTTGATGTGTAGAAGTCACTATTGTAGTGTATGTTGTATCACATACATATCTATCTGTACTTCTGTGTGTATATATCATAGAACTTATACAAATAATAACGTGAACTACGTTAAAAATGCGTTTTAAAGGATATTAGTGATTTCATTGGATATGATCTGCCTTAAAAAAGGGCGTAATTACCTATGTGTCAACGATCTAATAAATGTTTTACTGAATTATAACATACATTATTTATTCTTGGATTTAAGGAATAGATATATCATATTTTATAAAAGACAAAATCAACCAGTGCCTTTTCTTTGGACAGACACATCACTATGAAATGCAAATTCAGAAATGCAATTAACAAAACTAAGAACATGGTATAAAATAATGCAACAGCAGTTTACCAATGTTCAAATCCCATAAATTGTTTAAGAGGATAAAGGTAACAAACAAAAAATAAGGTAATCACATGAACTCCAGAAGGTGCCAGTCTGGGTGTGTAAACCAGAGTTAAAGAGTAGTTACTGAGAGCAAAACACTAGTCATCCGACATGTGGGAAAAGTTTACTCTACCTCATCAAGTAGCGACTTGAGGTACAAAGGATTAGATGTCTGTTGAGCATTCACCAGCATTATCTTCTGTTCACTGTTCAGAGTTTTTCCGTAAACACCTTGCAAGTAGTCAGTAATTATTTGCATCTTTTGTGATTCCTGTAGTGGTTCTACTTTCATATTTGGCCATCTGTTACGTAAACAAGCTCGCATTGCCTTAAAAATAATTCATATTTATGGGTTGTACAGTTAGTCATATATTAAATAGCAATAGCCATCTTTAATTTGGTTCATGTATTATAATTTCTTAAAAGTTGAATTAATACAGTGCATAATTAACATTGTGTTCTAATTGTATACATAATAAATTTGCTGTTCTACTTTCAAATCATTAAGGAATAATTAGGTTGATCACTAAATATTTCCATGCATTATAAGACTAAATATTTAAATTGTGAAATTGTGTAATTTGGATTACCCTTCCTGGAAGAGTTGAACACAACATGAAAACATTTGATGGTAATTCTTCTGGTACCCACATTAAATCGTGTTCTGAACCTGAAATATAAGGCGCTAGAGTCACATGCTATTTTTTTGTAATATCAATATCACACATTTCTTGAATAAGTAATTTTTTCAATTAAGCACGTTTAATAAATTATCAAAGCTAGGTCACTGATATGTGAATATATACACATGATACAGTTAAAGAAAACCTTAAAAATTCAATGACATTTTATAAATTTGCTGCTTCAGAAGCATTCTATTAAATACCTTAACATTTGAAAGAAATGCTAGATACTTATATACAGGATCAAGCGGTATTGATGCTTTCTCCAAACAGGTAGTGCAATATGAATTCAACTCAACTAGTTTGTTCATTAGTTTCAAAAATAAGTACTTAAACCTGGTCATAATATGGTCATACTTAAACGTTAACTGTTTACAAAGTTCTAATGATTTTCTACACCAGGATTAGATTGCCATAGCTGTATTTGACAAAATCTTTCGGAATTTTTTGTCCTCAATACTCTTCAACTACGTACTTTATTTAGCCTTTTAACTTTTTTGATTCGAGCGTCACAAGGATGAGTCTTCGTAGATGAAACGCGCGTCTGGCGTACACAGATTTCAATCCTGGTGTCCATGATGAGTTTATTTGTTTATACTGCGTTTATACTTATTCAGACGTAAAACTTTATTAAGAGGCTCACTGTTTTATGTAGCACTTTAACCTACGATATACGTAACATGAATACAATTATAGAATTCAAAACCAACAGAATTATTTTGGTTTTCAACTATAAGGCAAATTGTATTAAATAGGCTAAAAGCAATTTACAATTTATACCTTTCCTTTTTTGTGTTGATGTGTAACTGATGTATAGACCACATTTTCTATTTATTTCAATTTACTGTTTATGTTATAGATACTTATCAAAATATTCAAATATAATCAAAACCATTCAACCATCGAAAGTATTTGATAGAAAGGGGAACAGCAGCACAATCATAGCTTCAGATAATAAGAGACATATCAAACGCAGTAAGGAAATCAAGTCAGGGTTATGTGAGGTCAAGGAAAACATAAATTTGGTGACATTGACTGTCTTGTTATGAGTTCATGAATTCAGATGACATACTAGTTTGTGTGTATTATCGTATGTTCCTTGTGATTCTTAAAGTATTTGCCTTTTCAAAATCAAGAAAAAATTGTGAAAATACAACCTACATCATTTTTTTTGTTTTTGAAAATAAGTATAAAAAAACGAGAAAAACTGCATATATGTACGATTTACATTACTTCAGACCTTATGCCATATACACACTATTCAGACACCCACTACATAAACACCCTGCTGTTTGAGGCGAACGTTTGCAGTCAAATATTATCAATTGAATGTTCTTCTTATTAGACCATTGTGTGATGAGATGCCAAAACACCCTTATATTTCTATTCATCCCGACCATTGCATAATATATCTTTCAATGCTAGTATCATTGTGTAAAATAATGAAACATATAATCACAAAGTATATACCGTCTTCACCAGTGCCATCATCCAACTGATTAAGTGCGTCCAGAACAATTACAACCTTTGTCCTAGACCCTGCCATCCTTAACCACTTTCCAATATCATTAATCAGCAAAGTTTCGGATGTTGGAATTTGCATATCGAAATCATAGAATATGTTCATTTCTTCAAACAATCTAAAATAACAGTAAACATTAACAAAAAGAGATATGAGCTTAAGTCAATGAGGCAGGAACCAAACGACAAGAATAATTAAACGACATATAAGGAGCAGCATAAGTCTTCAACAATAGACATGTTTCTTTACAATATGTAAAGCTTTAATTTGTCCGGAGTCTATAAAATTTGTGAATTAAACTTAACAGAAACTATCAAAAACATCCGTGTTCTAATGTCCAATAGACAATAAGAGTTAGTCGGTGTCCGTTTTCATTTCCATTTTTTATATTCAATAAGTGTTTGTGTCTACCGCTCCTTCACCAGTGAAAGTATTAGATTTTTAACAGATTGTTTCGCACAAAAAGTACAAAAATAAATCAAACGTAGCTTGGCGCCAATTAAAACGTTAAAACCCGCTGCATTTGTTTGCACCTGTCCTAAGTCAGGAACCTGATGGTCAGTGGATGTCGTTTGTTGATGTGGTTCATAAGTGTTTCTCGTTTCTCGTTTTTTATATAGAATAGACCGTTGGTTTTCCTGTTTGAATGGTTTTACACTAGTCATTTTTGGGGCCCTTTGTAGCTTGCTGTTTGGTGTGAGCCAAGGCTCCGTGTTGAAGGCCGTAATTTGACCTATAATGGTTTACTTTTACAAATTGTGACTTAGATGGAGAGTTGTCTCATTGGCACTCCAACCACATCTTCTTATATCTATTTGGCTATTAAACGATCTGAGTTTTCTGTCAGATGGGTAATTGTGATTTACAAAAAAATAAAATTCTGCGAAATATTTAAAATGATTGATCTTCGATTGCACGATAAAACTAATACTTAATAAATGCACATCTGGAAGTCCAAAACGCTTATCGTAATTTATATTCACCCGGAACGCTTAAAGTCAACATTTTTAAACCAAAGGATTGCAAATTAAGGAGACAGCAGTTAACCGATGTTCAAATTGCAAATCGTTTTAAAAGAAAAAAAATCAAGGTAACAAACACAAACTGAAGGAATCGGATTGACCCTTAAAGGAGCAATACATGGGTGCGTGGACAGGGTTAGCATCTCTTGCCATGCAAATTCACTCAGTCCAAATACCACAATCGGGAATAGGACACAATCGGTTACATTGCACATGAGGCGCCTATATTGGTATCTTAATATCTAAGACCTCGAAAACATGTCGATAGTGAGTTGAGACATCGACACATTGCATCGGGCTACCAATTTGTGATGATGACCGAAAAACTTACGTATCGTCGATTTTATTTGTTATTCCTCACAACTTCGTTCGAGGATTTTTTATGTAACATGCATGTGTAAGGAGAACACCCTTGTTAATGAAGTCCGTATAGTAAGAGCATTGAAAATGTGTTTGTTCTATACCATGTATAAAGTGATAAAACATTGACTTCTGAGTTGATGATACTCTCAAGAATAAACACTTGAATACTTGCGAAGCTATTTGGCAAAATGCTAAATGACACAAAAAGAATATCAAATTCCATCTAAAGTTCAAATATGTTTCAGGGAGTTGAACTTTAATTTCTATATATAATTTCATAACAACATTGATGATTAAATCATAAGAAACGAGTTTCGTGTAATTTTACTGTTTTCAAAATTATTGAAGCAATTCATACATATATAATAAAGTAAGTCCTGTATGCACGTTTTTCATATTTATTACTGATCTATAACGTATTATCGACAAATAGTATTTCATTAAGTGATTGTTGATCGCAACTTAAATAAATTTCGAGTTTGTTGCCAACGTTTACCGGATCGTGACATTTATGAACAATCAATACAGAGCATGTGGAGCACGGCAAATAAGTGAACTGATACAGCATGATATATTTACTATATCTTCCATGCGTTTCCATTCGTTAATTAAACTTTTCCTCGACAGTTGTTAACTGATTTGTTGTATTAAATTTGTTCTTTAAGAATAAATTATTACTATTTATCTTCCAGTGTACGTTTGTTTACATTCTTTCATAACGGTTTTCCCCTCGCACTGCGCTGTGCAGTGGTCGAAGTTCAAAGGAGAGGTCACGGAGTTAATGTCAATGCATACGGGAAAATATAAGTGATAATATAAAGGATTTTCTTTTACAAGAAAGTTCACGTTCACTTGTTTTTTAGTAAATCTTAGCCATTCAAGTATATAAAACATATTCATTTTTTTTAAATTTGAAACTCCATATGACTTTAATATGTTCTATAACGTGTAAGAGCCGTAGCATTCACTACTGAGCTGGTGAAAATCTCAAGGACCAGAAGTTCACAATATTGCTGACCAAACGTTATTTTACAGAATTAATTAACGATATGCTTATTGGTAGAACATTAAAACAGTGTAAAAGTAGGCGAAACAGTTGACGCATTTGGCTATTTTGACTTCCATTTGAAAATGAGATTGTAATGAGTAGGATCAGAAATTTGAACCATACAACTGCTACCAACAGGCTCTCAAAAATCGAGTTATCCACTATATTGAAGAATAGCGTATATTGATTTAATATAATTACCTTCTAATAAGCTTGATGTAATCTGAGCTATCGGCAGAGCTTCCTATGAAATGCACAAATACAAAGGTTGTTGCTTCTGCATCTTCAATCTGTTTGGCCCAGTTAGCAATCAGTGATGACTTTCCACTTCCTGAATTCAAAAGTAACAAATATCATCAAATAAGGTTATCATAACTTACCATCTATACAAAAATCATCCCAAAAAATAAGACATTATTGTGATCCAAAAATGAAAGGCTAGAATATGAAACCATCGCAGCCATTGCTGTTACATATTGTGATAAATCTTTCGGAACTATTGTATAATCGTTTACTGACGTTTTACGGCCAGGTACAGTCATTGCAATTTCATAAGGGTTTACTTACGTAAGGTATTTAGCTATCAGACAAACATTTAAATAGTGCTTTATTTCATATCATGTACATAAATTATGGTATAATAAATGAAAGTTAAAAAGTGCTACAAACATGAAGAAAAAAAAATTTAGTTGAGCTAATCAATCTTAAACCCTGTGCCAACTGCAAGATTAAAGAGTTGCGCCATGAGCGCATTGAAATGCCCGTTGCTTTTTCAGCAAATAAAGTTCCATAACTCCTAAATGTCATATCAGAAATTTATAAAAAAAACTGAAAGGGAGCTTATTTTAATAAACATAAACTAGTCCCCAAAGTTTCATGAAAACTGCTCAAAGTATTTTTGAGTAATGGTACGAAAACTTGAAAAATTTCACCTTTTTATGAATAAAATCCAATAACTTAGAAACGTAAAATCTAAAATTTAGAGAAATAGAAAGGGAGCTTACGTCAATAGATATAAACAATTTACCAAAGTTTCATGAAAATTGGTTAAAACGTTTTCGAGTTATTGTCCGATATGTTGATGACGGACGAACGTACAGGCGAACGGTCAGATGGACGTACAACGGTATGCCTTTTAAAATACGTCCCGTAAACGGATGCATAAAAACCCCTTAATCCAGTTATAAATATATAAGTGATACTGAATATATAAAATCTATCTGAAAGTTTTGCCAATACATGAAATTATTTGATAAGGATAATTGTTTTGCCTAAGTGGATACTTTTAAGGTTAGTAAATAATCCATTAAATCAAGGCAAATGCAACGGTCAATTCACGTAACTTAACAGCATAATGCTAAATCATACATAGAACATAATTTATCGTATTTACAGTTTCAAAGTCCTACCTGATTCTCCAAGTATAATAAATGGTTTTGTTATCCCTTTGTCTCGTTCTTTGGTAATATTTTTAAAATAATCTTGTCTTCCTATGTACACACGTTGTCGAGCTTCACCAAACGCATTATGAGCCTCTCGCATGCGTTCTAACTGCGTTAAATCTGTACCTTTAGGGAAATCAATGTTGATACATTGTTCTAGATCCTAAAATACGTGTTTTACAAAGGTCATGGATTAAAAGATTAGAAGAAATTGAACTTCTCCTTTGTAAAGATACAAGAAAGAATATTTGAACTAAACTTAAGAATATATTTCCTCTTCGTACGAAATTTCGCATACTAAATAATTTAAGATGTATGAGTGAACCTTTATCCTAAATGAAGTTCAAATTCTTGATGATTTGTGACATTACATTATCCTTCTCAACATAGAATAAATGTCAGTTTAAACTATTATGCAATGCAAGCGTTGTTATATATGATTTTCATTCTATAATATATTCATATTGTGGAACTCTGTTCCAACCTAAATCAAATAAAATATGCATTTCTAACGCTGCAAATTATTCAGAAACAAACAGAGTAAAATAAACAGGACAAGAAACTTTTTTACCCTTTTAATATTTTCAGCAACTTCTGTGGCAGATTTAAATGTAGTAATGTTAAGCCCCAGTGGATGTTCCTTAACTTGAGTTTTTAACCTTTCTTGTTGCTGATGATGCCATTTTGATTCTGAGGAAAGGAGCTGAAAAAGTAACTATTGAATTTGTATACGATTCATGGTATTTGTCAACAGTTAGATCATCAATATTTTTTTTTAAATGTTTTGTCAATTTTGTATGGCCTTAGTGTCAGGTTTATGAGTGCCATCCAATTTTTGACAATTCAATACAATGTTTTATTAAAGTCTCATCTCTCAAACAAGTACAATCAATATTTATACATTATAAAACAATACTAAATAAAATGAGAGTCATTCTATACAGAATTATAAGAGACTATTAAAATGCATAGATATAATACACTAAACAATATGAAATAAAATATTGACATTAACAGTTCCATTTACTGTCACGGCATACTTATAATAATCAATTAAAAAAATCGAGTGAGCGTGTGGTATATCAACAAACATGAGATTGGTCATCAGAAAAACGATGATTATTTATTACAATCCACATTTTAGGTAATCATTATATTCATCTCATTAACATATTTGTGAAGTGAATTTTATACAATAATCACATACATAATTTTAATCCTGGTAGCTTTGATGACTTTATTTACAGATAACTGATATAATTTTGAATGACACAGTGTACGACCTTATTCATGAAGACAATAAAAACAAGAATTTCCTCAAACGTTAATTTTGGAAATAGTAAATAGAGACTTGTCCATTGCAGCAACGTGTTCTTTAAATATATAAATTTCCTTTAAGAGATGTCTTGAGTAACAAAATACCAAGTCTAAAACTTATTGTCTATTAGACAATGCCCATGTATTTGTAATATTGTGGATTTTTCTTCATGGAGTGACATGATGTTTCTGTCAAACTGATCGAAAGTACGAGTATTTCTTTTGTAATGAAAATATTTAGACATTAGACAACGTGATCAGCAATGATTTTTAGATTAGTAACATTTTTTTTTCAAACATGTATTGGCTTCCTGTATCATACAAATTTTCTCCCCACATTCCCATCTGTTTCGAATTAAAACAAAAATGAAAAGAAATACATTTAAGAGGGAAAACTGGTGGTAGTGTTACAATAGGCTATCTTAAACTAGCTACATAAAATGACCAGCAGATAAGTGAAACTATTAACAAATATGTTTATGGTATCAATATATTTGGTGCATATAATATGTATTTCTTGAGAAAAAAAACCCAACAAAGTTTAAGTTGATGCCAAAGTTCTATAGACTAATTATAGATTAAACGTCATTTAAGATTACAAGAGACAACCGTGTATGTACTATGTTATTTCCTGAACAGAGATAAATACTAGTATATTTGCATTGATTATTTAGATGTTTACTCGCTACTATGATTTTTGTATAGTTGAAAAAGTCTCTTTTTTAATTAATTCAATCATTGAGGTGTATTAAAACGAAACAAAATATTATAGAACCTTAAATTCCTGACTTGATAGTTTTTCCTTCGATGGAGGATCCCTCATGTAGAAGAAACATTTATCTTTTGACACATTTGGATTATTCAAAACTCCCTGTAATACTTCTAACTGAAAGGTAAGAACTGTATAAATCATTTCAGTACTTTTTTCTATCTGAATTTAAAGAAACGTGCACATAAATATACGAACATGTATTTCTTCACTTATATAATCTATTTATGATGGTTTTATTTTTAACTATTAGGACTTGATGCAGCAATCAGGAAAACCAATAAAATAAAAAAAAAATTAGTCATCTTAAACGACAGCTTAGCACCTCGCCTGTCATGACTTTCTTAAATCATTAATGAAGGTCAAGACAGCCCCGTAGACGTGTAGATCTTCGGAAAATTTTCCGTAAGCTTTTCCAAAGCCATTCTTATTTAACATGTAGATCAATGCTACCTTCTGGAGGTGTTGACTTACAAAAAACATGCATCAACTGAAAAAAGATGACACCTCTATGTATATGATTTGTAGTCGTCTTGTGTGTAAAATCAAATGAAACGAATAGATAAACGACTATATACTTTATACATTTCTAAACTTTCGGCAAGGGATAGTAAATATATCAAGATGAATAATTATAGACGCAAAAGTGCTTACAATGATGATTTTTCATATTATAAATATTTCCATGGGAAAAAAAGAAATATTCGATTTGCGATGATTTTCGCCCGATTCCAGAGGTATAATGATGTAAAAATTTTTATTCCATTGTTATGCTAAATGAAGGCGAGCGAGCAATTAGCACGTTGATTTTCAATTTTAACTACATATCAAGGCCCATGACAACACACACCAATAACAATTGACGCTGATTTCAAAATTCTGAGATAATGTTTACGATACTCTGTCACATGATTAGATTAAAACAAAAAGTAGGCATAAGCGCATGTGCACGAACAGTGTTGATTGTCAATATGATAAAATTTCCAAGGGTATCACCCCTTTAAATATTCGATCGTTGATAACATTATATTAATCTGTCTAAGATGTTGCTAATTTTTGACATACATTTCATTAAACTGTAATTAGACATAAAGGCGCGAGATCTCTAACAACGTTGATTTTCAATATGTTTTATCGGTCCTGAATTTCAAACCTACATTTTAGGTATGAGAGTGTTTATAAGGTCAGACGGATGGACGGGCATCAGCATTCTCATATGCCCGTTTCGTGGTTGGGGATTAACATATATTATCTACCGATAATTGTTTTTAATAAAACATCTCCATAAATGAAGTTTACACTAAAATGGGTAGATACTATTGACATACTTTGATGACTAAAAATAAAACAACCTTGAATGGTAAATAATTATTTTGTTGTTGTTGCAATGTTTAGGGACAAACTGTAGCTCATGTTATACCTCCGTTATGACAAAAACATAACAAATAGTCAATGATTCGTTGTGATTATTTAGGAACCCTTAATGAATAATCAGATAAAGAACAAAGAATTAACCTGTGTAACGCTGGATCCATATCTAAATTCATCTATCCATTTGAGATTTGGGTAGCTTTCTATTGCGTAGTCAAATGTAGAATTCAAAACATCATCTGGCTCTTCCTTTCTTTGGGACCATCCATACCTCTCTCCCATCAGACAGATGAAGTAGGGTCGACATCGATCAATCTTTATTGGTACAAAAAAACAAATGTTTCTTACTTAAAACTTAAGTTTTGCTTCTCATGTGAATTTGATGGACCAATCGCGTGCAAATTTTCAGATCTAGTAACTTTCATTAATTTTAGTGTGATTACCTATTCGGGAAATCCATTTGGAAATATGACTGGAATGAAAAATTACTGTTTTTGAAATGGTTTGATGTCTATAAAGACGTTCTTAACTTTTTAGATTTGATTCTAATGGCTAGATGTGTATTTCGGCGTTTAATCATTACACTAAATCATTCATTTTAGAACGCGTGCATTTAGCAAATATATTGTTAGATTTAAAAATATAAAAATAAGGAAAACCTTGAAACCAAATAATTAAATAAACAATTATTCTCTTTCATTATAATGTTCCTTATTTTTAACTAAAAAGAAAAGACAAAAATGCTTTTACTGGTGCATTTATTGGTACAAAAAGGGAAGCATTTTGAAAATGAATATACAAATACTTTAGTAAGTGATATTCTTATAAAGTGTTTTATTAAGATGATTTCAAATTAGTTTACCTCCTGTAAGCAAATTGCTATTGTTTTGCCATCGCTAGTTTGCTCTGATGTTATTCCCCATCTTAAATCTACATACGTGAAGAATACGCCTCTTTCTGTACACAAACGACGTATCTGCAACATGTAACAGTAACATAACAATAAGTATCCGAAACGAAAAAAATAGTATTTTCATAATTGTCAAAATAGTTAAATAACGAGCCACTGGAAAAGAAAAGCTGTAGCGCCTTACACGTACCTTTTCTGGTGGTAACGAAATGTTACCCCAATTGACGTAGCCATAATATGATATTGCTTATTGTCATATTCAGAAAACACAATAGCATTAAGATTAAAATTTGTTAAATGATAGAGTACAAAGTTGCAGTTCTATTCATTGTTACAGCTTTAGAATTTGAAATTTACCTCACTGAAGGCCGTTTTTATTATTTCATCTCTCTCCTTGGCAAAGTCTTTAAATGTACTGGAAACAAAAACACGAATTTCTCTCTTCTTTTCTAACTTCTGTTTTGTTAAAAATCGTTTAAGGAGTGCCCACTTCGATTCTTGTCCCATTTCATCTTCTAATGCGATTATACTTTTTGTATTTGTCAAATCTTGGACGTCATCTAAATACACATACGTGTGTCAAATCAAAGATTAATAGTTATTTAATCCATAAAATATTGCAAATTTAAAAAGTTATGAGATGTTTTTATAATTGCAAACATTGCCATGGGACAAGTTTCGCAAAAATAAATGATAGCATTATGGGTGCAAAAAGATCCGGAAATCATAATCATTATGATGAATCATGATTTTGTCATTTATTTAACATTTGTAATGATGATACTGGCAAAGATTTAACAGTAATTTGTTATAAAAATATTGTACGAACTTCGTCTTTCTCTGAATATATTCTTGATTATTCATTTTGAATGTGATTAATTGGAATAGTTAACTACTAGCTTGTTGAGTACGAAAGGTACTGTTATCTTATTTGTATGTCCCAGTAACAAATAACCGGAGACACGTTGTTCACTTTGAATATAGATGATTTAATTGGCACCGATTACTATAAATGACTGAATATTTATTTTCAAAACGACGTTTGCAAAGAAATGCATTCAAATGCAAAAAAATGATAGAGATAAGGTTTTTCCGCTAGATATTTTTCTCGATTAAAGTATTCATTTGTGTTACTTATATGAGAAGGAGTTGGAGACTATAAATCGGAAACGCTAATAAGATACCCATCCAAAGATACTTTATTTGTCATTATGTAGAGACAACATAGTATCAAGTTTGCAGTATTTGGTGATCTTTATTTACTTTATAGTTTTTTTAATACACGCAACAATTTCAACAAATTTGTAATATTTTTTTTCTCCACTGGCATGTGTCATTCAATAAAATATTTTCCCTTTTGAATGTGCTTTTTATTACTATTTTTAATTACTTAAGACTTTAATACTAGTTTATACTGTCACCGTCTCGAATACGATCTATATCTCACGAGAAACATTTTGGGAAATTTTGTCTGGATTTGCATGGAGGAGTGTATGCATGCATAGCAAAAAACGCTTATCCCTTCTATGCATCAGTTTCGATTGGGTTTGTTTTCTTGGTTGTGTGTAAATTCTAACTTGATATAGATTTGAAAATCGGTTAACTACTACAACCTCTGACTTATAGTTGTGTCTGATATATTTCAATCTTTATATCAATGGTTCTTATTATCTCTTCAACTATTGATATATGTGCATGAATCTACCAAAAAACTTATCTAATGTTTTGATATTTAAAGAAGTTTACGAATCTTTCTCAAATTATAATAGTTCATGCATATTTACCTTCTTTGATGAATTTTTCCATCAAGGCAGCATTATCCGTAAGAACTTTTGAAACCAATTTCTCCGCAACTGATTTGCTGTCTGCCTTGTCCATCTTTATGCAATATGAAACAAATTCATTTTGTTTTATTCCGTTTCCTATTCTTTTTACATATTTTATTACTCTTTTGTAACTTTTTTTAAGAATATGCTTTAGCAAGAAAAGTCTATTGTCGGATACATTCTCAACAAAATTATTTTTCATATAGATTAGAGAATGGTAACAGGGAATGCGTCATAGAGACGACAACCCAACTAAAATGCAGAAAACAGCCCAAGGCCACCTATGGGCCTTCATAGTAGCGCGAAAGTCCCGCTGCCGGAGGCGCGCTTCAGATGGCACCTAAACAATAATGTATACTAGTTCAGCAAAATGGACGCCACATATGCCGTCTGTACATTTCAATTGACATGTTGCATTGAGGTTTCAAACGTGTAGATTAAAAAGTGCTGCGTAATTTTAATAAAATATCATAAGATATATTTTTGTCATAATTCTAAAGCACTATCATATGCATTTGTAAGAGACGGGTGGTCTCCATGGTAGGTAGCAAGACGAACATATTTACATAAAAGCAATGTCAAATATTTGAAAAATATCAAACAATTTGATCAGATTTGTCATTGCAGAACACGATTAATGGTACATGAAAGGACTGTCGATCACTAAACTGCAAATCTTTCAAAAGGATATAGAGTATACTCCAACTCTATCGAAAGGATGTAGACTGAAAATCTTTAACCGATAACTTTCTGGTCAATTTTCCGTATGCCCATTTAATGTAAATGGAGGTTCACTTATACTTCAATAAGTGTAAAATTAACAATCCTTATATTACAACGAAAACACACCTGTGGAATGTCTGCATAACTGTCATTTTCAGACTGTTTGTTCTTTTTTTTTACTCGCACTTCGGCACCAGATATATAGGGACCGAAAAATCCAGCCCTCGATTTGCTATCTTTACCTGTACAATATTATATTAAAAGTTTTCAAGCAAATATATACAAAGACAATAGTAACTTTAACTTTATTTTTGTTATAGTCGTAATGAGAAATAGAAATATTCTAGGAAATTATAAACATGTATGAACCCAAAATAAATAGTCCGCGCCGACATTGTTAACTATGCTGTCTAAGGGAATAAAATGAAATAATAACACTCACGTATGAAAGATTTCAGGTGAACAAGAAAACATAACTGCTATACAGATTTGTATCTTAGGTAAGAACATGAAATTACAAAAAGATTATTTTGTAAAAAAAACCTTATTTTTTATTCTGTTAGTTTTTTTTTTAGTCCAAAAACGGCAATCGCATTGACTCCTACAGAATATTTCATTCTCAACCAAAGCAACTTATAGTTTTTTTGCATCGCGTTTATCTGTCTAGTGGAATATTTTGTAAAAGCTTACAATGTTTGTATTATATAAATATGGATAATTTTTGTCCAAAATCACTTTTTTCTAAAATTCCTTCTATACATGTTATTTTAACTTTTTTGGTGTGTTGTGTTACCCTTCTACAATTAGTATTAGCACACCATCACCTCCAAAAATCAAAATTTTGTAGAATGACGTTTTTTGTTTTTTATCATTTTCCACGGTTTCTGTGTCCTGTTGTTTTATCAAAAATTCCCGTTACTCTCAAATATGAAAAACGCATGCCTTAACAGCTTCATCTTCAAACACTATTTCCTCCAAATTACCTCCAAAATTAGTTCATAAATAATGAGTTATATAAAAATATCCCATTGAATAGTTTTGTATAAATTATCACAAGGAATCACTTCTGTTAATGGAAGGTTGATGCAATTACCACAATTACCTGTCAAAATATAAATCAGTATTCCATAATTCTATTCAGATGTATTAAGCATACCTTATATATGTGTTCACAGTTTTTAATAAATATATAAACACAATACAGACAATGAAATACATTAGATATTGAAAAAGGACGTACCTTTTGACGAGAATGCAACAAAACGGACACCAGGACCATAGTCTGAAAATATAATGTTTGCCTCTTCCCATTCACCGTGAAGGTAATATATAGGTCCTATCTCTCCTGTTGTATATTCTTTCAACACCTGAACAATATAAATATTCAATTCATTATGCATAACTTTAAATGGCAAATAATAAGTTCTTGAGAAACAATTTTTAAAAATATGTAAAGATTTATTTGATTAGAAATGAATATAGATTATGAAAAACAGAAATGATCAGAATGGATTTCATATTTATTACTAAGAACTGCAGGCAAAAATTTTAGAACTTGTGAAATAGAAAGTATTTCGTGGGCCTATTGATAAAAGCATTTGATAACTCTCACCTTTCGATCAGCTGACAACAGCTGTGCAGTAAAGCAGTAATTACCGCCACCAAAATCTCCTTCTTTGTAATCTTCGAAAACCTTAAAAAGGAAATAATTCATGTCTATCAACATTGATATTTGAAGTGAAGTAAAAAAAAAAAAAAAAAAAAATTGATAACTGTTTATTTAATATTCTCTGATGAAGTCATGCATTCTTAAATCATATTTTGCCAGAAACGGAATTTTTAACGACGGCAGAAAAAAAAAACATATCGAAATATCCAGTATTGAACTTGAAAGGCTTTATACAACAATTAAAAAAGAATGTGTTTGTATTTCGGATGGGTTGAACTATTCCTTTCATAAAGCTTTTTTTTATGACGCGGACAACAATTGTACTAAGCTTCGCCTACTCATATGTACACACTTTTGACTACTAGTATTAGGAACAAGTATACGGACTATTGCGCTAACATACTATTGGTCATTACAAGTACCTGTAATGACTATAAGGCAATGGTACGCTTTTCTTAAAAGAATATATGTTTTTCTTATGCCAAAATAATGAATTTTGATTACAAAAGAACATTATTATAGTAGGTTAATAATATACGATACCATAATGCCTGGTGATGTATCCAAGTACTCCTCAGTGAAATATTCCAGAAGATTGACTTCTTGATATTTACAACCCCATATATGTGATGTAACAAAACATGTATCTGTATCATAACCTCCATCACAAACTTTTATATCTCCCTCTGTCGTCCAAAACGTCAAATCTCCATTCTTAAAAAACAGAAAATGACAAAATATTTAGAAAAAAACCCCAAAAACAAGAGAGGAAAACAGATATGACGTAAAAAAATGCAAAATGAAAAAGAGAGATCGGTATTGATAATACCAATAACTGATAATTAGAAATGAAACGATAAACCTACACGAGAACAGGGGTGGTGAGGGGTAAAAGTGCCATGTTCGTCATCAATTCATCAACAGAAAAAAACATTTAAAGAGAACTATCAGTTTATTAAATTCATTAAAATAGCTTGTCTATAATTTAGTCGCCAGACGCGAGTTTCGTCTACATAAGACTCAGCAATTGAGATATAATTAAAACAATTGGAAGGTCAGATCAATAACAAAGTTGAATAGCATTTGAAAACCAGAATGTTTTAAAAGTTACACAAAATCGGACTAAGTCAAATAATGGCTGTTGATAGAAGCATCTTTGTGTTTCGAATAGTTTCACCATTTTGTGAACAGTAAATTTACAAAAAAGACGGATCAATGAAATGTCATGTCATCACAGAAGCACAGACTACCGGGAAAGTGTATCCAGTGTACAATTCCAATGTACCATACCTCTCCAGTAGGATTATGAAGTAGATTTTGAGACCATCCAACGATACTCATATTCTTTCGGGTGTTGATAGTCGTCAATGGTGGAATTTTGTCTATTACTTTTTGTTTTTCTATATATTCTTGTTTCTTTTGTGATTCAGTGACGATTCTATCACTGTACGTCTTGTCAAGTAAAGCGAAAGCACAAATCTGGTCTGAAATTTAAAGATGAAATAAATAATAGTATTTTTGTAAACCACATTCATAAGAAATTAATCTGTTTAACATCAGTTGGAAGGCAAAAACCATTACGTAATTACAGGGCGTTGAAAACTAAAAGTACAAAAAAGGGACAACTAATGTAAATACAGAGTTGCGCCATGAGCGCATGATACGCCCGTTGCTTTTTCAAAGAATAAATTGCCATAACTCCTCAATGTCATATCAGAAATTTATAAAAAAAAAAACTAAAGGGAGGTTATTTTAATAGATATAAACCAGTCACCAAAGTTTCATGAAAACTGCTCAAAGCATTTTTGAGTTATTGTCTGAAAACCGGAAAATCACCCCTTTTTTATTAATAAAATCCCATAACCCGGAAACGTAAAATCTAAAATTTATTAAAATCAAAGGGGAGCTAAAGTCAATAGATATAGACAATTAACCAAAGTTTCATGAAAACTGCTCAAAGCGTTTATGAGTTATTGTCTGAAAACTGGAAAATCACCTTTTTTAATGAATAAAACCACATAACTCGGACACGTAAAATTTAAATGTTTATAAAATGAGGGCTCACGTCAATAGATAAAAACATTTATCTAAAGTTTCATTCAAATTTGTGAAAGCGTTTGTGAGTTACTGTCAGACATGTCGACGACGGACGGACAAACAATGGTATACCATAATACGTCCCGTAAATGGGCGTATAAAAAGTAAATAAAAAAAAACGAAAATCAAATATTCCTCTCTGAGGATTGTTATAATATGCTGTCAAATTAAAAAATGTATGAAAATAAACACACTGAAAACAAAAACAAAAAACAAACCAGCATGTTTGTGGACGTCTTTACTTTCACTCTCAATTTCTAAAAAGTTACAATTGATATCAACGTGTATATCAACACAGTAACAAGTTGGACCAACTAAATCTCCTGGCTTCTTCATAGCTTCTATTTTCTAAAAGAGAGACACAACAATTTTCACAAATTTTCATTAGTTGCAAGACATAGTATACATAGTCAGGTCCTCGGCATTAAAGTTTCATATAAAGGTTTATCCAGGAAAGCTTGTCGAACGCCCTACATTGATTCGGTTTTCTTACCATCATTACTATTGGATTGATAATGTGGATGATGGAGAGTTATCGTCCTATATGGGATCCTTTTTGCAAGTTTCTCTGGGTGACTTATGGTTATAAAATAGCAGTATTTTTTTTATCGGAATCAGTGTTATTGTTTGTTTCATTTATGAATAATTAAACATATTTTACATTACACTTTCATCATTGATTTAATATTTTCATAAAAGTTATAATTATCAGTAAACCTCTCGGACGTCTTTGCTCATTGGTCTGCCATTAAAAGTTATGTCCTCTGGTACATCAACTACGTGTATGCGTAATTTGTAGCTCCCATTTGGTATACCATTTACCTATTTGAAACAGAAAACGTTCACAGTAAGAATCGATAGATCAACACAGACAGAAGAATATACCAAGGGAGAAATCTAGAACATTTAATTGAATTAAATAGGATCTCAGGATGGATAGTTATGGATGTGTCTTTCATATGATAATATTTGTGTGCTATTCCATAAAATCTTGCATGGGATATCCCTTAATTGCTATCATATATAACATCAATTATTAACTGAGCTCTCTTTGGTGTAAACACGATGACAAACGAGGTGGAATGTGAAAAAATAAATTTCTATGCGATACCGATGCACTCGAAGATATAATTATTTTCGTTCTCTCTTTCTTTTCATGTGTTGAAACAGCAACTCATTGATGATAATGACCAAAATACATTAGAGGGCACAAACAGTCTTCATCAATAGACAAGTCTCAATACAATTCATCAAGCTCTAAATCGTCCAGAGTCTATACAATATAACAGAAACAATCACCATTTCCACAACTACTAGTTGGGGACAGTTCATATAAAAGTTCATACAACTATCCAATTAACAGTATAGGAAGACCTTCCTGCTATGCAATACATAAATTATACAAAAAACAAAAGAAACATTATAGTATTTGCACAAACTATACAGAAGCGAATTGATTTGTATCATCATACAAAAAAACGAGACACAGTGATTGCCAAACAAACGTATTATTATAGCCCCTATTAAAAGTTATCAATATTACAATTTGAAAAGATTTGTTGAACGGTAATTAAGTTATCACACGGAAATGACATAAAGAGTAATTTCCATATCAATTAAGAAACATAACTTCATAAAGCCACAAGCGATTATCGAACATGACCTCCATTAGTCATCAATGTGGTAACAACATATCAAAAATTTTAAGGAAAGTTTGAAGGGTTTTCTAGTTTTTGTACGGAAACAGCTACAGCCATCCATCCGCTCGCCCTGCGTAACACAAATTAAAAACTCGGATTATTCCCGGCGCCGTCAGAAAACCAGGTTAAAAACTAAAATAAAATCCTCATTACCTTATACCTAAACCGTTGTTCGGATTTTTGTTCCGTGTATGCTGATCGTGACACTGAATACAAAAACCCGTCATGTGAGTTCAGCATTGAAGCGGGTAGTATTGTCTGAGTCTTCACAGAACCAACAGCTTTGCTCTGCATACCTACGAAATAGCGTATTACATTTACTTGTGTATGACCATAATTTTCGATAAAAGAGTCGATGCATTTGAAATCTTTCCTCACTGACAGTTTATAGTAAATTGCAATATACATGGTGGACTTTGGCTAAGTTTAAAGAATATGCATACTTTGATATTACATGTACATATTATGTGAAATAAGCTTTTATATTTGATCAAATACACGTGTTATGCATTACAAATGGCGTGAAATATATATATAAACATGTTTGGTTGCAGGTATTACATTCGTTCAAAATAGTTGAATCAGTTTTTATCAAGTCAAATAAATTTGCTATATTACAAACGCAAGCTCGGGAGAACTTTTGGCAAGCTTTCATAAACTGTGAGTCTCTCTTAGATCGCTTGGATTTTTGTGCGTGCTTCGTTCTAATCTTATGAGGCAAGCCCTGTCTAACTGTTACAATTTGTTCTTATGTTTTGCTGTTACCCCACGTAAGGGGGAGGGGTGGAGCTCTCACAAACATGTTAACCTCGCCTCATTTCTCAGTACCTGTCCAAAGTCTCGGCGCTTTCAACACAGTAGTTGTCGTTGGTTACTGTTTGCTATATCACTTTTCTTTTATTGTTTTTTATAATAAATCAGTGCGTTGGTTTTCTCTTTAGAATTGTTTACATCCTAGTCCTCGGGTTTTTTTATGGGAGGGGTTCTTGTTTCTAAATATTCAGTTTTTCATCTTTTTTTTTATTTCTTGATTTATTTTTTGTCGTTTAGTCGTATTTATTTTTTTTACGTTATTTTACGTTTTCTGTTTCATCGGACTAATGGTTTTCGATTGCTTCCTTGGTATCGTCTATATGTTTCCCCCCATTATAAACGAAAGTAAAAACCAAGCAGTTGGGACTACCTAATGTAGCATTTTCTTTTACTTTATCTTCCCGGAGTTTAGTAAAACTGTTTACAAGTCTCATAATATTCCAAATTGAAAGGATTTTCTGTAAGTTATCTTACCAGAAAGGAAATTTCTGTCGAAGTTAGCAAACTGATGGTGTTCACTTGAATACACAATATCATTGAGATCTTGGTATGCCGGACCTGCGCAGTTTAAGGCATAAATGACTCCTGGTTTTTGTCTGGTTAAGGAACAGGGTGAACCAGTTAACTCAATAAACACATCTTCATCAGCTAAATAGAAAAGGATTTACTATATCTCTTATATGGTTATCACCAGATATTATAGTTTTATTCGTGGGGAAAGTTGACATCATATATATATATATATATATATATATACAAATCTAAATTGAAAACAACGTTCAAACCTGATTGCGTTGGATAAAATCCGCAATTTTTATACGTGTGCATGCAAAACAAATTTCTTGGTAGAGGGGTCTAAATACAGCACAAACAACATTTACCAAAAGACCCAAAAAGTGAAAAAGTATATTTTAACAAAACGCATTTGACTAGCAGGTCGAACAACTGATATTCTTAAACCCTGTTGACTGCCATTGGCGATTGCCAAATAAACGGATCACCAGATGTAACAAAATGGATCTTATTATTGATTTATTACCAAACAGAAAACAAAAAATTTGCGGAAAAGATGGTATACCGCAAACATGAGGTGCACAAATTTGTACACCATATCCGGATTTCGACAATTAATGTCTCTTCAGTGATGTTAGGAATCGAAACGGTATTTGGAAGGCCATATAATTTACCTCAATTTAGGATAGACTCTTGAATTTTGAAAGAGTCGAAATAGGATGAACGGATCATATAAACCCGAAGGCAAATATAATACAAGCCCAAACGAAAAAATATAAACAAATCTAAATTGAAAACAACGTTCAAACCTATGATTGCGTTGGATAAAAACCGCAATTTTTATACGTGTGCATGCAAAACAAATTTCTTGGTAGAGGGGTCTAAATACAGCACAAACAACATTTACCAAAAGACCAAAAAAGTGAAAAAGTATATTTTAACAAAACGCATTTGACTAGCAGGTCGAACAACTGATGTTCTTAAATATATATATATATGTCCTGATACAGGCTAAATACTTACATTTATGACATTATTGACCTGGTCAGCCTTGTTTTCAATGAACATACAATTTTGTTAGTATCTGAATAATTATTAATAAATACAATAAAAGTCTTAAACCAGTGATATTAAAGCACTTAATCTGTCGCAATTTCACTCTTTTAAGAGGAAAAAAAGAAATTTATCAATAGATTCATTCATGGATAATTAACACCCAGTGGCAAATATTTTCGCGCATTTTCAGGACGATAACATATTAATGTTGTAGGCTAGACCAAAGCGATGATGACCCATATGTTCAAAAGTTTTTCTACGAGATAAGAGTTTAAATGGTGTTATGTCATCACCGCGGAACACTTTATTCCGAAATGGAACCAACCAGTCTTTGCTCTAAGTCTTAAGTACTGCATCCGTAGCCATAGAAGCGATTACTATCATTTTTTTAAAACTCTGGTTTGGTTTGACGTACTACCTGTCATCAAAACAACGACCACTAAGACTCTACACGAGCACCCTACCATGACACTATCAAGCAACTATACACACTTTTTTATTTGTACACTGTGAAAATCGTATATATTTGCTCAATGTGTAGTTAATATACAGAAAATGTACATGTCTGACCAAATGCCTAAAGAGCTCCATACATATTACAGGATAACTGTAAAATAGCAACCGGTGTTCAATGAAAATGTATTATGGAAGCTATCTTATGAATTAAAGGAATAATATTATCTTACTTTTCAAATTCTTTCTTATGGCAAATATCCTAACTTTATGATAGCCAACATATTTTTCATTCTCCTGCCATTGATAGGAAAATGTGTATTCGCCATCTCTATTCGTCAATTCGTCGATTGAAATCGTGTGTACGAAGTTGTGGTCTAACATTATACGGATTGTTGACGATTTATTCAAATGACCGGTTATTTCTTCCATGGTAACCTTCACATTGCCTGTTGTCTTTGTTGATTCACCCGTTGCTAAACAACCATCTTGAGTAATACATGAAATAAGGTCTACGTTACATGCTTTGACATTGGACAAAACAGCATATTTACATGGCTCATTTGGTCCAATAACCACTAATTCTCCATCTACAATTTCGAATTTCCAAATATTGGATTTTTTGCAATCCGTTCCAAAACTACCTGCCACTTCTTGAACATCTTCAAGTTTTTGATTGTTGATCGCCAAAAAGTACATAGAAGAAATAGTGCAATCTTCTACGCCATAGCTGTTTGAGCAAAGAATAACGAGAGTACATTGCTCGGGTAATTTAGTCAGTAACACGTGTTTTCCAGTCAAACACTGTGTCTGCGTCACCAGAACGTGACTCTGTTTTGAGGTAGAATTATTTGCATTATGGAATAGACCGTACCGACTGTTACATGGACCATGAACAGTCACCATATGACTTTCTCCGAGATTAAATTTGAATATATCTTCCCCTGATACAAGCTTTGATTCGAATTTACTATTGTGTACTCCAGTGCGCAGAATGTAGACAGCATTGTGGTATTTGACACCATCGGAACCACTACAAAGTATTAATGAAAGTCCACAGCTGTCTTCCTCACATACGGGTACAGGTAGCTGTAGAAGAACCTTTTTGTTTTGACTCTCTATGTAAATTCCATTCTTGAGATTACCATAACGACAGTCATTTGTCAACAACATTAAATGATTGTTGCCGTACTGGCAGTCACCAATAAACGTTCCTTCCTCATCTACATAATGATTGTTGGCAGGGTTAAAGTAACCATCCTGAGACGATACAATAGGACTTACTTCGACATGGTTACAGTCGAATCCTGACCTAACCAACAACAGTTCTACGCAGGTTTCATTCTTATCGTTTCCAGATGCGCATGACACAAAGTAAAGGGAGGTACATCCCCCATGGTAGGCATTTACGTTGAAATTAAGTTTTCCATAGCTACGAATCGGTATCTTGGAAGAGCAATGACCATATATCGTCCTCACAAAATCTGATGAATAAGAATATAGTCAATTCAGCATTTGTTTGCTTATATTTTGTCATTATGTTGCCCTTACCTTCAACATTGATGACACCTCTTGCCATTCAATTTATAAAGGATAAAGCAATTAACTTTTGATAAAGCAACAAATCTTTCTTTTATTCTTTTACGTTAATAACAATAAACGGACACATTATTATTCTTCTATATTATAATAGATCAATATAATCTATTAACACTTGAGAAAAACAATATGACTTGTGCTTTCTTTACTTTATAAACTCACATCTGTTCATGTTTAATAGAAATAAACTGTATAACAGGATTGACTGTCTATTCATCTATTACAATTTTTATAAACGGTAGTCTTAATACTTTCACTGTCTAATAATAATGACTTCTAATTTTAAAAACAAGAGATAACAAAAAACGATAAGAAATAAATTTTCGTATTGCTGAAACATAAGTCTTATGTGTAGTATTTTATAGGATTGTTTTTTATCTCTTCGTTCGTAGTTTTAGTTTTGACATGGTGTCTGTTTTTCGATATATGGTTTTTAAATGCCCCCTTCGTGATAATTAGTACAGATCTAAGTGTACTCGCAGTTACTGAAAGCTAATTTAAAGCCAATAGCAACTAATACAAAAATCATGTATTTCAAGCTTACCATCACTAACTGTTGTATCCTTCTGGTTATTAAGTCCCGTTGAATTTTCTCTCTCACTTGCTAACTCGGCTATAGCTTCTTCGTCTACTTCATCAAATACTTCTTTGATGACCTCTCGGTCAGCATATGTTGTAGTTGGGATATCGGTTCTCACAGGGACCTCAAAATACGTAAGTTCTCGACGATATCCCCGTATGATACTAGGTCCAGTCTTTAATAGGGTAACAGGATAAAATAAAGTAAATATACGAAATAAAACAACATTAACTAGGTTAAAACAATTACTGTCTGTTTGTAAGGGTTCACAATTACAAAGATTGATTGACTGATTGATTAATTGATTGATTGTTTGTTGCGGTCTTGGCTCTCCGGTGGCAAATTATTAATGCATATTCAGGACAAAAACAACTAAACTCAAGGCAAATTGCGAAAGGTATGTCGACTGGGTTTATGGTTAAGAAATTATTTGATATTGGCTCCTATCAGGTTCGATTTTACGTGGGACACACATTCAAACAGTTTCTATCATTTAATCTTACTGTAATGATTAATGAAGAATGCTATTCAATTAAGTTTATTTCTAATCAGAAAACCAACTTTCAATAGCTAATTTTTACTGCAGGTTAAGCTGACTAGAACTGAGTATGCTCTAGTCCACAGCAATTGGACTGGTGATGTCTAATTTTTCGCATCAGTTGATTTTTTGGTATTATTGACCTTTATCATGGCATAGATTTATGTATGTAAAGCCAAGATATAAAGATATATTTTACCTTTTTTGACTTGGACGAAAATTGTTGGGCCATTGCACTATCTCACAATATTCATACTTTAAACCAACCATGAAGAATATTTACATATATCTGTGAAAAAAAAAGTTTTTTAACACTAGAAAACTATAAAGTATGATAATCCCTCATTTGATGGATAGTTACTCATGTGGGTAACTATTCCCCATTTGCCGGATCGGTTATTTTCTCTCTCCCCCCCCCCCCCCCCCCCCCCCCCCCCCCCACCTCTTTCTGGATACAGACGTGACCCGCTACATTTTCGAAAAAAATATTAAAAAAAAACTCTACATAGTAACATTTTGAGATACTGAAGTTACCGGCTAAGGCTGAATTAACCATTACAATATGAAGTGTTATTTTTTTCTTGATAAATGAGAGAGGATTGCCTTCCCTGACGTTACCCATAACACAAACTGATAAATAATTTAGTGTATTGTGTAAAAACCAATTACTTTTTCAACCATCTTATATGGGAGAAGATTTATATATATAATTAAGGCTGAGTCTTGTTGAATTATAATTGGTTTGAATTATACATCCGCTTTTTTTCTTCTATGAGTGAAACAATCATATTTCTGAATTATTTGTTCACACAATTCATTTCAATAAATTAATTGAAATTGAATACTTTTCGGAATACAAACCCCGTTTTACTTGTAATAAGTGTCTGATGGCTTTAAAATTTAACTGATCGTAATATTTGTTTAAAGATAAAAGCTTTAATTTTTCATAGATTTGCATTTAGAATTGTTATTTTTATGAAAATATGTACTGTTATATTGATCGAAACTTACCTGTACGATATAGTACCATTAATGGTCACTTATAGTAATGCTATATTTAAACGGGTATGAAATCAATAATAGTCATAGATTTTAACCCTTTTGTCTTGAGATATTTTTTTATGAGTATAATATAATTCGTTAACAAAGTGATAGTAAAGAAATAAACTTCTAAATATAGAAAAAATAGATATTTTCCATACAACACTGAACATACTTATACAACTATAATGGAAATGTATATGACAACCAAACGTAAACAAGTCAAAATTGAAGCTTATTATTATTAGAATATTGGGTTAAGATGCAATTGTTCTGTGTTTTTCAATACATGCAGCTATAAAAACCGTTTTAAACTGAATAAACGATAATGTTGTATATTGAATATATATATATATAAATATACGTACATTGTCACATTCGAATGTGTTTGTCGTGTCTATCCTATAATACCCCAATCCAAGATTGGTACGCGTCCGTCCCGAATCCGTTTTCACAGGTAAGTAGAGAAATATGAGACATATGGCGGGAAAAATATAACAGATACAAAATGGAATTATCCTGGTGTGTAATTGAGTGTAAACCTTAATTCATTTAATATGTCACTTGTACTTTATCAACAGTTTTTATTAAGTAGGATTGAGAAGGATCTGCTAACTCTTCGGGAGCACTTGAGACTATCCCCCCTCCCACCCCATTCTTATTTTTGGTGGGATTCGTTTTGCTCAGTCTTTAGTTTTTTTATGTTGTTTGTTGTAGACTATTGTTTGTCTTTTGGTCGTTTATCGTTTTTTGCCATGGCATTGTCAGTTCGTGTCCGGCTAATGATTTTGACTATCTACCTCTCTTTGACTGTTAACTAAATCACTTTTAATGCGATTTCCACCGTCTTAAACCATACACAGATAATGTGCAAGTGCATAAGTAAAAGGCAGACAGCAAGTCATGTTTATCTTAAGATAAGATGTATTTCTATTGTCTTATAATTACAGGCAGCAACCAGATAAAATAGTTAATTTAATAATAAGGAAACAAGAAGGTAATGAAAACAAATTTCAAACAAAACAACTCAAAGTATGGAGCTGTTTGAAAAATTGAAGATATTACTGGCTTATCAGAAGCAGCTAGTTGAAAAAAAAGAAAAGTGGGTAATACTAATTCACATCGAAAATATATATTGTGGCCTGTTAAGGTTTTAACATATCTTACTACATACACGTCTTCCGTCACCATGTCAATTGACCTAAGTCGTTCATGGGTTACATTCGGTTTACGGGTTACAATAAATATTGAACAGTACAACATACTCACCAACGACTAATACGCATGCTCCACTCCTACAAAATACAAAAAATAGTCTTACAAATGAATATTATCATCAACAAATAACATGTGTTCCAAATTGCCTGACTTGGTCCAGACACAAAATGTTGTGGGTTAAACCAGTCACAAGTTAACGTGATGACAAACCTATCCCTTTGCCTATCTGAATCATTTCTCATTAAAGTAAAACACACATTAAAACCCCTGCACAGTTCATCAGATACCAATAGAATGATTTCTAACTTGAACGAGGAAAATAGCAACAGCATCTGTTGTTATTGTTAAACGTGTCTATCAATCTGTAAGAAATTTTAAAATCTTTTTCTGAAGTTTTGCCATGAAAAGGGTTCATAACAGTACAGAACAAAATAGAGAAAGCACACATAGAAATGCTGAAAATTGACGATATATAATCTTGCCTTAACGAACAAAAATATGTTTGTCAAGCATGCATGACATTTAAGTATAAACACAAGAAGATGTGGCATAATTGCCAATGAGACAACTCTCCACCAGAGACAAAATGACATAGAAGGTAACAAACAGCAACAAACAAACCACTGAATAACAGGATCCTGACTTGGGACATGCAAATACAGAATGTGGCGGGGTTAAACATGTTGGCGGGCGTCCAACCCTCCCGCTAACCTGGGACAGTGGTGTAACAGTACAACATATGAACAAACTATAAAAAATCAGTTGAAAAGGTCTTAATTCATTAGATTGATACAAATACGAGAACAAGTAACAAAAACACAGACCGGACGTGGCAGGGTATTTATACATCCCTACAACAAAAAGATACCAAGTACAGATCTGAGAGTACTCGCAATTATTGACAGCTAGTTCAAAGCCAATAACAACTAAGAAAAAAATCATGTTTCTAAGACTAAAGTATCAATCAGCACACATCGAACATCCAATGGATTTAGTGTAAAGACGTCATAAACAGTCAGAGAAAAACATGACCTTGTGCAATGCCAAAATACAGGTATCGACAGATTGTAGAACCGTGAATGTGGTCTTAATTATATGTGCGCATGCTGTCAGTTCCTTCAAGGCATGGCAACATTGATAGAATTATTGTGTTGATATAACTATCTATAACAAGAAAAGCACAAAGCTGTGAAGGCAATCTTTTAGAATGATATATAATTTCGACGGTGTCTTTGATTTAAAAATAAAAAAACAACCTATGAAGGTTTTCGAGTACTGTGTCTACGGTTTATGCGACACTTGATTGTTGCATCATGCACCTATTATTGCATCATTCTCTCAACGTTCTCACATGTTTTTATATTTTGTGTTTATTTTAATTCTGCTTAAGGGCTGTAGTAAAGATATCGCATATCGTTAACTTGTCTTATTGCTGGGACATACTGTTTATGTATGACAGAGAAGACAGACATTTACCCAAGATAACTTACTTTAAATGAATCAAATATAAACTGTAATAACTATTGTCCTGTTCTACATTTGGATATTTCAGTTTCACTAGAGAAAATCAAAACAACAATTAACGACTTTAACACACAGTTTTTCGATCCCTATGGTTAATTTACCTTTGTGGTACAGGAATAAAATTGAGAATGGAAATGGGAAATATGTCAAAGAGACAACAACCCGACCAAAGAGCAGATAACAGCCGAAGGCCACCAATGGGTCTTCAACGCAGCGAGAAAATCCCGCACCCGAAGGTGGTCCTCAGCTGGCCCCTAAATAAAATTTTGTACTAGTTCAGTGAAAATGGACGTCACACTAAACTCCAAAACATATAAATGTTCCTTTTTGTCATTCTTACTGTGTGTATATTTCTCAACTCGTTCGCTATGCTCATATGTAATAACGTTTTAAATTTCGATGCACGTAATTTATAACTGGTAAATTAAGTCGGTAATCTCGTTACCATGCATTACTTGGACCAATTTAAGTAAACTCGTTGATCCTTTAGATTAACTTATTTTTAAAGGATACCAATTTAACACCGTAGGTACATCTTTGAATAATAGTTTTATTGTCATTTGATTTTGTTATTGATGTTTTAAACATTGCACAAGGTCATGCTTTTCTCATAATAATGTTTATGACGTTTTCACACTAAAACTATTGGACTTGTACTGGTTGCTACTTTAGTCTGGGAGAACATGGCCAAACTCTATATGTGCATGCCCCCAAGTCAGAAGTCAGTTATTCAATGGTTGTTGTTGGTTGCTGTCTGTAATATTTGTTTTTTATTCATTATATCATCAATGCTTGGCTTATATTTGCATTGACCGTGACGTCTTTAAAGTGACATAACGAACGAGATTTGTCCGATTTATAGCAAAAATAAGCTAAGTGAAAGAGAATTTTGGCCAAATTAACATAGAACACAAGCGTCACCCCACCCTTTATTTTGCCTGTGAATAGATAAACACGAGATACATTTACAGTTAAATATCCTTGGTTGTGTTATACTTTTTCTAATTTCGGCATATTACTAAATTTACTGTCACTTCATGACTGTAAAACTCATGAAAAGGGTATATTTTAAACCAAAACGTCATTGTTTTATTGAGAAAATATATTCCTTTTAAAATCTATCAACATTTGGGGCTTTATATAGCTTGCTGTGCGGTAGGTTTTGCTCATTGTGGAAGGCCGTACGGTGACCTATAGTTGTATACCTCTACGTCATTTGTATGTGTTGGAGAATTGTCTCATTGGCATTCTTACCACATCTTCTAATTTTGATATTTCTACATTAGATATCTTTTTGTTTAGATCATAACCGAGTGAAAGTCCGTGGTTTTTTTAATCAGGGATTAAAAAGCCCTGTAAGAAATTTTTGTGTATGTAGTTCATTCAATTTGTATTTGATGCAGTGTTCGACAGAAAAACTACATACTGCCTTTCCATACATTCGCATCCTCATATATCACGTGCACGTATTTCAGTTAAAATCATTTTTAATTTCCATTTCTCTGTACATGAAGTGAAAACATTACCAATTTATTAATGTTAACATGAAATTTTATCGGTCAAATGTACCAGTACAAGTAATAGACAAGATGCATTATATGTAGACATTGGCACGCAGTTAATGTTGTGCACTAAAGGTAGATTATTCACATAAGGCCATCAGATAATTTTTTAAATATCTGAATAACTTTTCAGTCTAACCCAGATTGTCAAAAATGTTGCTATAGAGACTTGCCGAGAAATACCAAAAGAGTGTGGGGTTGACCTGAAAAATACGCAAAGTTGCAACTTTGAACCACTGTGGTTTCTAGACGCACGGATTCCATGACCATATTTAAGTGGGCAATGTTCTGGGTCAATACCTTTGAAATGAGCTAGCCAAAGGTGTGATCCAGACAAGTCAAACATTTTACGACTAACAGTGTTGCTTTTCGTACCATCTCGCGGTCACTGAACTTTGAAAATTTTACCACTATTGGCCTTAATCTATTTTCTCTGTCTCTTTTTTACTAAATCTGTACGCATTTTCCAGTTTAAGGTTCGCTTTGGCATTTTCTACTTCCGATACAAAAGGGGAGAGAAACAAAAGGGACCTTTAAACTCATTGGTCGAAAATAAACTGACAACGCTATGGCAAAAAAAAAAAGAGAAAAGGACAATTTAACACACAACAGTATACAAAACACAAAATAGATAACTAAAGATTAAGCAACACGAACCCCACCAAAAACCGGGGGTGAGTGATCTCAGGTGCCCCGGAAGGAAAGCAGATCCTGCTCCACATGTGACACCCCTCGTGTTGCTCATGTTAGGAGAAATTCGTTGATAAGTCTAATTCGGTAGGTCACATTCGGGGAAAGGAGGACTGGTTACGAAAATTGGAACATATCTGTCGTCATCTGTGAAACAAATAATCCATTACGATCAACCAACTTGTGATGGCGACCGTAACATTTTCGAAGGAGTTATTTCAACTTCAACACTTGGAACTCATGGTTAAACAGCTTTCGTGTGACCAACAAACCTCTATCAAAAAAATCATGATAGGAAATGCAAACCCTGGAATATCGTAATTTGGATATATATACTGCAGGCGCTGTTGGAATGTTGCTACATAGAAATGGAAAGATCACAATAATTATTAGGAAGCTGAAATCATCTCGTTGTCTTAAAGTTTTGTTCTAAACTGACCCTCATTGTCAATATCTAGATATTTGTCAAGATATGAGGCAGACTTAACTGTATCTGTTTTATCCTTTATTTTAAGTTCGATGGGATAGATGCTTGTTCACAAAAGTCTAAAATTACGTCAATAGTTTCTTTTATGTTTGTCTGTTCTTCCACGATAATACCTACATCGGAAGCACCCTGAGCCTCGTACGTCTCCATTTCAATATTTACGTTTTTATTTTTAATTACACAAAAAAAAGATTGTTACTTAGATTGTGCGCCTCCACATCTAGTGAATCTGATGATCTCTCCGTCACTAACTTTTTGACAGTTTTTGATACTTCAATAATTTTGGACAAAGTTGGCATTTAGCTTGAATTGCTTTTTGTTCATCTTTAATGCCTGACATAAATTAAGTGCTATGTTATAAAACACTAGCTTATTCTTTCTTTACATGTATTTATTTCAGTATCGACAGTGCTGAATTTCGGTTCAAACTTGTATTTATCTGTGTTCAATAGAATCTAATCTAATTAGATTAATTTCAATTTAAAAGTTTCGTTTCCCTTTTATTCGGTAAAGTTGAAGATAGATATATATGAGTTCTGCACGTAAAGAATTTCAGATCAAATTATTGTTTCTCAACAAGTGTAAATATGTGTTTTAAAAAAGGTTCGTTTATTCTTCACGAATTTTCTGTAATCAAGAGTATTTTTAAACGCTTAATAGAATTTTGTTTTACGCTCGCATGTTGGAAATGTCATTGATAGTTTTAACTTATCGCTTGTTCATACTTAATCAGAATAAAGGTTAGTTCCGCAAGAGGGGTAAGATGATGATTATTTAAAAAACGCCGTAATTTCCACATGTGTAGGTTCATTTAATAAGTAATTATTTATCGTAAACTAGTCTTGTCGTTTAGTCCATATCATCATAACGAGTCACGAATTTTTGATATAAGCAAGCATGTATATTTTAAAGCTAATTTCCCCATTTCACATGATACTATTTCATATTCACAATATTTGGATAATCACGTTTAGTTTCGTAGAGCTAGGTTTGTCTCGATTTCGATTATTCCTATAATTCATCTACAAAAGTATTTCCCCTTTTAAATGGAATTATAGAAAATATTTGTCAACCACTGCTCATTGTCGGAATTGATTATTTTTGGGTTAAAAGGTTTTATATAGTTTAAGTTTTTACAAGCGCAATATTTTGGTTCTACCATGTTTATCATTCAAAAGATAAAAGAATTCAACATGTTTAAACATGTATATTGTTAAGATATTTATGTATTCAACACTTTACGCTGTTCAGCACATGCTTTATACTCTTTTCCATCTGGAACAATGCCCCGTAGATTGGCCGTGAAAATGTATGTAAAAATGCTGGTAATTTTTACGGTGTTTGTCACGGTTAATTTACGGTGGGCCGTGAAACTTATCCGTGACAATGCCGTGGAATGACTGTCGTGAAAAGGCTGTGAAAAGTTTGTGAAAAGGCCGTGAAGAGGTGCCACCTGAAAACTTGGGTGAAAAGACCGTAGAAACCCTGTGAAAAAAAAATGTACACCGTGAAAAAGTCGTGATAATGCATTATGTGCCCATTGTGAAAAGACCGTGAAATGTAGATATAGTACAGTATATGCCTTTATTTGTCGTGAAAAGGCCGCGAAAAAGTGCCAACTGAAAACTTGGGTAAAGAGACTGTAGAAACCCTTTGAAAAACAAAAATGTACACCGTGAAAAAGTCGTGATAAATTGTGCCCATTGTGAAAAGACCATGCCATGTACATGTACTACTGTGATAAACAGCCATTCACTGATTGTGAAAACTCCTGTAAAATGTTAAATGTATTTTTTCAGGCCATAATTTAACAAAAAATTTAAATGCTGTTTCAATCAAGTGAAGTGAAATGCCTGAAAACCTAGTGTAAACATCTACAGACAACTTATTTAAGTACAATGCAAGTGAGACTATGAAAAACCATATTAAAATGCTGTATTTTTTTTTAGTAATAATTGTGACAAAGAATAAAAATATTAATTTTAATAGAACTGTAATAATTATGTAAAGAAAACATAAAAGCACACAAATGTCAATGTGATTAAGTAGCTAAAGTCAGCTGTAACATGTATTGTAGAAATTTTGTACATCTCTTGGGTCTGATTTTACCACTTCAGCAATATTTGTCTAATGTAATCCTTCACTTCACTGCCCTTTTGAATAACTATTCCAGAAAAAAACATTTATAGAAGTTCCTGTTAATTCCCAGGAAATACTTTTAACTGAAAAGCTCTTCTTTCCAACTGGATTCCTGAACTATTTTATGTAAAGACTGCTATATCCTTTTGCTCTTCATTCCTAGAATAAATAAAGAAACATTACATATATTATACATGTATATAAAAAAACTATTTATATATTCAAATTAATTTTTGGCATTTATGTACATACATGTACTTAAAACAGCTACAATATTATTCCATGCAATACAGGACTTCACGGTTAATGACCCCATATTGAATAGGGGGCAGATTTTCATACTGGAGCTGAAAATGGTATGAAAAATACTAAAAAACATCATTGAAACAGAACAGCCACTTGGAAACATGCATAGGTTTTCACATATTTTCATACCATTTTCCAGAAAATCTGCCCCCTATCCAATATATATGGCATCATTAGTTAACGAAGTTCTGTATTGTCAACTTATATTATTTTTTTTAGATTTGTTTAAAGACTAAAGACACTTTTAAGACAGACTATTAAATTTAAATGTTTCTTTGAAGTAATAATATGTATGGCTAAAGCCAAACTTGTCTAGACTAATTGGCCGTAATGAGTCACAACTATTTATTTTACAGGAGGCCAGGGGAGTAGCAACTTTTACTGCAGGCACATTCGCCATACCAATTATTTTTTAAACACCTCATTGCCATACCAATTATTCTTATGATATAGCACAAACCCTTCTAGAAAGGACATTTTGCCGTACAAATATTAAATACTTTCCCTGCTACGCCTCTGATTAATCCCTTTTGAACTCTGTGTCCCGACGTCCAAGTCAGAAAATACTTAAACAGTCAGGGGACTTACTTAAATGAGTGATTTTCTAAATCACTGATTCAAGTAACATTATGTCCATAAAGGTTAGAAGTAAGAGTTGTCTTTCTTTAATAACCACCTATTTAAGTAGTACAAATTAATCACTAGACTAAGTGATTTAATTTTATTGTAGCTTTAAATATAGAATACTAATGATCCAGGGACTGATTATGTTGCTAAAATTATCAGAACCAACATCTGTGTTGATAGGATGACCGGGTCATGTCAGGTGATGACCTTGTACTAAATCTAGGATAATGACATAAAATCACTTGTTTAAGTATCATACCTTAATTTCCTACCAAAAAATCACTCCTTTAAGTATCATTATTTTAACAACCCCCACTAATTTCAACACCCCCGAACAGTGAAATTTGATCGCGAACAGTAGAATTTTATTACATAATCTATGAGATGAAACCTTGAATTTTACAGGAAAAATACTCCCACTGCTGGGAAAAATCTGTTAAGAAAGTATCAGTTCATTATGTAAAGCCATTTTTATAGCATTTTTTCAACTAAAATAGAATTTGCAGCTAAATGATTGCATCGAAGGATTAAACCTTGCTGCTTAAAAGAAGCAAAAAGTTAATTTTTTTCAATTTTACTATTTAAATGAAAAGATATTATCTAAACCTATGTGTTCAAAATTTTGGTAAAACTACAAAATCACAATTTGTGACAAAACTTCGAATTTGCTACTTAAATAAGTGATTTAAAAAATGACTTATTTCAATATGTCCACTGACTGTTAAATAGCTCCCGACACATTCAAAGGGGGTTACGCCTCTGATTATCAGAGTGAACTCCATTTCAGAGATACTTATTGCTATTATAATCATTTCCAATTATCTATTTCTATGTCTACGTAGTGTACTGTACATACATGTCTTTTTTTTTATGTGGCCAGTGTGGGGGAAAAGGACCCCCCCTTTTTTTCCCCAAATACATGAACAAAACAAAACCGTAATCGTATTAAAAGTCTTAGAAAACATTAACCGAAATGATTAAAGGAATCAAGACTCAAGTGCAACAGACTCAAATATAAGTGAATATATCACATGCATGTTTGCGCGGTTTCTGCAAATTCAGTGAAAATCAGTTCAATGGAAATGCTCACAAACGTCATCAACATTTTGGTGATATGATGCATAAAAGAATAAAATATTAATAACTTATCTTACCTCAAACTTGCTGTCACTCGTCTTGCATCTATAAAGTAGCCTTTCTACCTAAATTTGTAAATATCAACTATAACCAATGAAATAAGTGTTCTTATTTAGCCATCTACAGCTAAAGAATGATACAAGGAAGAATTTGATTGGATGTTATTGCCTTACTGAGAAAACAATTCTTTAATTTTTTTTATTTATAGCACAAATGAATAAAAGGGGAACAACTCAATTTTTTAATAAATATTTTTTTCATACAAAGAGGAACAACTCAATGTTTCACTCACCACTTTTATTTCTATAGTCTGTTTCATGCATGTTCTGGAAAAGAAAAGAAAATACAATTAAAATACATGTATGCAAAAAAAATCTCAATAATATTATTCTGTAGCTAAATGAATTCATCAGTTGGGTCAACACCACCATTATAGATGTATTACGGTCCGTGTATATTTGCGTCCATTCGTTTTTTCATTTTGAAATATCAAAAACAAAAAACAAAAAACGAGAGTGTTTTCATTTTTCGTTTTTGATTTCTCAAAAACCAAAACGAAAAACAAAAGTGTTTTCATTTTTCGTTTTTGATTTCTCTAAAACCAAAACGGAAAACGAAAGTGTTTTCATTTTTTGTTTTTGATTTCTCTAAAACTAAAATGAAAATCTAAAGTGTTTCCGTTTTTCGTTTTTGATTTCACTAAACAAGAATTTTGTATTCAATTTTAATTATTTTTCGTTTTATAATGTACAATGTTTTCCTTTCTTGTTTCACAGTCATTGATAGTAAATAATGCCAATGTAAACACTCCGGTGTTCTTTCAACATAATGTAGACAAAATAGACCGCCTGGCTTATGAATTGAACTACGGTGATAAATGAATCATAGCCTTTCAAATTACCTTGTTTATATCTTTAACAAAAAATAAATTATTATATCTAAATATTAAACGAATCATAAATTTAGATTGTACAATACAATATTATATAAAGATGGTACAAATAAATAGATTGATTACAACATCACATTAACAATGGAGGTTACTACTTTTTAAAACTTATAAGAAAACTTCCCCGGTCGTTAAAGTATACATACACAGTCACTGTGGTTATCAGATCTTTAATCGAACATAATGTCGACGGATGCAAAAGACTTTATCAATCTGAACAATAAGGATGCGTGATCTTTACTTTTAAATTTAGAAAGGTTGATCTCAGATGATTAGAATTCATGACCAAGGTCCATTATACGAACATTCAGGACGATAATGTGTTTTGCTTGATCAATTGATTGAAAAACAAATTTCCGCAATTTCACAATTCAAACCGGGATTAGCATTCAATCATTTTGCCATTCGGAGCCAACTCGGTATTAGTTTTGCTTATTTTTGAAAGCTATATGGTGACCTTAACTAGAGCCTGGGTATGGATGGGGGTTTACGGAATAGAGAATATAGGGCAGAAAATATGAATAATAGAGACAATGGTCCAAGAAATAAAAAAAAAAATAGAATAATGAGGTGTTAAAATATAAAGAGAACAGAATAATTGGCAAACAGTATAAAGAAATAAAGAATAGAGAAAAATGGCCTGAAACACTGATTAAAGAATAGAGAAAATCGGCATAGAATATCAAAGAATACAGAAATGAAGAACCCCGTATCCAGACCATCATCCTAGTTGCCTAAACCAACGTTATTTTGTCTCCGGTAAATTGTTATGGTTATCATACGTTTTTTTTTTATTTCTATGCCTATCAATTAATACACCAAATAAGAGAATAATTGAATTAATTGCTATTTAAATAATTTATATAAGTTCTTATAATATGAGTGCACTTAATCATACATTAACAAAATACATGCAACCCATACTGTGACCATCAATACACCATTTATAACACCAAGTAATTGTTAATATTATCTGCATGCAGGTCTGATATAATTAGTTAAAGTTGGTTTCACATTAATGATTTACATTATATGAATTTTATTCTTGGAAAATAGAGTAGGGTAGAATTTTTAATGTGTCCCTGTACATTTTAATATGTGATAAGATCAATTCCATACGGGTAGTTATACATGTAAGATTAGAGACAGTGACAAATAGTAAGATGGGTTTGCTGAAAAGGTTTCAGAAGAGAAACAAATCTGGGAATGTTTTGTAAAATATCTTAAGTTGAACAGTGTTATTAGTCATCCAATTATGAACTGTCATTATAACCTCAAATAGGCCTCCATCATAAGAATAAATTCTTCCTTTCCATTGTTCATCTTGTCCATTGTCTGTCCATGTATGAATGAAGTATTTTCCTACTAGTAGTTCGGGTTTTAGAAAAATATCTTCTTGAATGATGGTTGTTGATGGTGTATGAATTTGCTGATTTTGGATGAATTCTAATAAATTTAAACTTAATTTTGAAACGTCGAATTGTTTTCCATGACTGCTAAATTGTAGAAGGTGTTTTAGAGTTTGATTTACGGGAAATAGTTTTTTACACATCGAAAGTTGGCTTTTAAGTGCTATAATTTGGTCCTTTTTTTGTTGATTTTCGCAAGTTCTTCCTTTATTTTTGAATCAGTGTTCCAAATTCCATTACGATTAAAGACATCTAGCGCTGTTTGCATCTCAACATTGAGTTTGACCTGTCTGTTACTTTCGTTAATTTGTCTCTGCCTGATTGTTTCAATATTTTGATGAAATAAATCTGTTTTTCTACATTCAATATCGGATAAAAATTTATTATTTTGCGTTCGTGCATTTGCAATGATTTCAGTTGTTTCAGCATCTGTTTTTTTATGCAGCATTCTTGTGTATTATTATTCTTAAACATGATTACACTTTCCATTGAATTAGTGTTGTAAGTTGGAGCGTTTACAATACAGTTGTCCAATTTAGCCATTAAACGCTCAACAGAAATGTTATTAGATGGACATCATTTGCATATATTTAAAATTTCATCATTTGGTGCATAATATTTTCCAGTAGGCATAAAATCTTTAAAAAGTTGCATACATTTTACTTTCAGTTCAAAACAAAATTTATCTATAATATCCTTGGTAAAATAATCTAAATTACATGGTTTTAATAAATACGAATAAATGTCATCATCTGGAAAATCTGGTCCACAAAATAATTTAATTCCATTTTCTGTTAAAACAAGCTCTGGATTTGCAATACATATCTCTAAAAATTCCACAAGTCTGTTGTATATGTTACCCAATCCTTATGCTGTTTCAATTTCACCACCTGCTTTTTTCCAATATGGTTCGGTAAAATTTTAGGAATTAAACCTAAAGCTCTTAATATAGCTAAAATGTTGTCATTTGACAGTGCACGAACAGTATAATCTTGAATATAATTTACAGTTGATTTTGATGATTTCAAATAAGTTATTAAATGTTTGTGTAAAAAATATGTTCCAGCTGAATTATAAAATAAATAGTTAAAACGATTGCCACGCAATTTCATTATTGGTATGCGGTTTATATTTTGACTTTTGATATATGTAGTTGCAAGTTCTGGGTCTCCTGTGCCATCTTTAAAAAATAACTTGGAAACACATTTTAATAAAAAGGATGTCGAACACATATTACCAGATCCATCTATATTAACAGTTTTATCTTTTTCTAATTTAACAATCTGTTTGGTACATACATCACTAAACTGTAATAACGGATGGACTGCACATTTAAAATTGTGAGTTTCGGTATTATTATTTTCGTCATGTATTTCAGCAGATAACAAAGTGTTTGCTTTGTGCTCTGTAGCACTACGGTCGGTCATGAAAGACTTAACTTTAGGCAAAATTTTATCATTACTTTTTGTAGTTATTTCAATATCTTTGATAATTTCATTTGTACATGACACATATGTAGATGCTTTTCCATTTGAAACTTCTCTTAAGCCAGTAGTAAGAACTTTTTCACCTGTCGCAATCTCTAAACCCACAAAATGTCTACCTTTTTTAGTTGTGGCATCTCTTTGCATAGTTATTTTATCTATGGGAGCAAGCTCATCCTTAACATGATTCCTTGCTACTATTCCTAGCTCCGATGTTAGTTTAGCAGCTGTTGAGATACTAGGTAGGTCATCTAGTGTTAAAGGTATGTCAGCAAGAGAGAGAACTGATATTATCAGTGGTGCTATATGCTCTAGTCCAATCTTTCTGCTACGAAAGCAGTAATATACCTGTCTCAATCGATCAGTAAACGGTTTACCTTTTGTACTATTTCTAAATATAAACATCTTAGTTTCTTCGGTTACATTTTCAATCTTTTCCTCTGCCATGCACTCTAAATTGTCTATACTTGACTTTAATTCTGATATAATATTTTTCATAGAGTTGCACTGGGTGCTTTTATCATAAAGTAATGGTTTTGAAAATATGTTTTTCTTGATCTTATGTTTTTCTTTATATACTTTCAAATCATTGATATATTTACGTTGCCTCTTTATTTGCAGGTTTAATTTTGATAAATTGATATGCCTGATTTTACCATTTAACTGCTTAACCTTGTTTGATAAATGCTTTATTGTTTCAGAACAAGAATCACCACACACACTTTTCTTGTTTTGTTTTGATTTTGAAACATCATCTGATATTATTTCATTAGATTTTCTTTTCAAATTTTGCCTTGGCAGTTCAAAGTTTTGTCTGTAGAATGTTTCCAATTGTGATTTGTCGCAATTCTTCTTCAATCGTTTAATTTCATTTATAACTTTTTTCACTTTGTAATGAAGACTGATACTGTTTACAGATTGTTCCGGTTTTTTAAGGAGTTTACATATGTATCTATGTAATTCTTTTACATTTCCATCTACCTTTATGAAGACTTCATGTAAAATACGGTTTGATAATGACTCCATAATCATGACAGTTCATAAATCAGATTGTTTATGATATTTACCATATATGCTGTCATAAAATTAAAACAAAAAATATATATTACATTAAATAGTGTATAAATATATCACCCCACTACCAACAAAACAATATGAATAGATATAAGACCTAGTTTCTATCTACAATTTATTACTCATGACAATCAATACT